CTCCTCCCCCAGAATCCCCTAGAACACACACAGAAATGCTGCAAGGTAGAATTTAAAAACTGAAATGTGCACAGTTGCAAGAATTTATTTTGCAAAAAGAAACACAGTTCTTAGAATTAAGGAAGGAACACAGGCCAAACAAAAGAGAAGAGGAGGCTGTCACCGTGGCCCGTGGAAGGTTTCAGACAAAATCTGCCCTGGAGCAGGGGCTGCATTTTAACACTTCTGGTTACAGGACATGTGGCTTCCGCTGGCCAGAGGCGGGGAGCTCGGGCTGGGCCTCCTGCATCAGCTCAGGACATCGAAGATCTACCTTCCCCGGGGAAAGAAGACTAAAAACTACACACACGCACACCCAAGGAAGCAGAGAAAAGGGGAAGAAATACAGGTCAACCTGAGAGATTGTTCAACGTTGTCCCAAGTCTGAGCAATTGCTTGCCTTGCATCTGGATTTCTGTTATCTGTGTGACGTTGGTCCTCAAACAGAGGAATTAAATAGAAATCTGGTTTAAGACCCTTGCAATCCCTAGCAAACACCACACAGCCCCACAGAAGCAAGAAAGAACTCTGTGAGAACGTTCACATAGCCCAGGGCATACGGGACTCTCGCTAACACACGCACACACAAACTGCTGAAGAAAAGCTCACAATAAAATATTATAAACTAGACAAGGAAGTAACCCACTGTAAGAAAGAGTCAGCAGACATAACGAACAGGAGAATTAACACCCCTAGAACTGTGCACGATACAACAACATGAAAATACTATATAATATATAAGTATACTTAACAGCATTAAAGATTAAAGATGAGAAAATAAACCATAATGAAAATATTGTATTATGAGCCCTGGCTGGTGTGACTCAGTGGAGTGCCGGACTGTGAAGCAAAGGGTCTCTAGTTCAATTCCCAGTCAGGGCCCATGCCTGGGTTGCAGGCCAGGTTCCCAGTAGGGGCCACTTGAGAGGCAACCACATATTGATGTTTCTCTCACTCTCTTTCTCCTTCCCCTCCTCTTTCTCTAAAAATCAATAAATAAAATCTTTTTTTAAAAAAGAGGGAAAGTTAAAACATTAAAAAATGAGGGACATATGATTGAAATTAAAGACTCAGTGGCATATTAAACAGTAGACTAGACCCAGCTGGGAAGAGAATTAGTGAATTGGAAGATAGAGCTGATGAAACCACTCAACATTTGGGGGGAAGATGACAAGATGGAAAATTAAAAATCATGAAGGAAAGAATGAGATAGGTAGATAGATAGATAGATAGATAGATAGATAGATATGGCATATCACACCCCTATGTAAAATTGGGGTTCCTCAAGGAGCCAGAAAGAATCAGGGGAATGTAATATTCCAATCAATAATGATTAAAATTTTTCCAAAATGGACAAAAACCACAGTCCTCAAGCTGAAGAGTCCAGAACTCACACGTTATGGTGAAATTGTAGAATACTGAGGAGAAAGAGAAAAATCTTGAAATGAGCCAGAAAAACATCTGTTCGCCTACAAATATAACAATTATATTGGCAGCCAACTTCTTATTAGCAACAAAATCTTACAGAAAAAAAGAATATCTTCAAAAGGCCAAGAGAAAACTGTCAACCTAAAATTCTATGCCCACTGAATTTCCATTCGAATGGCGTGAAATAAGGACGTTTTAAGACAATGACTGAGATTATTTTCCACTCAAAGACTTGCACTGAAATGCCACCCATGGATATAAGTCATAAGAAGGAGGGAGGGGGCTGCAAGAGGGATCGATGAGCAAATTTATAAACGTGTCAGTGGATCGAAACAAGCAATGAAAGCCACTGTTGAGACTGTAAATTTGTCCAACTGCTCTACAGAGTAACTTGGCAATAACTACTGAACTTGAAGTTGTGGAGTGAACCACATAGTCTGTGACTCAGAAATTCTACTTCTAGGTATCTACCTCATTGCAGTGCTTACACGGATGCCAAGGAGGCAGAGTCCTGTCCATGGCGGCATGTTTGTCATTTGGAAAACCGGAGACATTCTAAATGCCCATTTGCAGGAGAATGAATACATAAATTGTGGTATATTCATGCCCTGGCTGGTGTGCCCAATGGATTGAGTGCTGCTCTGTGAACCAAGAGGTTGCTGGTTCAATTCCCAGTTGGGGCACATGCCTGGGTTGTGGGCTGGGTCCCCAGTTGGGGGCAACCAATCGACTGGTCGATGTATCTCTCATACATTGATGTTTCTCTCCCTCTCTTTCTCCCTCCCTTCCCGTCTCTCTGAAAATAAATAAATACAATATTTTTTTAAATGTGGTATATGCAATAAAATAGTACTCAGCTGTTACAATTCATGAACTGGAGCCACATGAAACAACATGAATAAATGTAAAAAAAGTTGACAAAAATGAAAGTGTGCAGAAGAGCATGTATAGTACAATACCATTTAGATGGATGTTTAAACACACAAGTCAATGTTCTGTATTGTTTGTGGATGCGTACTTAGAGTAAAATCATGAAACCATAGAAGGGTTATCGCTGAATCCAATGTGGCAAGAAATGAACAGTAGTTGGATTTCAGTGGTGTGTACATGGATAGTTATTGTTATTCTCTGTGCTTCTATGCCTGTTTAAATGATTCACATTTTTTTCTTTTTAACGAAGGGATCTAGGGATTTAGAAATAAGGGTAAAGGGGGATAAATGGCCGCATCAATCCGAAGAGCGGATGAGCTGTGGGAATGGGATTAGCGGGGAGGCTGAGTCCCGAGTCCAGGGTTTACAAGAATTAATTTCGAACATCGCCCTAAGAGGACCACCTGGCTGGCTTCCCCACCACCGATGGCACTTGAGAGGCGCAGCTCTTGGCCTCAGTCCGCTCCCCCCACACCCACTGAGCCCTTTCCTCCTGCTCCTAATGCCACCCCACCCTCAACCCGGTGCCGGTCTGACCAGGGGTTGCCCAAATGTAGGCCCTGAGAATACATTGGTCCAGATGTCCCCTGGACGCTCTCCTAATCAAGGGTGAAGGGTGACCTGTACCTCAAAAGCCAAGGAGACGTCAGTCCTAATACTCAGGATCACAGCTCCAGAAGGAGAGCTTGGACCCCAGATGTCACAGCTGACAGCGTCCTCCCTTGTCCTCCCTCCATCAGCCAAGAAGTCAGGAGTGAAGGTCAACTGCTCGCTGATCCTACTGGCCAAGCCAGAACCCGAAGGGGCTGCGCTGTGGCACAGCGGTCACTGGGCTTCTGTCCTTAGGCTGTCAGTCACCAGAGCTCTGTGTCCCCCTTCCCAGTGCCGACCCCTTTCCGCCTGATAACTGCCCTGCTCCCCAAGTCTGGGCAGGCCTGACATCTGCAGCAGACCTTCCAGAAGGGGTGTGGGTGGGCTTGTTCAACTGCCTTTCCCCACCACGGGGTCACCTTGACCACAGGATTTGGGGTGGAATCCTGACCTCTGGGGGAGCAAGTGAAACTTCCATCATTTCTCAGGACACCAGGCTAGGGGGATGAGTGGGAGGAGGAGAGAACAAAACAGAACTCTTGTGGGGCAACATTTTTGTTATTGGGCAACATGTATAACTTCCTAAGTGTGAAATCATATGATAAATAAGACAGAGCATTAACAGCATAGCTGGAAGATTCACTTTTATTCTTTTATTTATATGTCAGATACTTTGGCAGATGCTGGCGATTTTTAAAAAATGCCTAAGATACTTCCCAACCTTCCATAAATTGGGCAGACAGAAGAGTAAACACCTGACCTTGACAGCCTAGAGCGACGGGTGCCACTCTAGAGGGAAGGAGGACAGGGTGGAGCAGAGCGGGGCGCCAACGGGGATGGGGGAAGGCGGCAGGGAAGGTGGCCTGCAGGGGACCCCCTCCTGGGGTAGAAGGGGAAGGAGGGGATGTCCAGGCAGAGGACTTCCGTCCTGAGGATTATGGAGGGCTTGTGCACTTGGCGGCCTGTGGGAGTGAACAAAAACAATATATACTCTTGACCTTGTCAGTGGGTATGGGAGAGATGGTGTAGGTCCCTGGCGTAGCAATTTCCTAGTACTTTTCTGATGTGCCGGGATGCCCCAGTTGCCAAGTGTGTACCCACTCTTTCCCTGCTGAGAGACCTGCAGGGATGTGAGAACAACCGTCTCGGGCACCTGGTAAACAGACTTGAGTGAATAATTGACTAAGTGATACAAGATGAGCCCTCTAGGCTTCCACACGTCCCTTCTACAAGAGTGAAAATCAGTAGTTCACACTCGGAGCCGGCTACACGGGCGGGGTGCGTGGGGGGTCGGAGCTGACAGAGCAGGGGATTTGGGGCCGAGTGGAGAACAGGTCGGACGGTGGAGAGAGAAAGTCTTCGGGCACAGCAAAGGCTGCGTGGGGCCTCGGAGAGGGCCCTCCTGAGTGTCCCTGGTTTGATTTGGTGGAGTCTCCGGGAAAGCAGAGAGACAAGGCCCGGCATTTCGCACATGCCGGCCTTGGCTTTCTTCCTTCTCACCGCGCGGGACTGGGCCGGGCAGCCGGCGGTCAGAGCCGAGAGCAGCGGTGGCGGCGCCAGTCCTGTGCGGAGGCAGTTGGAGTGCGCGTTTGGAGGAACCAGGCAGGGAGGATTTGCCCATCTTGTCCTTTTCCTGCCCCATCACTGAGTGCATTGGGAGGGCGCAGAGGGGACCCAGCGCGCAGTGGGCTCCGGGCAGGACCCGCCGCCAGACCGGGGATCTCGTCGCTTCCTCTCGGGCCGACTCGAATCCCGATTCACTTCAGTCCGCTCGCCGCTCGCCCTCCGCGGAGCCATGGGCGTGTCCGCGCACACGCTCCCCAGCCCTTCCCGCGCCCGCAAGCCGCTGCCGTGACCCCGAGCCGGGTGCAGGCGGGGCTCCCGGGCGCACCCGGGCGGCGGCGGACAGCGGCCCGCGGACGGCGGGCGGGGGCGGTGTCAGGTGGCCGGGCCAGGCCCCGCCCCCTCGGCCCGCCCCGCCTTCCTCCGCGCGCCCGGCTCCGGTCCGGGCCTCGCCGCTGCGGCGTCTGCTTCGGGCGACGGCGGCGGAGCCGAGCGGGCGGCCATGGACGCGGGTGCCGGGGCCGGCGCGGGCGCGGCGAGCTGGAGCTGCCCCGGCCCAGGTCAGAGCCGCCCCTCCTCACTTTTCTACCGCCGCTCCCTCTTTTTTCCCATCTCTCCTCCCTGCGGACCCCCAGGTCCTCCCTCCCTCCGAAGTCTTCCTCCCTCTGTCCCACCCCCCACCCCCCACCCGGGCCCGGTCTCCATCTTTCCGAGCTGGGTCTTCGGCCACCGGCCGCATCCTCTCCAACAGCCCCTTCTGCATCTCGTCTGTCCGGCTCGGTGTTGCTTCCTGTCCTGGGGGCTGCAGCCCCTGCACCCCTCCGTCCCCCGAAGGCTTCTGAGCGTGCGGCGAGGGTGGGGCGGGCGAGGTCCAGCGGTGAAGCCCGGAGGGGAGGGCAGCAGCCCTGGTCTGGACCCCTTCCCACAGCCCCGCCCCCATCACCTGCCTCCCTTCTCACACCACCTCCCCCTTTCTTCATACCTGGTTCCTGTCCCCTCTCCCACCCTTGCCTCTCTCCTCCTGTCCCCCTTGGGCTAAAGAGATACACTCTTTCCGCCTGTGCAAGGGTGAGAAGCCTGGAACACGGGGTGCTCAGGAGGGTGCAGGGCGGGGTCCCTGCAGGCCTTGCAGGCCCAGCTCGAGAGGCGGCTGAGCTGGGGGAGAGTCGCAGTTTTGGACAGAGTAAACCGAGCACTTGCACCAGGATTACAAACCCCGAGGCTCCAAAGGGCAAGAAGGCACGTCCACTTCTCTCCCCTGCGCCCCACCCCCAGCCGCCCCTGTCAGACGGTTCCTCCTCTCTCCCCGCTGGCAGGTCCCACAGTGACCACTTTAGGTTCCTACGAGGTGTCTGAGGGTTGTGAGAGGAAGAAAGGCCAACGCTGGGCGTCCCTGGAGCGTCGGGGGATGCAAGCCATGGAAGGTGAGTTTTTCCAGAAAGCTTCCTCTCTCTGCCCCTTGCCCAGTTTCTCTTCCCTCCCCCTTCCTCTCTCTGACCCCCAGAACTCTGAGCCAGGACACAGCTCTTTCCCTAGTTCACCTGAGCCCCCTCCACCCCTCCTGAGGATCAGGCTTTGAGGAAGGTGCCAGGAGGTTCCCTTCGGGGCCTTGATCACCACCCAACCATGCTGTGTGTCCTGCAGGAGCTGCCAGACAGGAAGAGGCCTGGGTTGGACAGGGCTTTGAAGCAGCTTTTCAGCAGGGGGTTTGTTCTCACTGCCTCCCGACCCAGATCCCAAGCTGTCTCTTGTTTTGAAAAGCAGGGAAGTGAGCATGTGAATTGTCTTTCTGGTGTCACCACCACCAACTTCATACACGAGCCTTGTGGCTTTGGTTCTCTAGGAGAGCTTCCTGCCTGACAGAGATTGCCTGGGAGGGTCAGGGGAGAAGGCCAACCTCCCCACACTCATGTGTCCACACCACACTTGTGGGACTCAGTGCTGCTGTCAACAGCAGGCCCCAGGATGCTGGTCCGTTTCTCAGGACTCCTTGTGAAGTGTCCCCAGACCCCTGTACACACTCAGTGTGGGTAACCCAGCTTTCTTGGGCGGGGGACCGATGATTCAAGGCACCCCAGATGAAACTAAGGCTGCTCGAATTGGATAAAGTGAGACCAGGGGTTTAGAATTTTAAAACGAAGCAGACAATCACCATCCAGACAAGACTTTTGCTATTAAGAGGAACTGCATTGCAGTAAAGGAGGGGTGCTCACCAGCCAGAGGCTGGGGACCAGCACACCCCAGTTTCTTAATGCAGCAAAGGCTTTCTTCCGCACACAAGCACATCCTCAGATTTCCCCTGAAAAACTGCCTTGTAGTCACCAAGAGAGGAGGGGCCTCATAACACTTGGGAAAGAGAGTGGAGACCACCCACCCCCACCCCTGCAAACACTCAGCAGGAATAAGGAAGGTGGACTTTGTAAAAAATTTCGAAAAGAAGCACCTTTGAAAGGGCCCTCATGTTCGATCAGTGACACATTCAGAATCACTTCATTTAGGTGTTTCCTTGCTATGTCTGCTGATAGGTAATGCCTTTTTATTATGGAAGGGCTATTTCCCACAAGCCACAGGGGTAAATTTTCAACTCTACAAAACCTCAAACTGTAACTCGTGCCCTGTTTGGCCTGAATCATCGCCAGTGTTGAATCCTTTTTCAACTCCTTGACCCCACTGCCCCGAGGCCAGGACTGGGAGAGCAAGCGCCCTTGTGCAAGCTGCACATGGCCGCGTCAGCGCCCCCTCCCGCCCCGGTGGCCCGCTCAGTTGGCCCAAAGGCAGTAGTAACAGGAGGCCTCCAGGTGCAATCCTGGTCCAGAAAGGGCCTGGGAGGTGGGTGGGCTACCTCTAAACTTGACCCTCACACCTGAGGACTCACGAGTGCAGGTCCTGCCCAGGGGGTCCTTGGGGGACACCAGGTGGCACTATTATACCATCTCTCCCTGGGACCGTGAGTTTGAGGGCCTGCCCTCAAGGGACCCGGGAAAGGAAGTCGCTTCTGAGTCCGGAGGATGGTTGTCTCTCCTAGGGGAAGTATTGCTCCCAGCTCTCTATGAGGAGGAAGAAGAGGAGGAAGAAGAAGAAGAAGAGGTGGAGGAGGAGGAGGAGCAAGTGCAGAAAGGTGGCAGTGTGGGCTCCCTGTCATTGGGCAAGCATCGCGGCCTGAGCCTCACGGAGACAGAGCTGGAGGAGCTGAGGGCTCAGGTGTTACAGCTGGTGGCGGAGCTGGAAGAGACCCGGGAACTGGCAGGGCAGCATGAAGATGACTCCCTGGAGCTGCAGGGTGAGTGTCCGTGGTGGCATAAGGGGGCCTGGGCCCAGAGGCGCTGTGCTTGCTGGATCCCAGGCCTGAAGCTGGTCCCCCCTCCCTGCAGGGCTCCTGGAGGATGAGCGACTGGCCAGCGCCCAGCAGGCAGAGGTGTTCACCAAGCAGATCCAGCAGCTCCAAGGTATTTCCCAGACCTCAGGCTGCAGAGGTGGTGGCTATCCGGGTACTTCCGTCCTGAGGGTGTGGCTGAAGCACAGTGGACAGATATAACCTAATTCAGTACTGTCTCCTCTTTTTGCTCTACTGGCATCACCCTTTCTCGTCATTTCTCCATTCTCCTCTTTACCTGACTTCCTTTCCTTTTGCGTCTCTGCTTGGCTCTTCTGCCTTCCCCTTCCCTTTGTTGCCCTCCCATTTCCCCCCTTCTCCCTGTGGTTAACTCTCCTCTTTCTCTCCTTCAGCTGCCTTCCTTTATACCTACACTTCTTCTCCTTGGTTCTCCTGGTCAGTGCCAGGGGTAGGTGATCAGGATTGAATTCCAAAGCAGATCGCTTTTTCCTGACCCTCCAAGGGCACCATGGGAAGAGCAGTGAGCCTATGAGATGTGACTGGAGGGGACTGTATACATCTTTTAGGTGAAGCAGATGAGAACACTTCTTTTGTTCCCTAGGATGGAGCTGTGGCCCCAAAATCCCTTTCTTCCAACGCCCACATTCCCTTTGTCTCCGGGAAGCACAAGGCAGGTGTCCCACATCCCACTGCGCCACCGACTAAAGAGGCAGCTTTTGTTACTTCTGTGGGCTCCCAGAAGGTTTAGAGGAGCTGTCCTAAAAAACAGCAGGGACTCTCCCCAGAGAAGGGAGATCAGGCAAAAGGAAAGTATAAATGGAGACAAAAGGAAGGCCAGGAAACAGCCCCGGAGAGGACAAAGCAAAGGTGGAGGAAGGGGAGGGAAAATGAAAGGAAAGAAGATGTAAGCAAAGGGAGAAGCAGGAGAGGTAGACAGTTCATAGGGGAGAGAAATGGGGTGTAGGGGTTGCACAGGGCAGAGTTTGAGCATTGATCTCCGATCCTCTAGGCTCTTGGGCCCAGCTCTGCCACCTAACAAGCTTTGTGCTCTTGGGCAAGTCACTTTTATCTTTCTGAAACTTGGTTCCTTATCTGTAAAATGGGGCTAGTTTACTTGTTTATGAAACATGTATGGAGGGCCTGTGTACTTGGAGGACCAGCTATGAACAAGACAGACCAGATCCCTTCCTCAACGAACAGTACGTTCTGATAGGGAGAGGCAGAACGTAAACAGCACAAGTTCAGGTGGCAATAACTGCTATGAAGATCGTATAACAATACGATCGAGATGGGGTGAGATGGGAGTTTATTTTTCACGGGTAGTTAGAATCCTCTTGAGAAGATGACATTTGAACTAAGGCCTGAATGATGAGAAAGATCTAACGGAAAAGCACATGAGGCAGAAGGAATAACCAGCACAGAAACTCAGAGGCAAGAATGAGCTTCATTGTGTATGAAGGACAGAACAAAGGCCGTTGTGGCTGAAGCACAGCGCATGAGAAGGACCCTGATAAGAGTTCTGAGGCAGAGACCAGATTACAAGGGGCCTTGTAGGGCCACTGAGAGATCTGGCTTTTATCCAAAAAAGTGGGAGGGGCTGAACCTGAGCGGGAGTAATATGATTTACCTTACATTTAAATTCTTTTGAAAGATTTTATTTATTTATTTATTTATTTTAGAGAGAAGGGAAGGGAGAGAGAAAGAGAGGGAGATAAATATCAACGTGTGGTTGCTTCTCATGTGGCCCCCAGCTGGGGACCTGGCCCACAACCCAGGCACATGCCCTGAGTGGGAGTCAAACCTGGGACCCTTTGCTTTGCAGGCCCCTGTTCAGTCCACTGAGCTACACCAGCCAGGGCTACTTTACATTTTTAAAAGGAGCACTCTGGCCACTGTGTGGAAACTGGTTGCAGGAAACGAAGTCTAAACAGTGAGTCTGATCAATAAGTTATTGCAGTAGTCCATTCGAGAGAGGCAATGGGTGCTTGGATTAGAATGGTGATTCACTGGAGGTGATTCACAGTAGATTCTGAAGGTCAAGCTTCAGGACTCTGATGAACTGGATGGGGGATAAGAGAACGGCTGCCTTAAACTGGTTGGATGGTGGTGTCATTTATCGGGATAGGAAGACTGGGGGGCTAGGGGAAGCATTTAAGACATATTTTCTACATGTTGAGTTTGAAATAGCTAGTAAGATTCATAAATATGTTGAATTGGATATATGGATCTAGAACCAAGGGAGAAATGGGAGATAAAATCTGGGAGTTATTAACATAGAGATGACATTTGATCTGTGGAAGAGAACCATGAAATGCCAGGGAGATACAGGAAGAAAAGTAGAAGGGATCCAGTCCCAGAGTTACTCCAGTATTTAAAGATCCCATACAGAAGGATACATGAACAAAAAGTGGGGTGGAAGGAACTACTGAAGCCTTTAATGCCCTGGAAGCCAAGGGCAGAAAGTACTCCAAGGAGATAACAATCTACTGCGTCAAAAGTTGTGTAGTCAAGAAAGATGGCCATTTGCTTTGCCAGGATGGAGGGCTCTGAGATATTTCAGAGAAGACAGAGGTCTGGATTGGGATGCAGAGGAAGAGGGCGGCCGGTGGAGAAGGTGAGTCCGGAGAATGCCAGCAGTCATGTTCGAAGGGGCAGAGAAATAGAGGAATAGGAAAGTCAAGGGAGAGTTTTGGTTTAGGGTTTGGTGTTTCGTTTCGGGTTTTTTTGTTTGTTTGTTTGTTTGTTTTTGACGTAGGGCACACTAGGTCATCTTTCTATGATGCCGGAAACGATCCAGTACGGTATAAAAAGGCCTTTGCTTGGATAAGAGACATTCTTCCTTTCAAATAAGAAGGATGTCAGAATCTAAGTAGAGAGGCAGGCAATTACGTGGGAAAACAAAGTTCTAGAGCAATTTCTACTCGGTAGGGTTGTTTCTAGCGTCAGTTCTCATCCAAGCCGGGGAAGGGGGGAGAGTGGCTGTAAGCCAATCCCGAGCCCACCTCCCCTGAAATAAACAGACCGTCCTTGCGCACGCGCGCTGCCCGTTTCCGCCGATAGGGGGCGCGCGCGGCCTCGGAGGTAGCTGGTGTTGAGAGGCCGTTCCGGCCGCCACAGCCCCTCCGGGGCCGGGACCGGCCGGTGGAGGAAGGCCCCCCCAGGGAGACCACTTAAGGGGGGCCAACAAGATGGAGGTCATAACAAGTAAGTGACAACTGACTTCTCTGAACTGCAGCCCAATTCCCGGATCATAGGCCTCTCCCAGTAAGTCGCAGCGGCAGTATCAACTGGTGCCAGCTCTTTGGAACCCAGCTCCGCCCCTTCCAACTCCCAGCCAAGGCCCACCCTGTCCAGCCTCTGGATAAGCCCCTCCCTCTGGCCTGCAAGTCCCGCCCCTTAGGCCTCTGCGTGTCCTGCCTTTTGATGAAGAGTTTTCTTAGGTGAAGGGAGACAGTCCTCTGCTCTTTCCGGGCTTGAGCACGTCACTTTTTAGGGCTACACCCCAGAGCAGAGCCTAAGGGAGATTTGAAACCAAACCACAAGGGCACAGTGGGGAAGTGGAGGTTGGTCAGCCCCCACAGAAGCCCACCCTTTATCCCGATGGCCAGTTGACATGTGTGTCCCCCACTGGACTTAAAGCTCTAAGAGCCAGACCACGTCTGTTCTGTTCAGTAGTGTGTACAACAAGGACTTTGTTCCTTTTAAATTGGAAGGAAGTCAGAGGAGCTCAGTGGAGAGATGCTTGGGTTTGGCACAGAGGTGATGATCCATTAATACTTGAATAGACCAAAGAGAGGAGGCAGCTGGGATCATTCTAGAGAAGGAAAGGCTGGCAAAGGTGTGCCTGGAGCTGCACAAGAGAACTTGGGAGAATAGGGCGGGAGACCTTCCCCCCTGACTCTAAGATGCCCTGACCACTCAGCACTTGTATCTGCAGTATGAGCCAAATTTTTCCCCTCGTAGTAGTCAGTAAAAGTTTGTTCAGTTAGATGGCCCCCTGCCTCATTTATGCATGGGTACAGCAAATATTTATCAAGCTTCATTGTGTCAGTTACTGTGACAAATCCTGGAGCTATAATCAGCAAAACAGACATGTTCCCTGACTTCCAGAAGCCAAGTAAGCGAGACCAAGGTTCTACACACAGATGCTGCAAAACTGCAGGGTAGCTTTGACACACAGATCTTTCCACGCCTCTATTTATGTCTTTGTATATTTGTGTTATATAGTGTATATGTAATTTTTTTGCAAAAATACAATACAATATATTTTGTAGCTGATTTTTCTTTCTAGTTAGTATATTATGGAAACCTTTTCATGTCTTCTCTATGAACCTGCCTTTTTCTTTTTTAAAGGTTTTATTTATTTATTTTTTAGAGAGAGGAAGGGAGGGAGAGAAACATCAATGTGTGGTTGCCTTCCTTGCACCCCGCACTGGGGACCCTACCACCATCCAGGCTTGTGCCCTAGACAGGGAAACAAACCAGTGACCTCTGAATTCACAGGCCAGCACCCAACCACTGAACCACACCAGCCAGGGCAACCTGCCATTTCCTTTTAAATGGCTGTTGCTATTCTGTTTAACCATCATCAATTTCAACAGTCCTTTGTCAATCAGCATGTAGGTTATTTTCCCATGTTTGGTTATCGTGTGATGAACCTATGTGTGAATTTCAGCTACAAAATCTAAATATGCATTGTTTTAGGGCCAGTGTTTATCACAGGCTGTTCATGGGAGCTCTGAGGCTCCAATTTCCAAGCTCCCAGACTGAATAGATGAGAATAATCTGTGTAAATTTTTTTTAGTTAGGGAGGTTTTGTTTTTGTTTTGTTTTGTTTTGTTTTGTTTTGTTTTGTTTTGTTTTAATTTTAGAAGGGAAGGGAGAGAGAAAGAGAGGGAGAGAAACATTAATCTGTGGTTGCCTCTCGAGCACCCCTACTGGAGACCTGGCCTGCAACCCAGGCATGTGCCCTGACAGGGAATTGACCCAGCGACCCTTTGGTTACTGGCTGGCACTCAATCTGTTGAGTCACACCAGCCAGGGCTAGTCAGAGAATTTTTTAAAAGACTCAGGATGTCAGTAAAATACTGCAAGTTAGTTTTGGCCTTTTCCTGTTAAGTGATTTCTTAGAAGCACTAATAATACTTTTTGTTTTCAGTCACCTAAATTGTTACTTTTGGTGCCAAGCATCAAAATCTACCTTTCTACTACCTTACTGCATAGATTCACTCTCTATTCCCTTCTTAAGTAATGTATTTTCTTTATTCCATGCCGGATGAAGCTATGCTTCTCTGATGGACTACAGACTATGTTGTCAGGAGTTTCCAGACACGAAATGAAGTCTGCCTTTACATTTGTGCCTCTAGAACACCTAAGATTAATGAACTTATCCTCTTGACCACCCCACCCTTTGTGCTTTGCAGGTGAGCTGAGGTCTCTGCGGGAGGAGATTTCCCTGTTAGAGCGTGAGAAAGAATGTGAACTTAAGGAAATGGAACGGGAGTTGCACCTGGCCCGGGAGGAGATCCTGAATCTGCGACAAGCCGCAGAGGATTCTGTGACTGAACATGAGAGTGACATAGCATCCCTGCAGGAGGACCTCTGCCGCATGCAAAATGAACTTGATGACATGGACCGCATTCGGGGAGAGTATGAGATGGAGATCGCCTCCCTCCGTGCAGAAATGGAGATGAAGAGCTCTGACCCATCCAATAGTTATAGTCTCTCAGATTTCTCTGGGTTGCAAGGTATGAGAGTGCAAGCGCTCCTCCCGGTCTGTCGGCAGAGTCAAGCGGAGGGAGGCGGTGTACGAGAAGATGGCAGAAGGTGGTCTTAGATCATGAGCTGGGAACCTCTAGAAAGAAACCTCCAGGTTGAAGTCAACACTGTAAAGGAGAAAAACTTACCCAGTGTCACAGAACCAGTCCATCATGGTGTAAGAAATAGCACCTTGGAGGTGTACCCTGAGAATTCTTTCTCAGAAAGCTGCCAGGCATTTGTTGACTTGACTCTGCTGAAGTTCTTCCTGGGAAAGACAGTTCTGGGGTGGGAATCCAGGGGGCTGTCACCTTGGGGAACTCTTCCTGCTGCTCTGGCATCATGGCGCTTTGCCTGGGTTGCTTTCTGTGGCGGGGTGGGGGGTCCTCCAGTCCTGCACCCAGGCCCCAGGATGCTAATTTATAGGCTCCTTTAGCTCTCCCCAAAGTAGAGGCTTTAGGGGGCAACAAATCACAAGACAGAGAAGAAGGGAGGTTATTTCTAGTAATACACGAGGCACTCAAATGCTCAGAGCTCACAAGCTTTCCGTGAATTCCCTGCTGGTTGCTAGGATTCATGACATCAGAGAGTTTGCCTTTATTCTGAGACTAGACTGATGATCTGGGTATAATGGGAGGCCTTGTATTAGGCCCAGTCAAGTAGAGGCAAATCAACAAGGAATCAAAGAAGCACAAGGTTTCCCAGCTGTCACAAGCCTCTCTGAAAGCCTTTGCACTATTGATGTGAGGAGAGCATGGCCCGCCCGGTGGAAAGGCTTGGGCTGGACTTACACAGGCCTCAGCTCTTCATCTCAGCTCCACTGATCAAGCAGAATGAACTTAGGCTCATTATTCTCTCTCTGGACCCCCGTTTCCATATATGTAAAAATTGCTGAATGAAACTTTACAGCTAGATGAGATCCTGGAATAGGAAAAGGACCTCAGGGAAAATGTAGAGGAATGTGGATAAAGTGTAGAGTTTAGTTAATAGAGACGCACCAACCGGATTCCTCAGTCAGGGCACATGTACCCACTGTCGGATGTTAACAATAGGGAAGCGAGGGGAGGACTCTCCCAGGGAATTCTGCACTCTTTGCAACTTTTCTGTAAATCTAAAACTATTCTAAAATTAAAAGGTTACTTAAAAAAGAAAAAGAAACCTTACAGGGCTATTTTGGGAATTCAGTGAAATGTGTAGCTTGTTGAAAGCACTCACATACACACTAACTAAATCCAGGGCTGAAACTGTCACGTCTAATGCTTAGCACATGGTTGATTTTCATAAAGATTAGTTTCCTGCCTCCCTTCTATGATAATCTGCACTATTCCAAGGACTTCTGATTGGAGCGAAAATTAAAAGTGAACTTCAGGATGTTGAAGCTAACAAGTAGGCCTTGTGTGCTAATTAGAGCAAGTTAAGTGATCTTTCAATATCAGTAGAATTCTAAGAGAAATAATTCTTTTTTTTTAAGATTTTTATTTATTCATTTTTAGACAGAGGGGAAAGGAGGGAGAGAGGGAAATATCAATGTGTGGTTGCCTCCTGTGCACCCCCTGCAGGGGGACCTGGCATGCAACCCAGGCATGTGCCCTGACTGGGAATCGTACCAATGACCCTTTGGTTCCCCGGGCCAGCACTCAGTCCACTGAGCCACAGCAGCCAGAGCTAAGAGAAATAATTCTTAATCATAGAGAAACAATACAGATATGGGTATTTTTATTATCACAGCATTAAAAAGTGTTGGGCTTTGGTCGGGTATCTTAGTTGGTTGGAGCATCATCCCGTGAAGCAAAAGTGACGGGTTTGATCCCCAGTCAGGGTGGGTACAGGAGGCACCCGATCGATGCTCATTCTCTCTCTTCCCCCCTCCCACCTCTCTCTCTAAAATCAATAAACATTCTTGGATAAGGATTAAAAAATACACACAGACGTACCTGGTACTTAGATTGGGGCATTTCAGCTAGACCTTTGCAGATGCTGGAGGGTGGTGCATGGGTCTGGTTGAGGTGGGCCCTTCTGTGAACAGATGAAAAATCATCAGAATTCTTGACCCCATGCGGGCCGATGTATTTGGTGTGGTGATAAAGGAAGTGAAGGCACCTTCAGGACACCTGGGTTGTCTCTGAAAGGCCAGGACTGACCCTGTGACACCTGGCAGTTCCCATTCCTCAGCATTTTGTACTAAAAGTATAATAGGAAGGTAATCAAACAGTTCAACTGAAACTTTAAATATAGTAAGCCAAACAAACCATCATAAGCTCCTAAAAATCCCAAGATTCTGTGGGGGTTTGAAGATGGCCACACAGGGCGAATCTTCTGGGAGGATGAAAAGGGCAGCCTCTTGAAAGAAAGCATAGACCTACCGCAGTGTGGAACTTTCTGGGCCTTCTAAGCCTCTGTGTGGAATCTCTTCTGTCTCTAGAAAAAGAGGAGCTATTCGGCCTTTAGCTCTCAGATTTCTAGGCAGGGAAATTGGGCACTGGTGATCAGTGCTTTCTTCCTAAGACCTCCTCTCTCTCATCTTGTCCTCTGCAGAAGAATTGCAACAACTGCGGGATCGCTACCGCTTCCTGAATGAGGAGTACCAGGCCCTGCAGGAGAGTAACAGCAGCCTCACGGGGCAGCTCGCAGATCTGGAGAGTGAGAGGTACAGCCGGGAGGCTGGCGGGGCTCTGTAGGACTGGGCTGTTCCCCGACTAGAACTGGTACAGGCAGATGCTGGGCTAATGAGCACCCCCTCCTCCTGAAGATCCCGTTCTTCCCATGATGTCCGAAGGACGTGCATACCACCTAAAAGCAGGTGTGGGGATCCGACCCCATTGTCTAGGTCCAGCGTTGAGTGAGTTCAAAAACTTAGTTTCCTTCCATTCCAGGCCTTAGAGTCTGGTTTGCTGTGCCCTAGAGTAACTCAGAAGTGATTCCTTTGTCGTCCACATGGTCTCGTTCCAGTCCAGTGGCCTCCAGATTGGAGCCAGCTTGACACCGGGCCCAGCCTCAGGCCTGATTTGCACTCTTAAAATCTCGGAGAGCCAAACAGAACTTGGCCTGTTTGAGGACTTTGTACCACTCTGAATGTGTTTATTTGAGAGAGAAATCACAATAAAAGGCTCCTTACCATTTTTTCTTTTTGCCTAAAATGAAGGCATCAGGACCAAGTACACTCAGCAGGTGATGTTAGGCTGAACGCTCTCCCAACCGTGGCTCTGGGGCTCTGGGTTACAGGACACGAAGAGCAACGGAAAAGTGGCTGGAGTCCCAAACCTTACGGAGTATGGTATCAACAGAGTCTCAGACTGTAGATACGGATTTCTTGGAGTCTGATTCGGAAACCCAGTTGTTGCGACAGCAGCTGCTGGGAGCAGAGGAGCAGATGTTCAACATGCAGAACAAGGTAGGGGAAGGCAGGCCCTTCCTGTTGTCCTTTTACCCTCTCCTGGGCTGTGCAGGAAACACCTCCTTAGACATAGGACCAGGGCCCTGCGGCAGGAGATAGTGCTCTGGGGCCTCTCTTGTTTCCCTGAGGTCGGTGTCCTTCCAGGCCAGTTCTCGGAGTGCGAGTGGTACTTGTAGTAAGTCATCCTCCTGTTTCGTCTCCCACACAGTGTAAGGAAATGTGCTGTGAGTTGCAAGAGCTAAGGCATCATCGCCAGGCCAGCGAGGAGGAACAGAGGCGGCTGCAGAGGGAACTCAAGTGCGCACAGAATGAGGTGCTTCGGTTTCAGACTTCCCATCATGCCACCCAGGTAAACACGGGCGGGAAGGGAGCTTGGGGAGGGCAGAAGGGCCTCCGTGGAGTAACCGCTTCCGGGGAGGATGGACGCAGAGTAAGGCCGTGTGCTCTGCTGGCTCTTGCCCTGCAACCAGGGGACAGGCTCCCGAAGACCCACTGGAGAAGTCACATAGCGCTGCACTCTAGAAATGGTAGTCATTACTGAGTGTCTGCTTCAGGGAAGAAACCAGACCAGACCAAAGACCTGTGGCAGCTCGTCAAGATGTCTGCATCTGGAAAAGAACCCACTGGGTCTGGAGAGGGGTCTGCCATTTCTCGAGAGTAACAGTTCTACCCACATCCTCCCCACCACAGAATGAGGAGCTGAAGTCCAGACTCTGTGCCCTGCAGCAAAAGTACGATGCTAGTCAGGATGAACAGACTGAGCTCTTGAAGGTGCAGCTCCATCTTCAGGCTGAGCTCCGGCAGCTCAAAATCATGAAACCCACAGTCATAGAAAGCCAAAGTGAGAAGGTAACAGCACCCAGAGGGGCAACTTAGGTGTTATGAGGTTTGGGGAAGGTGGTTAGGAGTAGAGAGTTAAAATAACCCAGCCGCCACCTACGTCCGCAGCACCATGGGTGAGGAACACCGGCTGCTCTCCAGTACCGTGTTTGATGAGGGGACAACCAGTGCATGGAGGGCAGGGAGAAGTCAGTTCTTAGGCCACCTGTGTCTGACAGTGACTCAGGCAGAGAAGCGAGGGGGCTGAGGATCCCAGGAGTACTGCCCGAAGCCCCCTCCACCGCAGGAGTTACTGTGCCGACTCCACAAGCTGCAGCTCCAGTATCAGAACGTCACATGTGATAAGGATAAGCTGCTGGAGGAGCAGCAACAACTGCAGGAGGACCTGCGGTACCACAAGGCAGAGGTGCAGCGCCTCAAGGACATCTCGGACTGCTTCCAAGAGAGCAGTGAGAAGGTAAAAGAAGCGTCAGGTGAGGGAGCAGGGGAGAAGGCCGAGCTGCCGTGCCAGGACAGGTACACCGGAGGAGCGGGGATGCTAGGAGGCTTGCGGAGGAGCCGCTGGCAAGGGCGATAGAGAGTTGCCTAGTAGAAAGGTGATCTCAGAGAATCACGATGCTCTCAGGTTCCTCTGATTTTAAATCCGAATATCGGCCTGTAAAAAGGGAGCCCTTTCCTTTCTCCACTCCCCAAGATGGAAGCCCCAGTTCCCTGGTAGGGACTCGTCCATCTCAGGGAGCCCTCAGTGGGATGAAACTGGGACCGGAAAGGTCCGGGTAGGACCCCCTTAGTCATGGCCTTAGAGTTGAGAGTGCAGCCACCAAGGTTCCTGGGGTGATGGCGGGCCTGCCTCCCCTGCCCCAGAACGCCGAGATGCAGGCTGAGCTTCAGGAGATGAGGCAGCTGTACCAGATGCGCCAGGACGAGCTGGAGCGGCAGAGGCACATGTTTGATCAGCTGGAGGAGGACTTCCTGCTCTGCCAGCAGGAGCTGAGGCAGCTCAAGATGACCCAGCCCATCCCAGAGGACCAGGGAAAGTGTGGTAATAAGGTAACTGTAATTCAGGGAGCTGAGACCTCCTGGGCACTTCCTCCAGAGAAAGGAGGTAAGGGCAAAAGAGGAAGTCATCCATCTACCCAAGGGGCTTGGTGGGCTCTTGTCCAATCACAGCTGAGTGCGTCAAGGCAGGAAATAGTCAGAGCCCCATGCTGTTAACTTTAAAGCCATTTGCCTTGACCTCGACCCGAGCCACAGCTTAGTAGGATCAGTACATCTGGATCCAGGCTGAACACTGGAAGGCTTGCACATAATTCCATGTGTAATGATACCTTGTCATTTTCATGGAGAACATACGCACAGGCCCATGTGGATAACTGTGATTGTTAGAAGCAGAAAGAGAAGGTCTGATTTGCTAGAGCAGGTTGCAGATGCGTGTCAGACGGCGTGGCCTTGTGCCCATAACACCGATTGGGTGAGAAGGACCTAGGCTCTTCTAGGGTTCGTTTTGTGACTTCACAGCAGTTAAGTGCGCTCTGCTTCATTTTTACCTGCTAAATGGAACAGAATTCTGATCTTACCCCACTCTCTTTCAGTTATAAATCCTGGTAGTGACAAATGAAGCCTTCCTTACTCCTGCTCTCCTTGTTTCTCATAGTGTGTAAAATGCAAGTCACTGTCAGGTGCCCAGCGTTGAGCACTTTGGGGATTGCTGATAGGAGCTGGAAAGGTGTTGAAGCGTCATAGAGAACAGGCCCAAGATGCTCAAAACATCGTGGAACAAGTCTCATCCTGCCAGAATACTCAGTAGCTCCTGCCACAGCCGACAGCAGGCTGTGTCCCCAGGGAAAGGCCTCCGGGGGAGACAGAGCTGGGGAGGCCGTTCGGGCCACCCCAGCAGCCCACCTGCCTTTCTGCGCGCAGGCTCACACTCCCCCCTTCACCCATCCCCACCAAGCTTAGGAGTCGGGGCTGCGGCCTGGCTTACCCCTCTTCCCCGAGTGGGAGACGCACAGCATGCAGCATACAGAGCGAGTTTTCTCACAGGTCGTAAAACAGACTAACAGATTAGTCTGATAGTAGAAGATTTCGGTGTTTAGAACCATAGAATGATTTCATCTTCTTAACCCAAATTTAGCAATAGGGCATACTTTTCTAAAGAGTTTAAAAGGTGATTATGGAAAAAAATAGGGTGAAATTAAGTCCTTATTGGTAAGGAGCATACTTAGGAATGAAAAGAAATGGAGGATAATGAGAGTAACAGGAAGTAGAAAATGGTGGGGGTAGGGGAAATGGGAACAACTGTAATTGAATAACAACAAAAAAAAATTTTTTTTAAAGAAAATGGTATATACCAAAGGAAAGGGCCAGGGGGAAAAGAGAGGCAGGGAAATAAAACACTCTCACTAAAAATGCTCTTGGAGGAGACTAATGAAGAAATTCAGAGCGTGGTCACACAGCCATCCCAAGCATACCTACTCCGCATCTAAACCTGTATGAGCGCAGCGAGACTCAGGATAATCAGTACAGGGAGGGCGGCCCTGGTAAACGGCAAGAGGCAGAAGAGCACAGAAGTACTCTGCCAGCCACGTGGGCAGAGGACTGCCTTACGGAGTAACCATCTCTCCATGCCCCTCCCCACCCCATCCACAGTGTGATGCACTGCTCTCCAAACTGACAGAACTGCAGGAAAAGTACCAGGCCAGCCAGAAGGAGATGGGGCAGCTGCAGATGGAGCAGTATGAGCTCCTGGAGGATCAGAGGAGGTTGCAGGAGGAGCAGGGCCAGCTGCAAGAAGAGATGCACAGGCTCACGGTCCCGCTGCCCAAATGTGGTCTCCTCCCGAAGGTAACCGTGGCCAGTGAATGGCTGCGAACTGCAGCCATGTGGCTGTGAGGAGCTTCCCAGGTGTGACCGTACTTGGGAAAAAGAAAAGGAAGGATGGAGATAGAGATTTTTCTTTTCTTAACCAGCCACTCCTTACTTTCTCACCAATCTCAAACCAAAAAATTTAACATAGCTGATTAGGGTTTTACACCTTAAAATACTTTTGATGTTCTGGAATCTGCCCAGCGTTTTATATTTATATATTTAGTACATCTGGAGAAAATATACTTGAAAGCACTTAGTAAACTACAAAATACATCCAAACTTACGAGATCAGTGCCACTCTGTATGAGCAGATCTCCCCGGGGGGGACAGCCCCTGCCCCAGACAGGCTGTGCACAGCCAGCCCAGAGGTTCCTAAGGGGAGGGTCCCCAGCAGGAGGGAGGCAGCGGGCTTCCATGCCGCCACCACCACAGTCCCTGCTCCTTCCTTCCACCCTGCCTCACAGAGTGAGGAGATGCTTACAAAGCTGCAGGACCTGTGTGAACTCCAGCTGCTCTACCAAGGCATGCAGGAGGAGCAGAAACAGCTGATAGAGCATCAGGAAAATGTATTGAAGGACCAACTAGAACTGCATAAAGAGCTGCGTCTCTTCAAAGAGTCTCATTTCCAGGAAGTGTTGGACAATCGGGAAGGTTCCAAATCGCTTAAGTCCTCCCAGTGTGGTCAAAACAAGGTAACCATAGTGAGAGGCAGGGAGACGGCTCTGGGGACAGCAGGGAAAAGGGCTGCACAGAAGGGTCGGGGACCGGAAGGCCTGTGTTTGTTCAGCCGGGAGTAAGGATGAGACTGTGTCCCTGACCGGCGCCAGCCACAAGTGCCCCTGGGCTCATTCAGCTGTGGCTTTAGCTACGGCCTGAGGGCCCACCCCATGTGCTCGCCCAGCCAAGCCCTGTGAGCGCTTAGAACCGGGATGACCCAGATGTCTGTACACACCTGATAATTTGTCTCAATCCCTTCAACATCTCATCTTCAATGTCGCATTTTCCAGATGAGTAACATTTAGTGTTTGTTTGGATTGCTTGGGACTGACTCCGAGAGTATCGTCCTTTTCTCGGGAGCTGGGTGATCATTGAGAAGTACACTTTTCAATGATAAAATCTATAACCTTTTAGTGTTCTACATGAGCCCAATGTGGGCCATTCATTTCCAAGGCAAGAGTTCCTAGCCGGTGGGTCTTTTGGAAGGGACCCCACTGTCTTCACTGCACTGTTGAGAAGAACAACAGCCAGGGCAGAGGGGTTAGACACCAGCAAGGGGTCATGTCTCGGAGGCCTCACAGGTGCAGATTTCCATGTAAGTCTTTCAGGTTTGGGGGGTGAATTTGGCCTGAGATTTCATTAGGAGCAAGGAAGTGCAGGTTTAGGCAAAGCAAGACTGTTTTGGTTTAGGCAAAAATCAGTTCATTCAGATACAGGCCTGGACAGGGGAATTCAGGGAATAGCAGCAATCTGAATTGCAAGATTTGGTCAGATTCCAGGAGGAGCGATTTCAGCCTGGATGACACAGAGACCAGGAACCAGGCATAAAATATTTCCTTAGCTGATCGGATCTCATCCTGGGCATCAACAGCCAAGAAGCCAGGCCCCGAGGGCCAGGGAAACATACCCACAGTCCAGATTCAGAATTGGCGTAGGAGGTACAGGGACTCAGAGTGAGACCTCGATTCCAATTCCCCATCTTCTGAGGGAGGAATTCTTTGTATGCTCACATTCAAGGCCAAGGCTGATTTTAGAACTGGGGGTAGGGGAGGAGACTGAGTCCAAAGGTCAAAGTAATGATACACCTGGCTGAAAAGAGAGTAGGGTATGGAGCCAGAGTGTTCTCGAGACCCACTCAGTACTGTTCTAAGGAGAGAGGGATGTACCTAAGTGCAGAAATGGGAGCCCAGAATCGTGGAGTGCCTGCCCTGGGGAGATTTTCCCCAATGAGCAAGAAACTGACCCATGCCAGTTACCTGTAGGCTAAGCTGGCGACCTTGGCTATCGTGAGAGCAGCGTGAAAGTGAGCAGTTCTCTCAAGTGTGCTCTCAGACGTCTGCACAGGAGGGTGCAGTTAGGACTGCAGCATTCGAGTAACGATACTGTCTCCCACCTGCTCCCGGCAGTCCAAGATGATCATCGCCCAGATGCAGGCTCTGCAGGACCTGTACCAGGCCAGCCAGACAGAGCAGGAGCTGCTGCAGCAGGAGCAGGGGAGGCTCCTGGAGGAAAGGAAGAGGCTGCAGGCTGACTTGGAGCTCTGCCTGGAAGAAATGCAGTTGCTCCAAGCCCAGTCCCCGTCTATAAAAATGAGCCTCGAATCCTACAGGAAGAGTTATCGCAGCAGCAGTGACAGCAGTGAGAGCTATCACAAGAGTTACGAGAGCACCCAGGGCAGCGAAGAGAGCTTTCACAGGAGCTGCGACAGTGATTTCAGCAGTACCTCCGAAACCTATCTGAAGAGTTACCGCAGCAGCAGCAGCAGCAGCAGCATCGTTGCTGATAAGGGTTACGACCTCAGCGGTAGCTCTGACACCCATTATAAAGGTTACATCAGCAGCACTGAGGACGAACCTGCTGAGCCCGAAGATATAGAGGTAAAAGTAGCCAGGTGGCATGTCAGACAGGGAAAGAAGGTTCTTGTCTTATTGAGGAAGGGCCTAGCAAAGAGAGTGGGGCGGAGGGCAGGTTCTTCCCAGGACACCGTCACTCCTCCCCCATCCTCCACAGCACTTTTTGGACGTGGTGGCCAAGGTGCTGGTCAAGCTGCAGGGAGTGCGGGCCTTGTACCAGCTCAGCCAGGAGGAGCACGACCTGCTGCAGGAGCGCATGAGGGTGCTCCTGGACCAGCAGATGGAGCTGAAGGAAGAGCTGGATGCCTGTGAAAGGGAATTCAAGGACTGCATCGAGGGCCTTGAGAAGCCTGTTAGCTCCCAAAATGATAAGAATGAGGTAACTGCCATCAGGGAGGCAGGGTCTCTTGTAGGAGTCCCCAGAGCCATTGCAGAGAGGCCGAGTGAAGAGAGAGGGACAGGAGCTCACTACCTGCTCTGCACAGCTGCCCCCTTCCTGCCAGACTGCACGGTGTGGACAGAGTCCCAGGAGGCTGGGCAGTCCTCTGCCTCGCTGATGGGCATTTCTCGGGGGCCCGCTACGCTGGGATTTCCTGGTCTTCAAGACTGTTTGAATAATTTCATTTTTCCCCTTTGCCGCTTCTGTTCTCTTTCTCTCTGTGCCCTAGAGCACTTCTGTAGGGTTATATTTTTTCACCTGCCAGTTTTTTGTAGCTATTTTATGTGTATTTGTCTTGTTACTGTGACCACATTGTCAGCTTCTCAAGGACAGGCCCCAGCTCCCCTTGGATCTGTCGTCATGCCAAGAGGCGTGTCCTGCACCCACTAGCAGTGGGGCAGAAGGCTCTGTCTCTGACCAAGAGCAGCCGGCAGTCCAGGGGGGGGTCACTGGGTGTGCTTGGGAGAGGTTCCGAGAGCATTCGACATGCAGGCCTAGGTTGCTTAGTCTCGGTACGTGCCAAGGAGACCCCGCTGTGCTGCCGGAGGTCAGGAAAGGCGGAGCCAGGCTTGGCCAGCAGGCTGGGACTTGCCTCTGTTTCCAGGGCGAGGCGAGGTGCCAGGTCCACTCTCAGGAGTGTTCTGCACGGTTCCCGAGGTGGTTGTGCCTGATAGAGAAACAGTTCGGGTGAAGGAGGAGTTCCCATCGAAAACTGATAGAATGCAGCCCAGCATTCGGGAGGGGTGGCTCCCCAGTTACTCTCCGGACGGGTCCCTGTAAAAATACAACCCAGAGCATCCTGTTTTGGTCATGTTAGATGTAAATCATCCGGTGCCTCAGGTGAGGAAGGAGCTCTTTGTAAAACTGCCTTAGAGGCTCATTTCCTATGGTTTTGTGGGGATTTTTTTTTTTTAAAGTAGCTTGCCTGATGTCATTCATTTAGTAAGTGGTGAGGCTGAGATTTGAACCCAGGCAGCCTGGTTCGAGAGTCCATATTCTCAGTCACTATGTTCTGCTGCCAACTCTAGGGCCCTCGTGTTTTCTTTGTTGTCTGCTTGCCCACGGGGTCTAGCTGGGAACTTCCCGAGGCAGGGCCCCCAGGCAGGGCCCAGGCGGACTGCATAGGCCAGGCTGTGGGTAACTGGCCCTGCACTGCCCGCAGATCAGAGAGCTGCAGGCCAAGCTGCGGGAGCTGCAGCTGCAGTACCAGGCCAGCATGGACGAGCAGGGGCGGCTTCTGGCAGAGCAGGAGCAGCTGGAGGGGCAGCTGCAGTGCTGCCAGGAGGAGCTTCGCCAGCTCAAAGAGAAGCAGTCCTCCGTTACCAAGGGAAATAGTGCCCGCGAGAACACCAGCGAGAACACCAGTGAGGTCGAGAAAGAGGCATCCAAGCCGAGCCTGGAGAGTTCTGAGTCCAGCTGTGAGGCCAGGCAGGTGAGTAGGAACCTCTGTAGCCAGCAGCAGGAAGGTGGATGAGGTCCTGGGAAGACGAATGGTCTCTACCACCATCTGACCGGGAGAGGTGTTTGTAGAGAAGCTTTTGGGGTCCTAGGGTGTCCAGAGTGGTTCTGTCTTGGTAGCAGTTTGGTGCACCCCCTTTTCCTGTGAAGGCACGGGGGAGGTAGAATACAGACCACGCGTACATATGTGGGGTTCACAGCCCCACAGGCCCACAGCCTCGAGGCTGGACAGCTGCTTCGGCTAACCCAGCCCAGTTTTCTGGGGCCCTGTTCTTCCTGGGTCACATGCTCAAGAGAAGGACCAAATGAATGAAAAGAGAGAAACTTATTCAAAGTAGTTGTGTATAGACAGAGGAGGAGCAGGTAAGACAGGAGTGGCTGTGCAGGGGCAGGAGGAGCAGGTGAGGTGCCGAGCTTGGGAAGCTGTAGCTCCCACAGCCATCTGGAGTAGTTAATGGCCAGAGAAAGGCGTTGCTCCAGGGAGTCTGGGCGTGACTACCCTCCGCGCCGTGCCGTGTGCACGGAGATCGCCGGTCCCAGCTCACAGTGCTGCCCAGGCACCGCGATGAGACGGGCACCACGATGTGTTCTTGACGTAGTGCAGCGTTGTGTTGAGGGGAGACATCTTCGTAGGTAACAGCATCCCCCATCCTGCCCCGCCTCCGCCCACAGAGTCTGGAGGTAGTGCTGTACTTCAGGGCCAGCAACACGGAGGCAGATGACCCACCAGAGGAGGAGAAAGAGGAAACGGAGGAGGAAAAGAGGGAGGAAATTGAACAGGAACCAAAGGAGGAGAAAGAGGAAATGGAGGAGGAAGAGAGGGAGGAAAGTGAACAGGAACCAAAGGAGGAGTCCGGGAACGAAGTAGTTTCTGAGCCCCCAGATCCCACAGAAATGAAGGCCACAGAAGATGAGGAGGCGGGATTTGAAGAGTCCCAAGACCAGGGGGGAAAAGAAGACAACCAAGATGAAGAGGACGGCTCCTGCCCTGAAGGTTCAGCGGAAAACCCCCTCAAAATTTCTGAGAGCAAAAAGGTAATTGCTGCCGAAGGAAGTGGGAAGTGGGCCCTTGGGCTCACAAGGCGCCCCGGCGTTCAGGGTGACCGGCCCTGGATGGACTTCCGCAGGAGTGGAGGCCAGGGGTCTCCGAGGCAGCCCACTTGGGGAAAGCAGAGCTGGAGACGGAATTGGAGAGAGTGGGCTCTCTGCGGAAGATGGCGGGCTCACCCCCTCTGCCGTGGAACTGTGGCACAAAGACCTCCTTTGCTGGGTGGCTGTCGGAGTCCTGCCCCCTTCATTTACATGGTGGCACTTGTCATTTATGTCAGGAGGGTGTCTCCCTGCTTAAGTGCATGAGTGCATGAGGGATGCGGACAACGCGGGGCCTTCAGCCTGGGCCAGTCACTCAGTCCCCTGCCCACGGTGCCCTGTAAAGTGTGACCTTTGTTGCCGTTAGGAGTGGGCGGAGGGCTGGTGTCACCCACTGGGCTCCGTATGTTACGAGACATGAGGGTGGGGGCCTGGAGTAATCAGAAGTGGTAGGATATTTCAGTCCGTACAGTGGGTCATTGACCTTGACCAGTCCAGGAAGACCAGCCAGAACCCCAGCTAACCCTTTACTTGCTGGATTTTGAGAGGTTGAGGTGGGAGTATCCTGGGTCATTCACCAACAAAAATACAAAAGTGTTTCTGTACTTTAACAACCGGAACATCTGCACAGGTACGTACCAGCCGAATTCCTGCCCCGGTTGAGGTTAACTGGTGGCTCCGCTTCCCTGCAGAGTTTGAGTGCTTCCCGACTGAGTCCTTGGTTTACAGTCCCAGTTCTTTCTGTCCCTCTAAACACGGGAAGAAAATAAGTCTCTTGTGGGGGGGTGTCGCAGTCAACTTGAAGGCCGTCTTACTTTCTGGCAGTTGAGTCAGCAGCGGTGGCCGAGGTTCGCACATGCAGTCCTTGTGACCCTGCGGCAGGCGTTACCCGGGACGTGGGGTGGGAGAGCCGCGCACTCTTCCCCGGTGTTGTATTTCTCTGAATTCCTGGTATTTCACCTCGGGTTAGCTCAGAGCCGCAGACATTCCCCGGCCTTGGGTGCCATCTTTCTAAAGGCCAGACCTGATTTGTCCGAGGTCAAGCACGTCACTTTTGTCTGCAGAGGGAGGTGACCCTTTGGCCCAGTGGGTCCCGCGTCTTCTGTAGGCAGCTATACTGGCAGGTGCCACCTCCGGCAAACTGCTTCTCTCTGGGAGACTGCCGCAGGCCAGGAGCTGGCCCTTGTCCATCGTCGGCTTGTTGTAGTGCATTTTGTCCTACCACCTTGGTGTTACACTCCTGGGGGATTGTAGGGACCAGAGCCCAGAACATTTAAAGACTTAGTGGAAAACAGCCAGGACAGGGCCAACAAAGGGACAGGTGGTCTGGCAAGAGAGGGGCTCTTCCCAGGGTGACAACACACACCTCCTCCTCATCCAGAGAGCCCAGCTTTCTTTGTCGAAGTGCCACTTCTCCAGTTTCCTACAGGAGGGGCCTAGGTGCAGACCACCCCCGCTTGCCAAGACATGAGGGGGATATGACAAGGGGAAAAGCTGGACGCACCCGCCGATTTAGACCTAAGCCTCGGCTAAGCCCGTTCCGGTTCCCACCCTCCGGAGGCCCCCAGCGGGGAGAACCAGGCCCAGGCAGCAGGGAAGAGACCCTGCTGCTCTCGCTGCCCAGTTTAACCTCTCAATCTCTCTCTCTCTTTTCCCTTTGTTTTCTCATCTCCGTTATCTGTTGGATTCATGTGTTTATGTCTTTTTACGCCACCTTCCATGTCCCGGTCTCTCCTCGTGCTTCTTTCTCATTTGATTCGTTGCAGCCATCCCCTGCCCCCAGTCCCCCCATCTTCTCCTTGCCTCTCGTAGGCCTGGTGGTCATATCGGCTTTGCTCTGGTGCTGGTGGGCTGAGACATCGTCCTAACGCAGGTACTGGGACTGGGTCTTCTGCGGAGGGATCCAGGGAGGGTGCAGGTGGCCCTTGCCTCCCCTCTTCCTCTTATCTCTCAGCTGCTTGCTTCTCGCTTTTGCCGTTTTGTAACAGGCAGTCCTGGGGTCTGAGTGTTCGCTCTGGCTTTTCCTTGGGCTACAGCAAAGCCCGCGACGTCTCGGAGCACGTCTCCACAGCACAGAGGCAGTTGGAATGCTTCCTGTAGACATGGTTTGAGTTTCTGGCTGGGAAAGAAATGGGATGATCCCAGCACTGTTGCTGCCGTCAGAGCTGCCTGGCCATTTCTGATGGGCTGATGTCCGATGGCCCTGGGGCTCTTTATTGAGTCCCCAAACCAAGCTTTCAGTGTTGTAACTGCCCAGGATGGCAGTCGGAGGAATTGTCGCCTCCCCTCTTGGGTGAGAGAGGGGCCTGGAGAGCTGCCGCCCCAGGCGTGTGTGTGTGTGTGTGTGTGTGTGTAAGGGTAGCTGCAACTTATCCGAGAACCTTTGGGAAAATGGAACTGAAACCCCTCCCATATTATATACTTTCTGCTGAGAAGTTCTCTGATGCGGGGCTCTGGTCTCCAGAAAAATCAGAACAAGAACGCCAGGAAATATCTTCCAGTTGTCTGTTTATCCGTTTTGGGGGCCCGGTTCTATTGTAATTGGCTTCCCAAGCTGGGCTTTCTGGAGAGAATGTAGTACTGGTGAAAAGTTTCCACCAGCCAGAGACCCTAGTGTCCTCAGGGAGCGAGGGCTGGCATTTTCCAGGCACCTTCCAGTCGGCCAGTCGGCCAGTCTGCAGTCTGGTCCGTCGGCAGGGCACCAAATTCAGGAGGCGGGTGTGGTCTTAGGGCCTGAGGTAGAACCCCGGGTCCCACCTGCCTTCTGGACCCCACAGTCTTCTCTCAGCCTGGTTCGGCTCCTTCCTCAGGCTCCCCCAGCCACTGCCCCTCCCCCACCCTCCTCCTCGTGTCCCGGGAAGTGGAGTGGGGTTGGCCTGGTGGGCAGGTTCAGGGTGGCGGCAGCTGAAGCGTTTTCTGGGAGCTCATCACCGTTTCCTTCTCTCTCCTTCCCCCACTCCCCGTCACTTTGAGGGGTTCTCCTTACGTCCCATGGACAGTCTTCAGCTCCTTTGGTGACGGGTCTCTCCCCGAATCCTTCCTCCCCCGTACATTTCTGAGTCCCCGTGGGTGAGGCACAGAGCATTCAGCCATAACCTTCCTCCAGCTCAGACGCAGCCAGGCCCAAGCAGAAGGAGCTCCCGGGTAAGGGTCCTCCCAGGGGAGCTTGCTGTGGTCAGAGCCCGTTGCACCCCATTATTCAGCCCCCCAGCCAGGAGCAGAGGCAGTGACGGCAGAAACCGGCTGACAGTTGTCAGAGAACTTGGTTGAGTCTGCCCGTGCTGCTTGTAGCTTAGTTCCAAGGGGCAAAATACATAATCTGAATGTGCGTTTCTTCAAATGTAAGGGTTATAAATCTCTGCCTTGTTGAGGACCAGATGAGTTCATGTATGTAAAAGTACTTTACAAATGATAAAACACCACGTCAAAAAGCATTTACAAAATGCACCCTCTGCTATGACCGTTCTGGTCGCCTGATCCATAATAACACACTGAAATCTTACAACAGCCCTTCAGGGCAGCGGCTGTTATCACTTGACGTTTGATAAAATGAAGGCGCAGAGAGGTTAACTACTACAGCCAGGAAGTCGTGAATCAGATTCTAAGCGCTTAACATTAGCAAGAGGTAAAATTTCAATCCCGCTTTCCCTTATCATCTCATTTTGAGCAATTTTCCTTGACTGCTTCCAGGTCATTAGGAGGACATGGTACTTCTCTTGGTAACTAGGAGCGCACCATTCATTTATTTCACGTGTGGTTTATAAAACCCCTTTGCACATCACATATGCTGACTGACCCTCCCCATTCTCTACCTGCAGTTGAGTTTTTGGATCCAAGACAGAATTTTTCATGCATCCCTATTAGAGATAAACCATTGATCTAACCTGTAAAGCTTTTTTAACCTTGACTCTGGTTTCAAAGTATTCCCATTCCCTCCCAGCTTCAGTCACCCTCAGGGCTCACACCCTCATGTCCTCATCCAGGTTACAGGTGAGGGCTGAACTGAGACTCTCGAGCGCCACCTCTGCAGGCTCTTGACCAGCTCATCTGTCACCTAACAGATGGTCACGCAACAAACTGTCATCCCACTGCCTTCCTCATACTCCAAACGCGTCATGGAAAACCTTGTCCAACACCTTAAGTCTAAAACATGATTTTCTTGATCTGTGAATTTATTTTATTTTTTGTTTTTTAATTTATTGGGGGTGACACTGGTTAATAAAGTTCTGGGGTTCAGTTCTACCTAACACATCACGTGCTGATGTGTGAATTTCGGGCCCCAGCCTGACAGGAGAACCCGACGCGACTTACCGCTCGTGGCGCCCACACCAGCCCTTCGCTCGGCCGGTCTGGGCTCCTGCCTCCGCCCGGTCTGACGGGCACCAGGTCACCTTTATGGGCTTCGGCTCCTTCCTCCTAGAAGAACGTCAGACTGACATTCTTAGCAGTGAACATTAGGATAGAAGCATCTGCGTGTGTAAATATTTTCTTACATAAATTATATACCCGCCTCCAACATTGCTTTGCTTCCCATTTCATATGTTCTTTTTAGCAACTTTCCAAGTGTGGGAGGTTTTCTTTGCTCTTTATAGTTGGCTTAAAATCCTGTTTGTAGACCGTTTTTCTCTAAGTAGACGCATTCTGGGCATTAATGGGCTATAGCTGCCCTTCTCTAAAACTGTCTTTCTGTTATGCCATAGCTCATGACTTATAACCCAGATTCTGTGTTTCAAGTAATAAATACAGGAAAAAAAGGAAAAAAAAAAACAATAAAAGCAGGAACTGTTTCCCCAAGTAGGTATTTTCTTGTCCAAAATTTTCTGTTCCCTAAATGATGTTTATCGTCCCGCGAAGCGGCCGGGCTTGCTAAAGTCAGCAGGGTTGGGCAGCCTCCCACATGCTCAGGAAGTCGTCAGCACCCCCGGGAACTGGGGGTCTCTAATGACGCTGGCATGTGCCTCCCAGGGCCAGCAACCGGGTTCCTTGGATTTCTTTGAGCCAACATTGTCCCAAAGGGTTGGGGCCGCCTGCACCCCATGGGGCACTTTCTTCACTTCCCCCTCGATCCCAACACCCTCTTGACTCTGGGCTGCTTCTCCCTGAAACTAGTGAGGTGCTGCTGCCTCTCTCAAAGGCCCCCTTTGCCCTCATACTTTTGCCACAGTATCCAGTCCTTTCTCATTGCCACCATTCGGTAGTCTGAGGTCTGACTTTGAGTGCCTCTGCACACGGGAACCGGTCTTCTCACTCACGGGGCACATGCACAGGTGTGGCCCCAGGTGGTCCACGCAGGGTCGTTCCAGGACTCGGAGCGCACTGTCTCCAGCGTTTGCCCAGCAGGTAAGAGGGAGTGGACCCTGGTGGTCCCGAGGTGTCTCCAGCACCAGCAGGCAGGGCATCTCTGGTTTGGGGCAGGGTTCGGAGGCCTGGGCACTCACCATTTGTCTTTGGTCCCCACAGAACATGTTTGGGATGTGGAAGCCCGTGGTGTTCTTGGCTCTTGCAGCTGTGGCTCTGTATGTATTACCCAACATGCGGCAGCAGGAGACAGAGTTCTGCCTCCTGGAGTGATGGCAGACCTGGGCCAGCCAAGGGGGCAGATCCCAGGGGCCACTACCCTCGGCTTTGGGCACCACACACTGTGCCAGAGCCCCGCCCACCATGTGTCTCATGTGTCCCCGTCGTCTTAGCTTCAGCCACCCAGGCTGGAGAGGCTTAGTGGGGGCTGCTGGCTCCCATCTCCCGTGTTGTATAAGAGCCTGGGTCCCTTGGAATTAAATGTCAGCCTGACTACATGAGACTTTGTGGCTTTTCTTTGTTAAATATTTCACAACACAACCAGAACAGAGCAGTTTCCCTCAAGCCAGGCCCCTCACATAAGGGTCTGACTCCTGAATAGGATTTGTCACCGACAGATGACGTCAGAAACGAAGCTGGTTCCCGTGCCGGCAGCCACATTGCGGATGGGTTGGTCTGTCACAAGGAGCACATCTGGGCACCGAGAACGGGAATGACCTGCGTACCTTGCAGGAGGGCGCCCAGTGACCTGCCTGCAGGTCCCGTGCCCGCACCTGCAACCTGGAGAAGGAGGCCCTGGGGTCTGTGAGTGAGCCTCTGGGGCTTAGTCCATGACTTCTGAAGGGACTCGCTCTTAGTGATAACTAATAGTCGCTCAGCACCCTGGCAGTAAGCAGGTCACCCATTGAAAAGCTTTAACTCAAGAATTTACCAAAGGGCGGAGTTGGAGAACCAGCAAGGAATTAGCAGAGTCCCTGGGCACCAGCACAAGTGCAGAGTGGCTGTCATTCCAGGCCTGTACAGGGGCCCAAGACACACATGGAGGCCACAGGGGTGTGGCCTTTGTCAGCCACAAATGAAGTGGGGAATTTATGTACTCCTGCCCCCTGAGTTCCTCTTGGTACCCCTCACAGGCCCTTTGAAGATAGCACTGATTCGGGGTGGCCCACAGATGAGCAGCATTGGCATCGTGCGCTTGTTGGAAAGGCAGAAGCTCGGGCTCCCTTCAGACCAATGACACACACAGCCTGCATCGAACAAGACCCCCATTCAGTGAGCAGTGCACGACAAAATCCGAGGCCCTGCCTCAGTAACATCAGACTGTGTGTCCTCAGTTTTAACCCAACCGAAGAAATCCCTTCACAGCCCACCAGTGCCACTGGCACCTGGCTCCTGAGTTACGTGTAGAGAAACTGCTTTTTATCCACTTTGCTCTGGCCACCAGTCGGCTGGAGAACTAAGTGGTGGAAAGGACCACCAAGGATCATGATTTAACTTGGCATTGATTAGAAGTCAAGATGGAGCCCTGGCTGGTGTGGCTTAGTGGATTGAGCACTCGTCTGCAAACTGAAAGGTCACCAGTTGAATTCTCAGTCTGGGACGGGCGCCAAGTCCTCAGTTGGGGGCATGAGAGAGGCAACCAATTTCTGTTTCTCTTGCACATGGATGTTTCTCTCCCTCTTTCTCCATTCCCCTCTCTAAAAATAAATAAAGTTTGGTTTTTTTTTTTAAAGAAGGTGGAGGTCATGGTCAGGCAGGTGGTTGGCCCCCAGTCAGACTTCAGCTGTTCTTCCCAGACCTGAACCTAGAGGCCGGGCAATGACAAAGGGGTCCTGCTGTCCCCCAGCCTTTTTGCCTAGAACACAGAGCTCTCCCATTAGGACACTGCCCCTGTGGACTCATATTAGAATGCCACTCTCTTCATCTTCTGCTCTCTGACTCCTGGTCCTGCTGATACTCTTGACCAGAGTAGATTAAAGAGGTCTCTTTGTGTTGAATGTGATTGTCACTTGAGCTCGCCTTAGCCCTCCAGGGGTGTCTCTTAGAAGCTGGGGGGCTTGCACCCAGGCTGAGGTGCAGGTAGAACCCAGGACTCGAAGCACCTTTAGGAGCCTCCAACTCGCTCCATCCTGCATAATGGCTCCCTTTCTGCTCTCTCCTTGCGCAACTGCCCTTCCCAGGTCACGTGGCACAGCACACCACCTGCTACTCCTGTCAAGGACCAGCTGCTATTGGGGGGCAGGGTGAGCGGTTCTTAAGATCGGGAGTACTCTAGCTCTGATTCTGGCAGGTGCAGGGTTAGGGTACAGGGAAAGGAGGAGGGCAGCAGGGTGGAGATCCTGGCAGTGGACTAAACGGACGGAGATGGAGCTGGGAGGGAGACCTAGCTCACCGGAACCCACATGGCTCCTCAGATACCAGCAGACGAAGCAAACCAACTCGCACCATGCTCGTTCTTTTACATTCTCTGCTTTCATCTTCGCACATAAAGAAATCCCTACGAGAGCAGTGTGAACTCCGTTTTAGAGATGAGGAAACTAAGGCCCAAAAGACATGATCTGCCCAAGGTTACAGAACCCATGGATCTTTCCATCCCACCCACTGTCTACGGCACCTGGGCAAGGACCCCAGTCAGTATCACTGACTGGCCAAAGTGCCCGCTGTGAGCCAGGCCGGCCTGCTTTCCTCATGGGTGACTACGGAAATGTCCCTGGCTCCAGAAGAAAACAGGCTTCTCAGATGTGGCCCATTGGACCCGCTCATTCAGACTCTGCTCAGACCAAGTTAAATATGGCCACTGACAGTGGTGGATGAGCAGTGCCCCTTGAGGGAAGAAGGAGGGCCAGGTGGAAGGCAGGCAACCTGTTCCCCCGAGACAGGTCAGCAGGCGGTGAGTCAGGGGGCTATAAACGGCCTGTGGCCCCAGCCAGCACTGCCCCAAATACTCAGCTGATGAAACCCCCTGTAAGCCCCTCTGTGTGCCCCTGCCTGGCTTGGGAGGGAACACACTGGCCCACAGGGAGGCCACCCCAACTTGGCAGACCCCAGGACCAGCATTGCGCACGGTCTGTTCCAGCCTCCTGGCCCGGCCTGGGGCCTGGGTTCATGGGCTATATTGAGGACTGAGTCACCAGCAGGCCCCTGGGTCAGGCCGCTGTGACTGGCTGGCTGGGGCCTGAGTCAGCCCCCGATTTATCCTGGAGAGCAACAGGCTCAGGTTTCAGGGGGTAAGAAGGGTTCTGGGAACCATCCTTGGCATTACCTACCCTGCTCTCCTTAGACCATTCACTCACTTCTCTGGGGCCTCACAAGGGCCTCTCCTGGGCAGAGGGAATGACAAGCCAGAGAGAGGGGATTCCTTTCTGTACTCGTTGGTTTCCCTCTGAACGCACCCACCCCAACAGAGGCCCTCGGCAGACGGAGGGACCTTGGACAATGCCCACAAAACAGGACTACGAGCCACTAAGATTTGTAAAGGGGCCGTTGGCTCCAAGCAAACCCACCGTGCCCCTTTCTCTCCTCCACAGCAGCTGAGTGAGAGGAACCCATCGTTTCTCAGATCTGTCCCTCGGTTTCCTCATCAGGACTTAGAGACGACATCACTGAACCCTCAGCTGGCACCTCAGGTTGGGTGTCAGAAGTCTGCCTTTTTACACACACGCATGCACACACAGTCCCTTGTGAGACCCAGTGATGTGTCATATGTTCCCAGGAGCTGGGCATCTCTCCACAGGAGAGGTCAGCCTCTCAAATAGTCGGATGGTACTGATGTCTGGCGGTTGGTTTTGGCCGTGGGACAAAGGTGGTCCGGGGGAATGAGAGTTCTGCAGCTAGGGAGGGGGCGCCAATAGGAGAGTAGAATTCCTGAGCACCTCGTCACAGGCAGCCGACAGAACATGAGCCGCAGGGCCCAAGCTATTTATATCTCATCTGTCACTATCAGGGCCCCCAGAGCTCCCTCTTCCCAAGCCACACACACCAGGCCCCTTTTCTGTTCCTGGCCCCTTCTCTACTCCTCCCCCTCCCTACCTAACGAGAAGGGCAATAAATCATTCATGGACCCCTTTCACAATAAGCACTGCCCCCCCCAAATTCCTGCACTTCTTTCTGAGCTCCCTAATGAGGACTGCCCTCATTCCACCCTTCAGAGGGGCGACAGCTTTCAAAGATGCCCACACCCTTTTCCTTTTCACCGTGTCTTGGGGAGGAAGAGGAGTGAAGTAGACTGATACAAGGTTCCAGAACCTTCCCAAACTTCAGTCATCACACAGCTTGAGCTGGGGGCTGTCTGCAGAGTAAGAAGGCTCAAGAAGTCTGTCCTAAAGGGGCTCCAGGGGTTATGGAATACATGTCCGTTACAGAATTACAGAATATATATTCTCTTTTTAAATTTTATTAATTTTTGGAGAGCAAAGATGAGAGAGAGAGAGAGATCAATTTTTGTTGTTTCACTCATTTATGCATTCATTCATCAGTTGATTCTTGTGCCCTGACCCAGGATTGAACCTGCAACCTTGGCGTATTGGGGTATGCTCTAACCAACTAAGCTACCCGGCCAGGGACGTATGTTCTCTTTATATAAGTGTCTTCTATATCTCTGTCATCCCAGGCCAGCTCCACTGTTTTAGTGCCTCAGTTTCCCTGCCATCACCATTCCCCAGCCTCCAGATGCCCCGCTCTTAATTCTGAGCCCAGTCGTGCCCAGCTTCCTGGCCAGCTCCGCGGGCTCTCCCTGCCCACCAGCCTCCGTCACGTTTCCCCTTGGCTGCTCTGGGCAGGGCTCTCCCTGTCTCTGTCTGGCTCACTCTCCCTTCCACTGGAAGGACCTGCCCTGTGGCCCAAATGGGCATATTGCCCAGGGGGCTCCCTGGTACAATGGGTCAGAGTCTCTCCTTTCCCTCTCATCGCCTTCATTGACTCAGACTTGTTGGGGGGGGGGGCACGGCACAGTGTGACTCACTGGGTTCTCTTTTCCTGAGCTCAGCTTCATTCTGAGGAGATGAGGCTAAACGGGCTGGTGACAGGGACACTGACAGGGACACTGAGTCAGGGGCAGCCTCGATCCTTCTCCTGCGACCCTGGAATTGGGCTTCAAACTAGGCTTTTCTGCCTGTAAAACAGAGCATTCCCGCCCCCGCTGAGCCTTCTCCCTAACTGGCCTGGGCAGTGTCCCTGCTTCCTGTCATTGCGCCTCCACACAGCAGGCACATTCGCCTTCCCTGTCCCTGTCCGCAGGTGGACAACACTCTGGGCTAGGCGCCAAACTCCCAGGCCCTGTCAGCGTCTCCGACACCAACTCATCCATAAAGTTCTGTCAACACCAGATGAGTGTGTTTTGCCTTAACCACTGGCCTCAGTTTTCCCATCGATCTCCTTCGTCCCGAACTACCTAGAGGGGGTCTATTTCATATGTGACTGGCAATGCTGACCTTTGGGGTGTCGGGTGCCCTCCCCCCGATTCCAGCTCTACTCTCCCCACCTCTCCAGCGCTGCGCCCCAGGGACCAGCCCCCCTGGGCAGGAGGCGGGAGCCCCCTCCCCCGCCCCCAAGGCTGCTGGGGCCGCGTGGGGGAGGGGAGGGAGGAGGCGGGGCGGCCGGACTCGGTGCGGCTCCCACCCGCGGGCCGGGCGGCATTCCTGGGAGGCCGGCGCTCTGACGTGGACCCGGGGGCCGCGAGCGCGGCGGGGGGAGCGCGGCCCGGGGGCTTCTTAAACCCACTGCCCAGGTCCGGCCGGCACTTCCCGAGCACCGCTCCGCCCCTGGAGGCAAAGGGAGCGAGAGCGAGAGCGCGCGCGGCCAAGGAGCGAAGAGTCCCGCCGAGTCCCGCCGAGTCCCGCCGGCCAAGGGCGCGAGAGAAGTTGAGAGCCGCGCCGCCCGGCCCGCGAGTCCCGCCGCCGCCCCGACAGCGCCCCCAGCCCCGGCCCGGCCCCCGCCGGCATGATGAACAACAGCGGCTACTCCGAGGCCCCGGGCCTCGGCCTGGGCGACGAGGCGGACGACATGCCGTCCACGGAGAAGGACCTGGCGGAGGACGCCCCGTGGAAGAAGATCCAGCAGAACACTTTCACTCGCTGGTGCAACGAGCACCTCAAGTGCGTGGGCAAGCGCCTCAACGACCTGCAGCGCGACCTCAGCGACGGGCTGCGCCTCATCGCGCTGCTCGAGGTGCTCAGCCAGAAACGCATGTACCGCAAGTTCCACCCGCGCCCCAACTTCCGCCAGATGAAGCTGGAGAACGTGTCCGTGGCCCTCGAGTTCCTCGAGCGCGAGCACATCAAGCTCGTGTCCATCGGTCAGTGTGGGCGGGGAGTGCCCCAAGGCCGGGCTAGCTGGTGGGGGACGGGGGACACAGGTGCCGGTGGGCGCAGGGAGATGAGGGAGGGCGGAGGGCGGCTCCCTGGCACCGGTGCCAGACTCTGCCTTCACGCCCCTCGCAGCGCGGCGGCGTGGGATGGGCGCGTGCTGGGGACCACGGGGGTCCGGAGTCTCACTGTGTGTTCCCGCTGACCTGCCTCTATTCATTGTAACCCTTCCTGCTATCGGGCGATCCCAGCCGTGCTTAAGAGGACAAGACCAGTGCACGTTACTGATCACTGGGGGCGTCTCCCCCCAAACAAAGCAACGGCCTCCCGGCCTCCCAGCCGCTCCACGGCGAGGAGCGGGCCGAAGGCAGATCCCCGTCACTGCGGACCCTGGGGCTCTGACGCAGTGGGAGAGCCGGTGGCCCGCGTCTGTTCAGCAGTTGGGATCACGCCCGGGGGCCGGGGCAGGGAGGGCCCAGTCTCAGAAACCTAAAAAGGCACTGAGCGAGCGCGGGCGCCTTAACCCCCGCCTGTCCTCCTTCCGCTCAGCCTGCCGGGGAGGGGGCTCGGCAGGTCGGCCGGGCCCCAGCCCCGGCCCCTAAGCCGGGATTGGCTGCAGCTAACGGTCTGCGCCGAAGGGAAGGAGGGGAAGGCCTGTAGAAGGAAGTGATTGAGTGTAACCAGATTTGGAAGGTGTGTCTGTGCTGGGTGGGGGTGGGGAGACACTCTAGGCTTGGGAGCCTAGAGGCCAAGGTTGGATCCCGAGTGGCCAAAGATCGCCCCTCCCCTCACAACCCGAGCTCTTCCCTGCTTGCTGGGGCCTAGGGAAGACCCCCTACCCCTGTCATGAGCTCTTAAGAGTCCTGCTGTGATTTACAGGAAAGCGACCCTTGAGACTGGCTCCCTGGGACCCCAGGGGAGGAGTTTCACGTGGGGTCAGCTGCCTCCCCTGCCAGGCCGTCCCAGAAACTACTCCAGAGAACTGTTGACTGTCTACCTCTCCTCTCCCTCAGGGCATCTCTAGATCTCCTGAATTAGCAGCTGAGGTCAATCGGGGCCCTTTGCCCTGTCCAGTCCCCTCTCTAGGCCTTACTCCCTCCTGCCCCAACACTGCCCCCCCACCCCACCCGCTCTGGCCTGGAAATAGCCCTGCCTTCGTGACACAGCAGATGTCTCTGAGCTTTCCAGAAGGACAAGCCTGAGGACGGGAGTGGGGGAGGGGCCCCAGTGTGTGTGTTGTGGGGTTGAGGGCTAAGTGAGAGTGTGTGTTGGGGGGGTGTCACCCCCCCCCCTGCACTCTGGGATTTGACGGACAAGCTGTCCCAGGTGGGGTCTCCAGAGAGCTTGGGGCCTCGCCACCACTTCACAGGAAACTGTGCAGCCCTCCTCCCCTCCCCGCGGCGGGGCAGCCACCCCACTCCAGGCCTCATCCTTCCTGAGCGCACCTCTCCCCTCCCCCCTGGCGGTGCCTGGCTGCGGCTCCACGGTTTAGGGGCCGGCTCAGAGTAGAGGGGGAAGAAGCAAAAGCTGGTTTGGGGGCGGGCAGTAAGCGCCTGGGTTCTCGCTGAGAGGAAGAGAACCATTCCCGGTTTGGGCCAAGTGGCTCACTCGCTCTGATGAGATAAGCTGTCAGCAGTTGAGCTGCTGGGCCCGAGGCTGAGGGCGGAGGGAGGGGGCACAGGCGGCAGGGGCTGCCTGAACCTGAGATGGGAAGGGGTTTCCCACCAGGGCAGCATCCTGCTTCCTCTGGTCCCCTCTGTTCTCCTTAGTGGCGGAAAGGAGCTGTCTTGGGGGCCTCCTTTGGGCACTGTCTCAAGGCCGAAATTGAGTGGCTTGTGGGCGCCTGGGAGGAGGGTCAAAAAGACTCCCCACTTTCCTTTCTAGGAGTGGGGTGGGTGCTGAGAAGTCCACCTCAAGGCGGGTTTATTCAGCCAGGGTCGAAGGAGCTGTGTGCCCTGCTTACCCCACTCTCCCCTTCCCCCTGCACTTATCCCAGGTCCCCTCACCCCTCAGCCCCTCCGAACAAAGAGACCTACGGGGCAGCTCTGTCCTGCAGCTGTTCCCCAGTTGCTATTCCTTTTCCTTGAGCCAACAGCCAAGGGAGGGGCCGGAGGGGACAGCAGCTGTCCCGGCACCTCCCTCGCCCAGCCCCCCTCCTCCCCCTCTATTTGGGGCCTGGGGCTGCTTCAGGGACTGGTTGTCAGGCTCTTCCCACCCCTTTGGGGTATCCCTAGGCAGGCAAGGATGTGGTGGCTTGGTGGGGACAAGGGAGGAAGCCCGGCTTGCACCGAGTCCTCTCCTCTGCTTGGCCTCAGAAGACGGGAGGGAGAGGAAGGTCATTGATCCCAGAGCAGGATTCTAGACCCACCCCTCTCCTGCCCCAAGGCACAGCGGACCACTTGCTGCCTGGCCCATAGCCAGTTACTGGGGAGAAACCTCTTCCTGCAGCAAATATGAATGACCTCCCCCCACCTCCCCACCCCCACCTTCAGCCCTCCAACCCAGCAGCCTCCAGGCCTCCCTCCCCGAGATCTGGCTCCAGTTTGCCAGAAGCACTTCTGTAAGCACCGACTCTGGAGGCTAGCGGGCACTGGGCACCGAGCGTCAGGACTGTGAGGTGCAGTGGGCTGTGTGTTTGAGAGGGAGTGCGCTGGAGCACCGGGAGGCCGGGAGTGAATGTGTCATGGAATCTGAAAGCTGCCAAACCATTGTGCTGCAGTGGAGCCAGGGGACAGGGGGCGGGCCAGGGAGCTGCTGGGGAAGGAAGGATGAATCAGTGAAAGGGTGGGAGAGCCGAGGGGGCCAGAGCCCTCAGCCAGAAGGAATGAGAGGCTGGAGTCCCCCACTGGGGGGCAGGTGGGGCTGGGGTGGGGCTGCTGGGGTTGCCTCAGGCCCTCGGTCTCTGAAGGCTACCCCCCAAGATTTAGAGAGGGACGGGAAAAGATGCATAAGGGGTGCCTCCCACCCCACCCTTTCCCATCTGCCAGGCAACACCAGTAAACAAGGCTGAGTATTCCGCCCCCTCCCATCCTCCTAAAATCAGAGTTCAGGAACGCTGACGGATTCCAGGCCTGCATCATCTTTTACGAATAAGTTGGTTTCCAAAGATCTATACTGTAGACCACCCCCTGTTCCTGGATATTTCTTTCCAGCTGTTAAAGGGAAACTAAGCTCTCCCCCAAATAATGGGGAAGCAGTTCTGGTCCATCTTTTTTCTCAAAGGAGGGGATGGGTGGGGAGTCTCATCTCCTGAGACTTGTGTCCACACGAGTGACATTTCTCGTGGCTCCTGTGAGATCTCACTGGACCCCAGCGTTTGATAACACCATTTCGAGCCTTACCAGAGCATGCGCTCTGCACACCTTCCCTCCTCCTAGAACTCTGTTCCGAAAGCCTTTCAGGGCCTTCAGAGAACAATTCGGATGGAACCAGGTGGGTCCCACTCTCCAATGTCAGTTTGTAAAACACTCATTCATTCATCCAAGCATTATTTGGACCCCACTAAGTTCTGGGCTCGGAGTGCGGAGACACAAAACACACTGCCCACAGTGAAAGCGGCCAGACAAAAAAGCGTGTAAAATTCTAGAAAATGCAAACTGATCTGTAGTGATCAAGAGCAGTTCAGTTGCTGCCTGGGAAGGAGGGACAAGGAAGGGCAGGGGGAGGGATGACACAGGGGTCAGTGCAAAGGGGCCACAAAGGACACTTGGTGGGAAGGTGTGTTTAGTATCATCTTATGGCGATGCGCAGGTTGTCAAGGCCTATCCAGTTGTGCTCTGTAGCATGTGCAGCTTGTGGTACGACAAGCAGACCTCTGAACAACTTTGAAAAATGAAACAGAACAAAGCAGCATCTGCCCCCAAAAGACTTACACACCAGATAACTGCATGGATGTCTGCAGCCTGACAGGAGACCCCCTTGGGTGCTGGGACAGAGGCACGGGGACCTGCAGTGGGGACACGCCGGGAGGCAGCCTCACTCTGAAGGGAAAAGGGAGGGACAGTTAAGGATAAAGGGCTTGGCCTCCTGGCTGGGTCTTGCAGAAGGGACTAGGTTCCAGAAATAGGAGGCAGGGGAAGGACGGCTCTGTGGAAGCACAGGGGTCCGGGCAGCGAGGGTGGGCCTTCGGAGCTCAACTTGGCCTCCCTGCTCTGCAGACAGCAAGGCCATCGTGGACGGGAACCTGAAGCTGATCCTGGGCCTCATCTGGACCCTGATCCTGCACTACTCCATCTCCATGCCCATGTGGGAAGATGAGGATGATGAGGATGCCCGAAAGCAGACACCCAAACAGCGTCTGCTCGGCTGGATCCAGAACAAGGTGCCACAGCTGCCCATCACCAACTTCAACCGCGACTGGCAGGACGGCAAAGCTCTTGGTGCCCTGGTGGACAACTGTGCCCCCGGTGAGTGGGCCAGCCAGCATGATGGATCCCTTAGCCGGGGAGGAGAGCTGGGGCGAGCTGGCCGTGCTGAGGCCTGTGGTGGTCAGAATGCGTATCTCAGGCCTGGGGGCTCAGGACCGCCCGTGGGGCTTGCCCCCTTCTCCAGCCTGCTGGAGAAGCAAATTCCCCTCATTTTACAGACAAGGACACTGAGGTCCAGCGAGGGCCAGTGACTTGTCCAGGACTACACAGCTTATCCGTGGCAGAAGTGGTCTAGAGCCCGGGGCCTCAACTCCCGCTCTGGGGACTGCTTTGCCCCACAGCACTGCTCTCGCTGACCTGAGAGGAGGGAAATGGGTTGGAACTTGTAGCCAGAAGCCCAGGAGTTAGACCCAGAGAAGGCTCTTCTTTGTGAGACCCTGGGACAGCTTTGAGAAGGCTGAGGCGTGGAGTTATGTGGGCTGAGGCTGGCATGGGACCGCCAGTGGCAGGTGACCCGGCCCTGACCCGGCCAGGTGGGGGTAGCTCAGGGCCCAAGAGAAGAGCAAGGCTGCACAGCTGGAGCCCTGGCCCTTGTGCAGCTCCCTTTCTGACCTTCATCTCCTGAGAAGATAGGTCTTCTTCCCTCCAGAGAAACCATGGTCCCTTGGGAGAATCCTCTCGCTGCCTGGGGTCAGCTGGGGAGCAGGGGGTGGGGGGCGGAGACAGGAGCAGCCTGGGAGGCAATTCCCAGCTGCTGAGCCGTTGCCCGAAGTTGGTATGGCTGCCAGCAGTGAGCTCAACTGTTCCAGCCAGTCGTGGACTCTGGCCTTGGAGCTGGCCCCTCCCTGCCAGTGCGCATCACCTCCCCTCCTCCAGGTCTAGCCTAGGCCAAGCACCCCTTACGCCTGCACCCCTTCTCGGGAGTGATCTGGGGCTACCTCAGCACTCCTTTTGTTAGAACAGCTGGGTTCTGGGTGACCCTAGAGAAATACTGATCCTCTCCCCACAGGGTCTTCAGTGCCTCAGTTTCCCCAAGTGGGCAGTTAGGAAGGAGAGGGAGTCTTATGCCCTGAGGCTGATGTGAGAAGTGCTTGGAGACCTAGGACTTCGGGGCAGCTGGGAGGGGACCTGGTAGGGGGTGGGTCAGAGGCACGCATGGGACAGACTCGGATCACCTCTGTCTGCCCTGAGGCAGAATGAGGTGGAGGGGCCGGGAGAGGTGCCCTCCCAGGGGTTTGGTGTTCAGGGTCTGCTCTGGGGCCTGGGCAGGCAGGAGGCCGGCGGGAGGGCTGGTGCCAGGCTGCGTCAGCCAGGACAGAAAGGCCTCATTGTTGGTGCCAGGCAGGGCTGCCTGCCTCTGAACGGCGATGGGCACCCCAGCCGTGGAGCATAACGTGAGCCACGGGTCGGGGCCAGCCAGAACCCGGGTGGTGGGCGGAGGTGTGAGGAAAAAGGAAGAGCACATGCCGTGCCTCTGGCTGACTGCTGCCCCCCATCGTGGTCTCCCTCCCCCGTCTCTGCAGGCCTCTGCCCTGACTGGGCCGCCTGGGACCCCAACCAACCCGTGCAGAATGCCCGGGAGGCCATGCAGCAGGCGGACGACTGGCTCGGGGTGCCCCAGGTACACTCGGGTGTGGGCCGGGGAAGAGCAAGGGGACAGGCGGGCCAGCGGTGGAGGTCGGGCGTGTAAGGCTGCGTGGTCGGGGCGTGGGGGGGAACCGAGTTGCCAGGTAAGGAGGGCACCCTGTCATTCCATTCCTTCCTGTGGCAGGTGATCGCCCCTGAGGAGATCGTGGACCCCAACGTGGATGAGCATTCTGTCATGACCTACCTGTCCCAGTTCCCCAAGGCCAAGCTCAAACCTGGCGCCCCCGTTCGCTCCAAGCAGCTGAACCCCAAGAAGGCCATCGCCTATGGGCCCGGTACGTGTGCAGCGCCCGCCGGCCCTCCCCGGTCGGCTGCGGGCCCGCTGGGCAGGCCCTCACTAAGTCCCCTGCCTCTGCCGTCCGCCCCCAGGCATCGAGCCCCACGGCAACACGGTGCTGCAGCCCGCCCACTTCACCGTGCAGACCGTGGACGCCGGCGTGGGCGAGGTGCTGGTCTACATCGAGGATCCCGAGGGCCACACCGAGGAGGTACGGTGAGGCCACTGCAGATAAGAGGGATCGGTGTGACACTGGAACCAGAGGCCACAGGCCAACAGCAGGAAAGGCCTGCAAGCAACTGCCAGAGCCAGTGCCACGGGGAGGGTGGGGGAAGCTTCGCCACGGGAGCCACCAGGCACTGTGGAGTCGGGAGAAACGGCAGCCACTGTGACTCCCAATCTGCTTTCTTCCCAATAGGCCAAGGTGGTTCCCAACAATGACAAGGACCGAACCTACGCTGTCTCCTACGTGCCCAAGGTCGCTGGGTTGCACAAGGTAACGCTCCACAAGCCGGCCCCTGTGCCCCACTTTCCGTTCACATCCTGGGCTCCCGCAGAGTGGACCCCACTCTCAGCTCACAGCCCACCCCCAGGGCACCAGCCACCCGCCTCCCTCCCTCCTTGGCTCTGCTCTTCCCCTTCACCGCCCCTTCTCAGAACTGCTTTCCTCTAGAAGCTAACCTTTGACCCCCTGACCCCTAGGTGACTGTGCTGTTTGCTGGCCAGAACATCGAGCGAAGCCCCTTTGAGGTGAACGTGGCCATGGCCCTGGGGGATGCCAATAAGGTGTCGGCCCGCGGCCCTGGCCTGGAGCCCGTGGGCAACGTAGCCAACAAACCCACCTACTTTGACATCTACACTGCGGGTAAGGATGGGCCTCGGGGGTCGGGAGGGCAGCCCCTCACTGTGGGTGTGGAGGGGGGACTGGGGCGGGGTCCCAGCCGGGAGGCGTGCGTGGTCTCAGGGCGAGGGATCCTCAAGCAGCTCCGCGTGTCCAGTGCGGGGCTGACGGCCTCTGTCCTCGGCAGGGGCTGGCACTGGCGACGTTGCTGTGGTGATCGTGGACCCGCAGGGCCGGCGAGACACAGTGGAGGTGGCCCTGGAGGACAAGGGTGACAGCACGTTCCGCTGCACGTACAGGCCCGTGATGGAGGGGCCGCACACGGTGCACGTGGCCTTCGCCGGCGCCCCCATCACCCGCAGCCCTTTCCCCGTGCACGTGGCAGAAGGTGAGGGCCCCCCTCCCCACAGTCGCCCTCGCCGAGGCCGGGACACAGGCAGAACTGCCACTGAATTCCGGGTCTGAGGATTTATGGGGAGCGAGGCACTAAATCCAGGGCTGGGTGGGGAGCCAGCAGGAGGCTTCAAAAGGGCAGAAGGAACAGCCAGGGCGGGGCTCTGGGGAGGTCTCATCCTCCTCGTGTCCTTCCAGTCCCGGTCCCCAAGGACAGTCAGGACACCACAGTGAAAGACACCAGGGGGGTCCCCCCCCGAAGGACTGAGGGGGGAGCGATAAGGCCGTGTGGTGGGACATATTGGGGAGCACTGCAGCCCAGGCCCTCAGGTGGTTCTCTCCCTGCCACTCAGAGGGGCCTTGCCACCCCTCACCCCCTCTGTGCCCGCGGGTCACCACCGGGCCCAGAGAGAGGCGCTGCGTCAGTACTCTAGCAGAGGTGGGCCTGGGCCACACGGAACGACCCGCCGCCCATGACATTCTCGGCCAGGCCTCAGCCCCACGCTGCTGCCTGCATTCTGTGCAGAAATGTGTCTTTGCCACTTGCCTGATGCTTTCTGTGACAAGACCTGTCTTATCACAGGTTCCGTGTTATTGCCTGTGTTGCCGGAGGGCCTGGGTCACACATTGACTAGTTTTCGGCGCTCTGTGGGTTCCGTCATTTTGTGTGTTCAGTGGCAGGCTGAGTGCCATGCGTTGCTGTGGCCTGGGGCAGGCGTCGTGCTGTGTGGACCGGTCTTGTTCCACGGTGTCGCCGAGGGTTCAGTGACTTAGTTTCCGAAGCTGCTCTGGCAGCTCGGAGAAGGCTGTAGGTGGGCAGCCTTGGGGTGGGCGAAAGGCCCGCCTCGGTCTCTTCACACCACTGTCAGCCCGGGCGCTGCCATGCCTTTGTCCCAAGCAGCGCTGACTCTGAGCGCCCAGCAGGAAGGGTTTCTTAGAAGGATCCTCACGGGGGCCCGTGGCCGCTCCTCTCCTGGCATGGCTCCCGGCAGCCCAACTCTGGTGGGGCACCAGGGACACGGGAAAGGCTTGCACGAGGCAAGGACTCGTAAGGGGGTCAGGAAGCCTGTGAGGTGGGGCACGAGTCTCCAACCAGGACCCCTCAGCACCCCAACTTCCTCTGTTCTCTGCTCCCCAGCCTGTAACCCCAATGCCTGCCGTGCCTCCGGCCGGGGTTTGCAGCCCAAGGGCGTGCGTGTGAAAGAGGTGGCTGACTTCAAGGTGTTCACCAAGGGTGCTGGCAGCGGAGAGCTCAAAGTCACAGTCAAGGGGCCAAGTAAGTGCCAGGGCCCAGAGCCGGAGAGGGGGTGGGGTGACAGGGAGGAAGGAGGCCAGTGGCCCTGCATCCCCGAGAGCCTTGACCGTCAGCACCACGCAACCTGGGAGAGACTCCAGACAGACCCTGAGCACAGGCACTGGGAGACCTCAGGCAACGGGTGCTGCTCTGCCTCAGTTTCCCAGAGTGCCACTGTGGGTGCTCACTGGGCTGTGATGTACGGGGATGGCACAGGGCCCTGCCCGACGTGCGGCTGTGCCCGTGGAGAAACTTCCTTCTGCCAGACCTGCGTCACAAGGGGGGGGGTGGAAGAACTGGGGCTCACACACTGCTGACTCCTGCTTCCCCCCCCCTCCTCAGAGGGCACAGAGGAGCCTGTGAAGGTGCGGGAGGCTGGCGACGGTGTGTTCGAGTGCGAGTACTGCCCCGCGGTGCCCGGGAAGTACGTGGTGACCATCACATGGGGCGGCTATGCCATCCCCCGCAGGTAGGCACCATGGACCCCCGCCTTCCTGCCCAGGCCCTCAGAGTGGAGAAGGGTGCTGGCTCCCTGGGGCTCCGAGGGGACAAAGGAGGTGTAGCTCTGGCGGGGTACTTCCCGGTGCTGACACTGGCTCCCTCTTCACCCAGCCCCTTTGAGGTCCAGGTGAGCCCAGAAGCAGGGGCGCAGAAGGTGCGGGCCTGGGGTCCCGGTTTGGAAACTGGCCAGGTGGGCAAGTCAGCCGACTTTGTGGTGGAGGCCATTGGCACGGAGGTGGGGACACTGGGTAAGTGACTGGGTGGCAGCAGGTGGGAATGCTGGGGCATGTCGGGATGAGACAGAAGTGGGACATGGGGACCCCCGGGGAGGGGGTGCTGGGGGAGTGCAGGGTGTCCGAGCTGCCTCTGGGGCCCTCTGACCCTCTCCACCTTGCGCCCAGGCTTCTCCATCGAGGGACCCTCGCAGGCCAAGATTGAGTGTGATGACAAGGGGGACGGCTCCTGCGACGTGCGGTACTGGCCCACGGAGCCCGGGGAGTACGCCGTGCATGTCATCTGTGATGACGAGGACATCCGAGACTCGCCCTTCATTGCCCACATCCAGCCAGCCCCACCGGACTGCTTCCCAGACAAGGTGTGGTCGAACCTCCAGTGTGCCGGCCCGGGAGGGGATCGGCGGGCCCTCTTCCTGTCCCCAACCCAACCTCCCTCTCTTGCCCCTGCTCAGGTGAAGGCCTTTGGACCCGGCTTAGAGCCCACTGGCTGCATCGTGGACAAGCCGGCAGAGTTCACCATTGATGCCCGTGCAGCCGGCAAGGGAGACCTGAAGCTCTATGCCCAGGTGGGACATCGCCCGACCTCACTGCCTGTCGCGGTTCTGGACAGGGGCCCTGGGAGGGTGGAGACAGGTGCATCACAAGACTGACTGTCACTGGTCCATAAAACCATGAAAAAATTTAACTATTGTGTTTTCTTACTGATCATCTTAAAAGCATACTTCACTAAAAACATATTTTATATTAATAATGTAATTAAAAGATGACTTGATAGAGTAAGACATTAGTTTCCCAAGTCAGTTTCTCACACTGGTTTGCATTCGCCCCTGGCGGGTGAGAAACATACTCTTGGGTCCAGGAGGATGACTGTTCTTTCAAAAGCCCATTATTCAGTTTTAGGAGCATTGATTTAGCTCAGCCTCTCTCCTGCCAACACATTTCAGAGACTTAGGCTGGGAGGGAGGCCAGGCTGCGCAGATGGCCAAGAGCCGGGTCTCCTGGCTCCCAGAGCGCACCGTGGCCACCAGAGCATGTGGTACTAGGCTCCTGTGGCCGGCGGACTGGCGGGGAGACTGTGTTGGCTGTGCTGGAGGACAGCCCGGAGCCAGCAGAGGGCGCCGGTGCTCTGAGGAGGCCTGAGCCCTCTAAGAACCTGGCTTGGTAATGCCCACAGGACGCCGATGGCTGCCCCATTGACATCAAGGTCATCCCCAATGGCGATGGCACCTTCCGCTGCTCCTATGTGCCCACCAAGCCCATTAAGCACACCATCATCATTTCCTGGGGAGGCGTCAACGTGCCCAAGAGCCCCTTCCGGGTATGTCCTCCTCGCCCTGCCCTGCCCTGCCCACCTCCGGGGGCCTCACAAGGAGGGTGGAGCCCCAGGATGTGGCCGGTCCCTGGACCCTTGTCACCACTCCCCACCTCAAGGCCCCCTCAAAGAAGCTGAGACCGGACAGAGTGCCGGGGAGGGGGATGGGCCTGGAGGAAGGACACGGCGCCGAGCTCTGACCCCTCCCCGCAGGTGAACGTGGGAGAGGGCAGCCACCCCGAGCGGGTGAAGGTGTACGGCCCTGGTGTGGAGAAGACCGGTCTCAAGGCCAACGAGCCCACCTACTTCACCGTGGACTGCAGCGAGGCGGGGCAAGGTTCGCCCAGACTGGGGGTGCGGTGGGGGTGGGGGTGGAGCTCATGGCACCAGAGGTCGGGAAAGGTCGCGGAGCTGCCCGGCTCACGGCTTTGTGCCTGCCTTCCCCAGGTGACGTGAGCATTGGCATCAAATGCGCCCCTGGCGTGGTGGGCCCTGCAGAGGCTGACATCGACTTTGACATCATCAAGAATGACAATGACACCTTCACGGTCAAGTACACACCCCCAGGGGCTGGCCACTACACCATCATGGTGCTGTTTGCCAACCAGGTACGCCACCCGCAGTCTGTGGCAGTCGCCAGCGGCCCGCACGCTGCCCCCCGAGGCTGAGCTGGCAGCTGACTTGCTGTCGCCGAGGGTGGTGGGGGCGACTCTGCAGTCTGATCGGGCACGTGCGATGCCTCGGAGGAAACAATGGGGGCTCTTTCAGAGGCTGCCCACCCTGACCGAGTCTTTTCTCCACCCAGGAGATCCCTGCCAGCCCCTTCCACATCAAGGTGGATCCATCCCATGATGCCAGCAAGGTCAAGGCCGAGGGCCCTGGGCTGAACCGCACAGGTGGGTGTCCAGGCAGGGACTGAGCGAGGCTGGCTGGGTGGGAGTTAGGTGTCCTCCAGGTCCTCACTGTCATCTTGGGGTGGGCTCCCCAGGTGTGGAAGTTGGGAAGCCCACTCACTTCACGGTGCTGACCAAGGGAGCCGGCAAGGCCAAGCTGGACGTACACTTCGCTGGGGCTGCGAAGGGCGAGGCAGTGCGGGACTTCGAGATCATCGACAACCACGACTACTCCTACACTGTCAAGTACACGGCGGTCCAGCAGGTGAGTTGCGCCTTCTCCCTGGCCCCGCCCCTCCTGGCCGACAGGTCCTGGGTTCCCTCCCTCCAGTCTCACAGACCCAGTCCTGCCTCCCCCTCTCTCACTATGGATCTCCGAGCCTCAGGTCCTCATCGGCCAAGGGCATGTCACCAGGCTGTGTCACTGGCTGTGCCACCAGTCTGACCTTCTATTGTACCCAATAGGGCAACATGGCAGTGACAGTGACCTATGGCGGGGACCCTGTGCCCAAGAGCCCCTTTGTGGTAAATGTGGCACCCCCGTTGGACCTCAGCAAAGTCAAAGTTCAAGGCCTCAACAGCAGTAAGTAGATCAAGAGACGCCCGGAGCGAGGGGTGTTGGGAGGTGGGTGGAGCCTGGGCTCACGGGGTCTCTTGCCCTCCGTGCAGAGGTGGCCGTTGGGCAAGAGCAGGCGTTCTCCGTGAACACGCGGGGGGCTGGCGGTCAGGGCCAGCTGGACGTGCGGATGACCTCGCCCTCCCGACGACCCATCCCCTGCAAGCTGGAGCCCGGAGGTGGAGCTGAAGCCCAGGCCGTGCGCTACATGCCCCCCGAGGAGGGGCCCTACAAGGTGGACGTCACCTACGATGGTCACCCAGTGCCCGGCAGTCCCTTTGCCGTGGAGGGTGTCCTGCCTCCTGACCCCTCCAAGGTGAGGAGATAAAGGCTGATTGGAGCTGGGGGTCAGGTGCTTGCTTGTAGGGAAGACATGAGTCAGAGGTCAGAGGCCGGGGGCCGTAGGTCCTGGGGTGGCACAGCCGAGGACCCGGGGCCCAGGCTACCCCCACTCCAGGTCCTGCCTTTGAGGGAGCTCGGTTATTTGGAGCCTGGCCTTGGATGAGACCTGGGCTCGAGTCCCAGATCCACTAACCGGACAAATGATTTCATCTCTCTGCATCTGTTTCCTCGCTTGGAACTGTCGTACAGACTCAGTCTGCAGTAGCCGCTACAGCTGAGGGCACTGGGCTGGGTGGGGAGCCGTGCAGGAAAGAGGCCAGGTGTTGAGAGACCACGTACTTGCTTCTCTCTTAGGTTTGTGCCTACGGCCCTGGTCTCAAGGGCGGGCTGGTGGGCACCCCAGCACCCTTCTCCATTGACACCAAGGGGGCCGGCACAGGTGGCCTGGGGCTGACGGTGGAGGGCCCCTGCGAGGCCAAGATCGAGTGCCAGGACAATGGCGACGGCTCGTGCGCTGTCAGCTACCTGCCCACAGAGCCGGGCGAGTACACCATCAACATCCTATTTGCCGAAGCCCACATTCCCGGCTCGCCCTTTAAGGCCACCATCCAGCCCGTGTTTGACCCAAGCAAGGTGCGGGCCAGTGGGCCAGGCCTGGAGCGCGGCAAGGCTGGCGAGGCCGCCACCTTCACTGTGGACTGCTCGGAGGCGGGCGAGGCTGAGCTGACCATCGAGATCCTGTCGGACGCCGGCGTCAAGGCTGAGGTGCTGATCCACAACAACGCCGACGGCACCTACCACATCACCTACAGCCCCGCCTTCCCGGGCACCTACACGATTACCATCAAGTACGGCGGGCACCCGGTTCCCAAATTCCCCACCCGCGTCCACGTGCAGCCTGCTGTGGACACCAGTGGCATCAAGGTCTCGGGCCCTGGGGTGGAGCCACATGGTGAGTGAGACAGAAGGAGCCAGGAGCTGGCTCCCTCACTGGTCGGGGAGCCTGGGAGTCAACGGGAGGGAGGGAGCAGGGCTGAGGGCTGAAGGGGCCAACATGGGGTGAAGGGAGGGCTGTGGGCAGCCCTGGAGTCCTTAGGCTCAGATGCCCCAGAGGAAGAGCCAAGGGCAAGGGCAGGGCGTGGAGCTTTGCCTCTGCGCTTACGACACAACTGCATCTGCCCGTGGGTGTTTTTCTGGGGCAGATCCCCGACTTTCATCAGCTTAAGGGGACCCTGATCTGAAAACGCTGAGAACCCTGCTCCAGAGGGTGCAGAAGGACCCTTTGGGGTAGAGATGGCAAGAGTCAGGAGACAGTTGGGCTCAGTTCAGTGACTGCAGTACCACCTGCCAGGGCTGCACCTTGGGCTGGTGCGAGGGTAGAAGTGTGCACAGAGGGCTGGGGGACTGTGACCTGTTCTGAGGGGCCCGCAGCCTGGGCTGGTGACGACGGATGGGAGCAGAGTGTCACTGTATGATGAAAGGGGTGAAGGCAGGGGCCATGGGAGGCGGCCTGGAGCTCCAGGGGCAGGGGTGGCGGAGCTCCGGCTGAGAAGGAGCGGCCTGGGAGTTGGGGAGTGGCGGGGACTGGCTACTCCACGAAGGCTGCCCCCAGCCCACCCTGAGCTATTTTCTCTTGGGACCCAGGTGTCCTGCGTGAGGTGACCACTGAGTTCACTGTGGACGCAAGATCCCTGACAGCCACGGGTGGGAACCACGTGACGGCTCGAGTGCTCAACCCCTCGGGGGCCAAGACGGACACCTACGTGACGGACAACGGTGACGGCACCTACCGAGTGCAGTACACGGCCTATGAAGAGGGTGAGGGGCCCGGCTGGGTGGGGGCGGCAGGGGCCCGATCCCAGCACTCCCTGGCTGGTGGGCCTTCACGCCCTGACCCGCTCCGTGTGGCTGCTCTCAGGTGTGCACTTGGTGGAGGTGCTGTACGATGACGTACCTGTGCCCAAGAGCCCTTTCCGCGTGGGCGTGACCGAGGGCTGTGACCCAACCCGAGTCAGGGCCTTCGGCCCGGGCTTGGAGGGTGGCTTGGTCAACAAAGCCAACCGTTTCACCGTGGAAACCAGGTATCCTCCCCATTTCCTAACTTTGACCCTGATGCTGCGGCCACCCCGGTCCTGTCCCCTGTGGGTACCCCAGCATCCCTGTTCCCCGTCAAGGGTGACCAGGGAGCAAACTTCCCCCAAGTGTCCAGATCAGCTGGGCCCTCAGTGGCTTTCTTTCCCCCACCCTTCCCATCCCCCCACCCCACTCTCTGGTCCTACCAGAGCTGATGGGGGTTGTCCTCTTGCAGGGGAGCCGGCACTGGGGGCCTTGGCCTAGCCATTGAGGGCCCTTCAGAAGCCAAGATGTCCTGCAAGGACAACAAGGACGGCAGCTGCACGGTGGAGTACATCCCCTTCACCGCCGGGGACTACGACGTCAACATCACCTTCGGGGGACGGCCCATCCCAGGTGTGCAGAGCGGGCGGGTGGCTCCCCGAGGGCGGAGGATGCCTGCTCAGGGCAGGAACCTGCAGGGAAGTCAGATGTGCAGATTCATCCGCAGAGCAGGATGGCCGTGAGCCCGGCTCATGAGGACGGGGCTGGCGTGGGCGCTGGATGCTGCTGGGGGAACGCCCCTCCAGTTCGCTCCCAGAGGCCCAACCCTGGCACCCTGGCCCTTTGCCTGGGGCACCAGACCTTGTGGGTTCGGTCTCTCAGACACAGTGGCTCGGTGAGGACAGCCTGCACCCTCTCACTCTGTAAAGCCGAGAACCCCTGCGCTCCTGTGGGCTTAGCCACTCGGGCAGTTCAGGCCTGCAGTCACTGCAGACCTTGGGCCAGCTGAAACTGGGCGTGTTTTCCTCTATATCTAACCTCACTCTACCAAAAATGCACTATCTTCTTAATATATTCTTTTAACCTTTTATTAATTTAGGAAGGCTTCTTTCAGGCCTGTGGTCTAAGTGAGTGAGGGTTGCCCAGCCTCAGCCTGCAGCCCGATTTATTCATCCTTGTTTACATCTTCTTAGCAAGGTCCGACATCTCTTAGCAAGCTCTGACGCATCGGCACAGGTCGCTCTGGCCTCCTGGGGCATTTCAAAGGCAGGGAGGCCTTCTTTCAGCTCCTCAGTGTAAGGGACCCTCCCAGCAGGTGGGTAGGGGCTGATGGCCTTCTCCTTACAGGGAGCCCGTTCCGGGTGCCGGTGAAGGATGTGGTAGACCCTGGGAAGGTGAAGTGCTCGGGACCAGGGCTGGGGTCCGGCGTCAGGGCCCGGGTACCCCAGACCTTCACGGTGGACTGCAGCCAAGCTGGCCGAGCACCGCTGCAGGTGGCCGTGCTGGGTCCCACAGGTATGCGGTGTCTGGGGCAGGGTGGAGAGAAGTGGGACAGGGCGTCAGAGGCTCTCTTGACACTGCTTCCCCTGCCCAGGTGTGGCTGAGCCTGTGGAGGTGCGTGACAATGGAGATGGCACCCACACTGTCCACTACACCCCTGCCACCGATGGGCCGTACACTGTAGCCGTCAAGTACGCTGACCAGGAGGTGCCACGCAGGTGAGGACCAGCTCTGGGCCCCCACGTGGTGCCGAGCTCTGGGAGCCCCTGCCAGGGCCACACCCGCAGGCCACTGCTGGGCCCCCGGGGAGCACCCGGCCCACTTGTCTCAGCCCCTCCCCATCTTCTCTGCCAAGGGGCGGGGGGGGGGGGCGGCACAGCCCCCAGTGCCCCTCCTCAGGCTCAGCTTTCCCAGCATGCAGCCACAAAATCAGCGCCTGGGAAATGGCCGGAGGCAGGAGAAGGCAGCCTCTGCACCCTCCTCTCTCTTGGGTGGAGAAAGCTCAGGCTCTGTCAAGGGCATCCCAGGGACCTTTTCACAAGACCCAGGATAAGCTCTGGCTCCTGGGAACTGGCCCCTCCTCCCTACCCCAAGAAGTCATCCCTCCTGCTCATGTCTGTAGGGAGGTGCCCTCCCAACTCCTAACCAACTGTCCATCTCTTCTGCCCCTCAAGCCCCTTCAAGATCAAGGTGCTTCCAGCCCATGATGCCAGCAAGGTGCGGGCCAGCGGCCCCGGCCTCAACGCCTCCGGCATCCCCGCCAGCCTGCCCGTGGAGTTCACCATCGATGCCAGGGATGCTGGGGAGGGCTTGCTCACCGTCCAGATTCTGGTGAGTCCGTGCCTAGCCCGCCTCCCGGGTCAGGCTCTGGGCACAGGCAGGCCCTGACCTCCGCTTCTCCCCCAGGACCCCGAGGGTAAGCCCAAGAAAGCCAACATCCGAGACAATGGGGATGGCACGTACACCGTGTCCTACCTGCCAGACATGAGTGGCCGCTACACCATCACCATCAAGTACGGTGGCGACGAGATTCCCTACTCACCTTTCCGCATCCACGCCCTTCCCACTGGGGACGCCAGCAAGTGCCTCGTTACAGGTGGGCATGTACCTGCTTCCTTGGCCCCTGCCCACTGTCCAGCACCCCCACAGCTCTCCCAAGTCCCTGGCCCAGTCGGCCGAGGACTGTTGTTGGTCCAAGAGCCCGGCCCTCCTACACCCTTGCCCCCACTCTCCCCTCCCGAGTGATTCACAGCCTCACACTCTTCTCTCTTTCCAGTGTCCATCGGAGGCCACGGCCTGGGTGAGTGCCCTGTCTCTTCTCTTCCTGCTGCGGGCTGCGGGGGGGGCAGCTGGGAACAGAGTGGGGCGGGGCACCTTCCCCTCCGGCCCCTGACAGGGCTCTTCTGCGTGACAGGTGCCTGCCTGGGCCCCCGCATTCAGATCGGGGAGGAGACGGTGATCACCGTGGACGCCAAGGCAGCGGGCAAGGGGAAGGTGACGTGCACGGTGTCCACGCCGGATGGGGCAGAGCTGGACGTGGACGTGGTTGAGAACCACGATGGCACTTTCGATATCTACTACACGGCGCCCGAGCCGGGCAAGTACGTCATCACCATCCGCTTCGGAGGCGAGCACATCCCCAACAGCCCCTTCCACGTGCTGGTAAGTGCCGTGGCTGCAGCGAGGCGGGCCGGTAGCTGGGGAGGCGGGCCGGTAGCTGGGGAGGTGGGCTGGGCCCTCTTAGACACAGCAGAGAATGCCAGAACCTGTCCCCACGCCTGAAGGATTCTGGGCCCGGAGTGGTCCAGAGTCCAGCCTTTGGCTTCCTGCAGCCTCCCGACCTCGGAGGTGAGCACGGCCCTGCCTTGGGCCTCCGAGCATCGGTCAGCTCTCTCTGGAGGAACTCCCCATGTTCCTGTCTGACCCTTGGGCCCACTGTCCCCACCCGTGTCCCCGTGGTGGCCCTATAAGATGGTAAAGCCCTCCAGAGGTTAGAGAACCCTAGATAGACACCCATCCTGACCCAGGGCCAGCCCAGGCTTTCAGGTCCTGGGATCGTTCTCGGAGAGGGCACCTGGTCACTGGAGCGGCTGGGCTGGCCTCCCCGTGCTGAGCTCTCTGTGCCTTGCCTCCCAGGCTTGTGACCCCACGCCCCATGTGGAGGAGCCCCCCGAAGTGCTACAGCAGCTGCACCGGCCCAGCGCCTACCCCACACGCTGGGTACTGCTGCCCCTACTGGGCAAGCTCGCCCCCTCCTCCTCCTCCTCTTCCTCCACCTCTATTTCTTCTATTCCTCAGCAGCTGGGGCTGGGCATGGTTTGGGGACATCCTGAGGAGCAGGCGGGGGTCAGGCTGGGCAGAGGGCTCTCCGCGATGGGCGCGGCACCTCTTCTCTTGCAGCTGACGCACCTCTCCTGCCTCTGGCCTCACCCTTGGCCTTCTTGTTCTTGCCTCACTTTCTCTGACTTCGGTCACGGCCCAGGCCAAGCTCCCCAGGCCTTTGCAGCCCATGACAGTTCCCTCTCACCTGCCATAGGCCACAGAGGAGCCGGTGGTGCCCGTGGAGCCGATGGAGTCCATGCTGAGGCCCTTCAACCTGGTCATCCCCTTCACCGTGCAGAAAGGGGAGCTCACAGGTACTGCCCCGGGCGCCGAGGCATGAGGGCTCGGGGGTGGGCACCTTCGTCCCTCATCTTCGAGACGAAAACTGGGGCCCAGAGGGTGGAAGTCAGCTCCTCAAGGTCGTGTAGCAAGTTGGGTAGAGCTGGAACTCAGACTGAAGCCTTCTGTCTCCCAGTTAAGGTTCATCCCACCGCTCTGGGCTGGTGCTGACCTTGAGGTGGAAGCGGGATTGTGCAGGAGCTGGGGGTGGGAGATGCACGTGGGGGCGTGGTAGGAGGAGGCGAGGCTCCCTGCGTAACTGGGTCTGCTTGGCAGGGGAGGTGCGGATGCCCTCTGGGAAGACGGCGCGGCCCAACATCACCGACAACAAGGACGGCACCATCACAGTGAGGTACGCGCCCACGGAGAAGGGCCTGCACCAGATGGGGATCAAGTACGACGGGAACCACATCCCTGGTGAGTAGGAGGGGGCAGCCACATCCCCGGGGGCGAGACGGGGGCGGGGGGACGGGGCAACATCCCCGGTGAGTCGGGGCCGGGCCAAGAGTGACCTGCAGTAAGCTCACTCTTACTTGCCTTCTTTCAACAAATACTAATTAAGTGCCTACTGTGTGCAGATACCCTGGCAGGCCCTGGGGAGGCTGACAGCCTGGTGGGAGGCAGTCAGGCCCCTCTGGGCAGAGATACGGGGCCGCTGGTTGGTTCTGGAGGCTGAGGTGGTCTCAGGAAGCCCCTCTCCTCACTACTAACACAGCCTTCTCTGTCCACCCCAGGGAGCCCCCTGCAGTTCTATGTGGATGCCATCAATAGCCGCCACGTCAGCGCCTACGGGCCAGGCCTGAGCCATGGCATGGTCAACAAGCCGGCCACCTTCACGATTGTCACCAAGGATGCTGGGGAAGGTGAGGGAAGCTGCAGGCAGGGGGCTGGGGTGGGGCCATCCAGGTGCAGGGGCGAGGGCAGGACCTCTGACCTCAGCCCCACCTCCTCTTACAGGGGGTCTGTCCCTGGCCGTGGAGGGCCCATCCAAGGCGGAGATCACCTGCAAGGACAACAAAGACGGCACCTGCACCGTGTCCTACCTGCCCACGGCGCCAGGAGACTACAGCATCATCGTGCGCTTCGACGACAAGCACATCCCGGGCAGCCCCTTCACGGCCAAGATCACAGGTGGGGGCGCACGGGCACACGCAGCCCGTGCCACATACCTGGCACGTGCCAGACACACGCCTCACACATTGGAGTCACTGGGACCTTAGGGTAGGTGGAAAAGTCCATTTTTGGACAAAGAGCTCTATTCTCTGCAGCAGGCGAGAAACAGCCAACCTCCCTGATGCTTTGAAACAACACATCGCCTCGCTTAGTCTTTGAAGTGATTCTTGTGAGGTTAGGGTATTGATAATCCCTTTTGATGGATGAGGAAACCCAGTGGGGCCAGAGAGGCTAAGCAGCTCTCTGTGTTGTCTGGTATAGTGTTTGGTTCCCACGGAGCCCGTGGCTCAGGGTAAAAATACACAAACTAGGGATTTAACCCGTTCAGGACTGAGGCATCTCCAGGCTGACGGGGTGCAGGTCCCATCCACAGGCATTGGCAGCCAGTGTGTGAGTGAAGACTGAGCCCCTGGGTCTCGGGCGTCCCCGAGTGTGAGGACTCCCCAGTCTGTCGAGTCAGGGGGATCTGCCTGGCCTCTCGAGCCCCCCACCCTGGGGGCAGGGTCGGCTTGGAGGCCACAGCTGCCTGACAGTTCTGCTGCACCACCAGGCGACGATTCTATGAGAACGTCACAGCTAAACGTGGGCACCTCCACGGATGTGTCGCTGAAGATCACGGAGAGTGACCTGAGCCAGCTGACCGCCAGCATCCGTGCCCCCTCAGGCAACGAGGAGCCCTGCCTGCTGAAACGGCTGCCCAACCGGCACATTGGTGAGTGGGCGGCCCGGGAAGGGCCTCGGGAGGAGGAAGGCCCGAGAAGGGCCAGCAAGGCTCGCTCCTCCCCGCCAAGGGCTCCATGTCTGACCCCCACCTCCCCACAGGCATCTCCTTCACCCCCAAGGAGGTGGGGGAGCATGTGGTGAGCGTGCGCAAGAGTGGCAAGCACGTCACCAACAGCCCCTTCAAGATCTTGGTGGGGCCCTCCGAGATCGGGGACGCGAGCAAGGTGCGGGTCTGGGGCAAGGGCCTCTCCGAGGGACAGACCTTCCAGGTGGCAGAGTTCATCGTGGACACTCGTAATGCAGGTGCGTCTTGCCCCCAGAGACCCCTTGTGTCAGCTGGTGCCTCCACTGAGGACACTTCCTTCTTTCCTGCCTGGGCCCCCGTGGCCACCCCTCCTCCCTGAACTTCCTGGCCAGCGTCTGTTGGGATTCATGTCCTGGGACCTTCGTAGGGGAAAGTGAATGTCCTCCTGCCAGTTCTGGTTAAGAGAAAGCTCAGCTGTCACGAGTGTGTCTCCTCCTTGCCTACTAGAACCCAGGCAGCCTCCCCGTAGGGCATTTCCCAGACTGCCTATCCCTGGCCCTCTGGGTCCGTGCCTGGCCCATGTCTCCTCCCAGTGAGCCATCTTACCTTAGCGGTTACCATGCCCTTGTGTGCCCGTTCCAGACGGAGCCTGCAGTGTGGGGAGGGGAGAGCAGCGTGGCAGTGAGTGGTAGGGGCTGAGGGAGATGTGTCTCCTTTCCCACCAGGTTATGGGGGCCTGGGGCTGAGTATTGAAGGCCCTAGCAAGGTGGACATCAACTGTGAAGACATGGAGGATGGCACATGCAAAGTCACCTACTGCCCCACCGAACCTGGCACCTACATTATCAACATCAAGTTTGCAGACAAGCACGTGCCCGGTGAGGCTCCGGGCTGCAGCCGGGCGGTGGGAGGCCAGGAGGCTGAAGGCAGGTGGCCTGACCTGCCTGCCCCGCCCACTCTGTCCCTACAGGAAGCCCCTTCACAGTGAAGGTCACGGGTGAGGGCCGCATGAAGGAAAGCATCACCCGGCGCAGGCAGGCGCCTTCCATCGCCACCATCGGCAGCACCTGCGACCTCAACCTCAAGATCCCAGGTGAGGTGTGAGGCAGGACAGGGTAGGGCAGGGGGTGGGGTGGGCCTCCAGGCCTGGAGCCTGCCCGAGGGTGCCCTGTCCCGCTCCCCCATTTCTCACTGCCGCACCCCCACACCCGCACCGCGTGTCTGTCCTGCAGGGAACTGGTTCCAGATGGTGTCTGCCCAGGAGCGCCTGACACGCACCTTCACACGCAGCAGCCACACGTACACCCGCACGGAGCGCACAGAGATCAGCAAGACGCGGGGTGGGGAGACTAAGCGCGAGGTGCGGGTGGAGGAGTCCACCCAGGTCGGCGGAGACCCCTTCCCTGCCGTCTTCGGGGACTTCCTGGGCCGGGAGCGCCTGGGCTCCTTTGGCAGCATCACCAGGCAGCAGGAGGGTGAGCAGGCCTGTCCCTGGGGACACGATGGGGTGTGGCCAGCCAGCCAGGGCTGGCCTCAGTGCAGGAGGGGGTTTTACTGAGGAGGGAGGGGGGGCAGGGCCTGGAGCAGCCTCAGTGTCACCCTGACGATTCCCACCCCTGCAGGTGAGGCCAGCTCTCAGGACATGGCTGCACAGGTGACCAGCCCTTCTGGGAAGACGGAAGCCGCAGAGATTGTCGAGGGGGAGGACAGCGCGTACAGTGTGCGCTTTGTGCCCCAGGAGATGGGGCCCCATACGGTCACCGTCAAGTACCGCGGCCAGCACGTGCCCGGCAGCCCCTTTCAGTTCACCGTGGGGCCACTGGGTGAAGGCGGGGCCCACAAGGTGCGAGCTGGAGGCACTGGGCTGGAACGAGGTGTGGCCGGCGTGCCAGGTGAGAGGCAGGCGGCCAGGAGGAGACGTGGGGGCAGGGCAGCCAGCAGGACCGGCGATGGTGCTAAAGAGCCACCCCTGCCCTGCTTCCTCGTCTCCAGCCGAGTTCAGCATCTGGACCCGAGAAGCAGGCGCCGGGGGCCTGTCTATTGCCGTGGAAGGCCCCAGCAAGGCAGAGATCGCATTTGAGGACCGCAAAGATGGCTCCTGCGGGGTCTCCTACGTTGTCCAGGAACCCGGTGGGTGTCCACGATGGGGGTGGGGTCTGGGCTTGCCTGACCTCTCCGATGGGTTCCTGCTCACTGATGGGGCAGAAGACAGTTGCGGCCACAGCACTGACTCTTCCCCTGCGCCCGGCTCTGGGCCGCATCTCGTTCCACCCCACACCCCGGGAATGCGTGTCTGTCTCCAGAGCCGCACCCCAACCCAAAGAGCCTGTCCTGGGATGAGACTGGGGTGGGGATGGCTCCTCCCCTGCTGCAGGTCCTGGGGCCTGTGCTGACTGGCCTCCCTTCCGCAGGTGACTATGAGGTCTCCATCAAGTTCAATGATGAGCACATCCCAGACAGCCCCTTCGTGGTGCCCGTGGCTTCCCTGTCGGATGACGCTCGGCGCCTTACCGTCACCAGCCTTCAGGTGTGTTTCCGGGGGTGGGGCCCCTCTGCCACCCTGAGAGAAGGGCAGGGGTCAGCGATGGGCTAGACGTTCCATCCCCCCGAGGGTCTGTATAGTAAGGAAGCTCCGCTGCCCCCAAGGGTGGACTCAGCAGCCTCAGGAGCCCTTGTGCCTCTCCTCATCACCCCTCCAGAACTGGACCCCGTGCCCCACCCCCCGGGCCCCTCTCACTTCCCCACCTCCTCCAGGCCGGGCACCAGGCCGGTCCAGGCCACACTCTGGCTCCTTATCTGAGCCAACTATTGTTCGCAGCCCACACAGCACTGGCTTCCCTGCCATCAGGCCCACTGCACAGTGTCTGGGTGTCACCCCGTCAGCCAGAACAGGAGACACCCTCTCTCATCCCCTACTGTGCCCCACACAGCCAGGTGGCCCCAGGTGCTGGCAGGCGGATGCTGAGGCCACAGACCAGCCCCCACCTCGAATCCCAGTCAGCCTTGTCGAGAGCCTGCCTGAGTGGGGCCAGCGGCAGGGGCCCGGCCTGGATGGCGGTGGGAGCCCCCAGGCCGGGGCTTGGTGAGGCAGTGCCAGGCTGCAGAGAGGAACACACCAGACCCTCCCAGGAGCCTGAGTGTCCTCTGTGTCATCCTCAGGAGACAGGGCTCAAGGTGAACCAGCCAGCGTCCTTTGCGGTGCAGCTGAACGGCGCGAGGGGTGTGATCGACGCCAGGGTGCACACGCCCTCAGGGGCGGTGGAGGAGTGCTATGTCTCTGAGCTGGACAGTGGTGAGCCCCCCGCCCTGGCTGCTCCAGCTGGGCTGGGGCCTTCTGGGCAGGAGACGGAAGGGCAAAGGCTCACCCACAACTCTCTGCCCCACAGACAAGCACACCATCCGCTTCATCCCCCACGAGAATGGCGTCCACTCCATCGATGTCAAGTTCAATGGCGCACACATCCCTGGCAGTCCCTTCAAGATCCGTGTTGGAGAGCAGAGCCAGGCAGGGGACCCAGGCCTGGTGTCAGCCTACGGTCCTGGGCTCGAGGGGGGCACGACAGGTGAGTGCCCGGGGCTGGGAAGGATGGGTGGATATTGGGGTGCCCAGCCTCTGGTCCCATACTGTCCTGCCCCAGAGGCAGAGATAGTCCTGAGGAGCTGAGTCCTTCCCCAGGCCCGCTCTGGGGACCCCAGCTGGCGGCCGTAAGCCCTTCCTGCCTACAACTTGCTGCCTCTGGCCCCCAGGTGTTTCATCGGAGTTCATCGTCAACACCCTGAATGCGGGCTCGGGGGCTCTGTCTGTTACCATTGACGGCCCCTCCAAGGTACAGCTGGACTGTCGGGAGTGTCCTGAGGGCCACGTGGTCACTTACACTCCCATGGCCCCTGGCAACTACCTCATTGCCATCAAGTACGGTGGTCCCCAGCACATTGTGGGCAGCCCCTTCAAGGCCAAAGTCACAGGTGAGTGCCCTGAGTAGGGGGAGGTCCCTCTAGCCCAACTTGGATGTCTCCGGTGGCCATTCACATCAGGCTCATAGTCTGCCCCTAACGTCACAGTCAAGTCATCAGGAATAAGCTGGGCCTGGCTACCCCACACGCCATCCTCCGTGCCCTACCTGCGGATCCTGCAGAATCATTTTTAAGTCACATCCTCCCTCCTCACAGTTGTCCATCACTTGTTTAACCTTCACCCCGGTGTGGCCTCCACACTCTAGCCTAGCTTTCTGTCCTCTCGGCTTCCAGAAGGATAGAACTCAGTAAATATTTAGCAAGCTTTACTTTTGGAACCTACGTGTTCCTTTTCCCTCTGGGACTTGAGTTCCTAGTCAAAGCCCAGACGGGCAAGGCGCAGAGCCACCAGAGGCCCAGACCTCGGGGGCACACACCGCGGTGACTGCAAGCCAGGCTCACTGGCGATGGGCTGGTGCTGCCAGGGTGCTGCCGCCCCGGCCCTGAGCCCACGGCCTGCGACCCACACACGCTGCCCCACTCTGCCTGCAGGGCCCCGGCTGTCCGGAGGCCACAGCCTTCACGAAACCTCCACGGTGCTGGTGGAGACGGTGACCAAGTCGTCTTCCAGCCGGGGCTCCAGCTACGGCTCCGTGCCCAAGTTCTCCTCCGATGCCAGCAAGGTGGTGACGCGGGGCCCGGGGCTGTCCCAGGCCTTTGTGGGCCAGAAGAACTCCTTCACCGTGGACTGCAGCAAAGCAGGCACGCTGGGGGCACACGGGCGGTCTCCTAGGGTGGGCGGGGCACGGGAACGGGGCGGGGGGGCAGTGAGGGCCCCCGATGTGAACCCAGCCTCCCCGCCTCCCTCTCCAGGCACTAACATGATGATGGTGGGCGTGCACGGGCCCAAGACCCCCTGTGAGGAGGTGTACGTGAAGCACGTGGGCAACCGGGTGTACAACGTCACCTACACCGTCAAGGAGAAAGGGGACTACATTCTCATCGTCAAGTGGGGCGACGAGAGTGTCCCCGGAAGCCCCTTCAAAGTCAACGTGCCCTGAGTCCCAGAAGTGCCTCCCCCAGCCTCAGCCCCCACCTTTGGCCAAACACACACTCACATAAACACACACCAGTGGGTCACACCCAGAAGCACACGTGCATAATCAGACACCACCAACACCTCCCTCGGGGTGTGGAACGCGTGGCACTGCCTCTTCAGCCCACCGAGCCCCCAGGGGCTGGAGGCCTTGTCTGTCCCAGCGCAGCGTCCCTCCCTCTGAATGTGATATAAGGGCGGCCTGGGGCTTCCGGGGGGTCAAGGGAGCCCTGAGGTTTTCAGCAGGCTGAGGCTCGTGGGGGAGCACACACTGGGGGTGCCTGCGTGTGTGAGAGAGGGCACCCCCAGACCTCACTGCTGGCCAGGCCTTCTTGCACTGAGGACTGCACCCGGCCCCTCTGGTGGCTGTGACCCCAGAGCATTAAGGACTTGGAAAAGCAGCACAATCGTCGGAGAAAAAGGACCCAGAACCAGCAGCAGTGTTGGCACGTGGCCTGGCTTTGGGCAGTTTCTATCCCTGCCAGGCTTCCTGGGGGACAGATTTTTCTCTCTTTTTTTTTTATGGTTGCACAGCTCTGCCCCATGGGGGGCCTTTTTTACACACTGCGAGGCCCAGCTTTCTGGGGGAACTTTTGCACATGTCATGTGGCTCAGCTGGGAGCCACTTCGGTGGAAAACTCCAAATAAAGTGCGGCCTGTCGCAGAGGCTTGGCTGTTCCTCGTGTGTGTCTTTTCCACCGCCGGCCACCTCCTGGCCCGCTGACGCTAAGTCGGGCCCTGGGGAGGCAGAGGCTGTCTGGCTGTCCCTTGGAGGGCTGACCCAGGCTAAGGGAGAGGGCCTGGGGGCAGGGGGCCATGCTTCTGGGCCATCTATTTGGTGAATGTGATGTTGGCAGAGTATTTTCGGAAAGAAAAAACAGGGATTAGAGGGTGGGGACCAGTTAGGGATGTGGGATTGGTCCTTAGATTCCTGGAGAGCTGGTGGCTGCAATAGGGAAGTGGACACTATGTTCTAGGACCACTGGGAGGCCAGTTTCTATTCAGCCTGATTTCAAAATGTTCTCCAAATTAGAAACTTAAAACACGAGCATGCTTTAAGCATGCCAAATTAGAAACTCAAACAGGCGTGCTTCTCTCCCAGCAGGCAGGCAGAACCATCTGCAAACCCAGGAAACTACTCCAGCCAGACCCGAGGTCAAACCAGGGCTCCCTCCTGAAACAGCCTCTTACGTAGCCTCCAGGGCCCACAGCCTCTCCGGTAGCCTCCCTGACGTATCAGCCTCCCCCGCCCGGGCCAGCTCCCGCCAACCTGCCCTCCACACTGCAGCCACTGGGGCTCACATGAGAGGGATTATGCCCGACTCCAAATCAGGGCCCTTCTGTGACTCCCTCCTGCTCCAGGTTCCTGTGTATTCTTCCTAACAAGGCCTCCAAGGTCTCCAGGTTCATGTCCAGCCTCCCCGCCGCATCATTTCAGAAGACTCCTGAGTCGGGCCATGTGTTTGTTCCCCACCGCACTCTCCTGCTTGGACCCTGCTTCACAGCCCCTAGTCTCCCAGGTGCCCGTGCTACAGTTCAGGCCTCTGCCAGGGACACCCTTGCCTCCTCATCCGCCTATCCAATAGGAAGCCCTCCTGACCCCTTCTGGACCATCGCCCCGCTCCTGTTCTCCCTCAGACAAGTCTCTAGCTGTATCTACTACCCTAATCCGTGACCGTGTATCCTCAGGCTGGCCTTCCCCGCGAGACTGAGCTCCCTGACCCCGGCAGAACTGACACAGACAGGGGTGGCAAATGAATAAATGAATGAATGAATGAGCAACTGGGTAGCCAGAGCAGGTCAGAGACACATTTCACTCCATTGATTCCCCAGCGCCTAGATCCATCCCTGGACATCGCAGCTCATGGTGGGGGCCCCACTCCAAAGCCCCTGCCTCACCTCTTCACCCAGTAGTGTGTCTCCTTGCTCTTCCAGTTCCTTCTTCCTCTCCCCCTCCCTCATTTGCTCTGAATCCTGCCCCTCAAGACCCCTCTTTCCATGTGTCTGCGCCCCACCCTGGGATATTTTTCACTCTCTCCACACTGAGTCCGGAGGGAGCTCCTTGAGAATAGAAATCATATTTTATCTATCTCGTGTCCCTCAGCATCCTCATGGCCACATTTGACAAACACTGGCTGAATGAGGGAGTGTGTGACGACTGTGACGGGCCCAGCTCCCTACTTTATGGGACAGACCCAATGAGGCAGGATCTGTTCTCTTAAGTACCCGAGCAGTCTCGGCCGTTAGGGGCCAGGTGTGTGCCAGGCACCGAGTCAGGCGCTTCCCCCCACGCCACTTCTCACTCTTTGTCCTCCCTCCGCCTCGCCCTCAGACCTGGGAGTTTTCCTGTATCATTTGCTGCCCTGCCCTTTTGTGCTGACGTGTTATGGATAGCCGGCTGCCCCACCCCCACTCCCACCTGTAGTACGGCCCTGGGTGCTGAGCACTTACGGGCTCCACCTTACTTAACCCAAACAGCCTATGAGGTGGGCAAACTGTTATCTGAAGGAAAAAAGGTCCAAAGAATGGTGGTAATGGGTCCAAAATCATACCTCTGAGTATCAGTGCACCCAAATCCCAAGCCTATTATACAAATAACCAGACCATCCAGACCATCTGGATGTTAAATGCTCTAAACTCCGAACACCATGCCAGACACCAGGCCTCCTGTTTATTAAAAGGGAGGAGGATGCCCCGGCTGGTGTGGCTCAGGGGGCTGAATGCCAGTCTGTGAACCAAAAGGTGGCAGGTTCCATTCCAACTCAGGGCACATGGCTGGGTTGCAGGCCAGGTCCCCAGTTGGGGCTGTGCGAGAGGCAACCAATTGATGTTTCTCTAGCACATCAATGTTTCTCTCCCTTTCTCTTTCCCTTCCCCTCTTTCTAAAACATTACTAAAATCTTAAAAAGGAAAAAAAGAAAGCAGCAGCCCTGGCCAGTGTGGCTCAGTTGGTTGGAGCGTCATCCCATAGACCAAAAGGATGGGGGTTCGATTCCCAGTCAGAGCACATACCTAGGTTTCAGGTTTGATCCCAGGTCAGGTATGAATGGGAGGCAACCAACAGATGTTTCTCGCATTGATGTTCCTCTCTCTCTAAAATCAATAAACATATTTTTAAAAAGTGAGGGAGGAGGAGAGAGTGGAACTTCCTCTTCAGCATGTTCATCTCACAGAGTTCACTCAGGAATGTGAAGTCTGTTTGGAGAAAGTCCAGCCATTATTAACATAACGAGAATGGTTTGTGCAACATCGATGTGACCTGGCAGCCAAGGAGCCTGGACTGGAACGCACATGCATGAACAATGGCGACTCCACTGTACCAGTCAGTGGGAGTGGCAGATCCCATTGAGTGAGCGTGTGTACTGTGTGGCCGTCATTCAAAATGACTGAGTAGAGCAAAATTTGATGAATCTGCATCAAATTGCATTAAGCTTGAACATTCTTCCATGGAAACTATTCAGATGATTCAGAAGGCCGCAGCTATGGGCAATTGGTGATTGGCAGCTTTCTCACAACAACACACCCACTCATGCGTCATATCTGTTGCAGTTTTTTGGTGAAATATCAACTCACCCAGTTGACTCAGTCCCCCTACAGCCCAGATTTGGCACCCTGAGACTTCTGGCTTTTCCCAAAACTAAAATCACTTTTAAAAGGGAAGAGATTTCAGACTGTCAATGAGATTCCAGAAAATACAATAGGGCAGCTGATGGCCATTGAGAGAACTGTTTGAGGTCCCAAGATGCTACTTGGAAGGGGACTGAGGCGTCATTGTCCTATGTGCAATGTTTCTTGTATCTTGTATCTTCTTCAAAGAAATGTCTCTATGTTTCATAGTACATGGCTGGATACCTTCTGGACAGACCTTGTATCATTCCTATCCACCTAGTTGCACAGGCCAGAACCCTGCAAGTCCCCTGGGTTTCCCTAACTTCCTCCCCGAATACATCCAATCCCAAAATAAGTTTTGTCCATTCTATCTCAAAATATCGCCACTCCATCTGCTTTTCCACCATTCCTCACACTCACTACCTGAGTTCTGGCCAGCATCAGCTCTTAACCACAATTGGGTCTCTTCTTTGCCTCAACATGACATCATCACAATGCTATCTGTTTTAAAAAGATTTCATTTATTTATTTTTAGAGATGGGGAAGAGAAAGAAAGGGAAACATTAATGGGTGGTTGCCTCTCCAGTGCCCCCTACTGGGGACCTGGCCTGCGACCCAGGCATGTGCCCCCACTGGAAATCGAACTAGAGATCCTTTGATTCACAGGCCTGTATTCAATCCACTGAGCTACAAAAGCCAAGGCACAATGCTATCTTTAAAACATAGACCTGGCAATGCAATTCTCTCACTTGTCCTTCAGTGACGTCTGGATGACTTTGTCCTCAGGATAACTTCCAGATTCTTTATCTTTTTTTTTTAAGGCATTTATTCCCTCTAGCTGTTAAGGTTCACACAGGCTGTTCCTCTTCGCTAGAACACCCTCTTCTCATTTCTACCCACTTGGTTCGGCTGGAAACCTTTCTGAGAGCCCCCTCTTCCACGGATTAGTTACCTCTGACATGTGCTTCCACAGACTTCTCACATTTCAGTAATTAACTAAAATGCTCCTTTGTAATTGCCTGCTCATTTGATTCTACCTCACTAGTCAGTAACATCGTTAACTCGTTCACTTATTTGTTTATTATTTTACCTTGAGAGAGAGAAGCATAGATCTGTTCCGCATTTGTTTGTGTTCATCGGTTGTTTCTATACGTGTGCTGCCAAAGGATGGGCCTCAACCTTAGTGTATCAGGAGGACGTTCTAACCAACTGAATAAACCAGCCAGGGCTTGTTCACGCTTTTATTAATTAAACAGTATATACTCATTGTTAACTGTGCCCTATATGCCCGACAAAGACCGACACCTCGCCTTGAAGGACAGGACCGGTCTCCACCTGTGGAGATTACCGCGTCTCAGAGCAGTAGGCTGTACCCTAAGCAACCACACAATCCAATGACCTTCGCCAACCCGTGATGCCGCACGGACTTCTGGGAATTGTAGTCTCCAGATTCCAGCCACTCTAAGGCGCAGGCCGTATAAAGCCGTTTTGCTATCAATGCGCATGTCCTGGGAGGCGGAGTGGTGGCCCTGCGCATGCCTGTAGGGTAGGGTGCAACCGAAAGGCGGTGCGCTGTGGAGGCGGGGATTCCGGTGCTTCTGGCTTTGGCGACTGAGCTCTATCTGTTGGGATGGCGGGCAGGGGAAAGCTAATTGCGGTGATCGGAGACGAGGACACGGTGACTGGCTTCCTGCTGGGCGGCATAGGGGAGCTTAACAAGAACCGCCACCCTAATTTCCTGGTGGTGGAGAAGGATACTACCATCAATGAGATCGAAGACACTTTCCGGTACGGTAGCTAGCGAGGCCAGAATGGGACCCTCTGTTGCCGATGGGAGCACAGGGAAAAGGAGGGGGCGGCGCGGGGACCAGAGTCTTGGGGCTTCCAGACCCTGTCCGAAATGTGAGTTCCCCCCTCGGGGGTCAGGGAGATCGGTCCGCCGGCCCTTCCTGAGAGAAGTCCTTCGTGCCCCAAATTCCCTTCGGGGGCTACGTGGGGTTCACGAGCTCCCATCTCACATGACCGTGTGTCAGGAAAGAAGGGGAACGAGCTTGTGGCGGGCACCGCCCCTCGGCGCAACCTGCCCTGCTAAGGTTCGGCGTACGCAGCGCCCGGGACCCGGATGCGGGCAGTCTTTGCTCCTCTGCACGGGTCTCCCAGTTCACCTGTAGACCAGGCTCCGGGTGTTGCTAGCACTAGGCTCTCCTGCCCCAGCGAACACTTAGGCGGCCCTGAGCTTGGGCTTTCTTGTATTTCGTCTGCCTTACAGGCTCAGAGTAGTCCTGTTACGATCAGGGTTGTTATTTGCACTTACGCGGGGGAAAACTTAAGGCTCGGAAAGGTTAAGGCACATACCAAAGTCACATGATTTGGAAGAGACGGAGTAGGGATTTAAACCCAGTCCCAAACCTTTCTGCGCCTCTTAAACCAGGTCCACAATCTGCTTTTGCCGCTCTCCCCGGTCTATCTGGAAATTTCCCACTGTCCCGGGCACAGTGGGCAGAATATCAGTACTGGGTCCTGCTCTCCACAGGCATGTCCCTAAATTCAGGCAGTGCCATGGTGATTAGAATGGAGGACGCCCCCCCCCCCCCCGTTCTTTCCCTCACCCCTTCTCCAGGCCCCTGCTGCCAAGTCCCGGAAACAAAGCACTTGCACTCGTTTCACCCTCAACGGCCCAGCCCTGAGCTGCTGCCGGTTGAGACTGGTTCGTGTTGGCCTCGGACTGACAGGGACAGACCTGGGAGGCTGATCTCAGCCAGTCTCTGAGCGGTCTGGTAAAGCGACCCCAGTTGTCATGGGAGAAGGGCAAATTTCACTTCAAGAACTTGCCATGTTTCCGACCAAAAGGGGCATCGGAGATCAAGTCTAACCTACTCCAGTGTCTGGCACGGAGGAAGTGCTCAGTAAATCGTTTTTTTTAATTATTAATATTAAATTTCTTGGGGGTAACATTGGTTAATAACATGAATTTTCAGGTGTACAACTTCCTAATGCAAAGTAGTTTTAATGGATAGATGAATGAACGGGTGGGTGGTCCCAAGAGAGGAAGATCCCAGTGCCAAGTCCCCTCTGTGTGGAAAGTGTGATCCCTGTTACTGATTTTCCTCTTACCGTGTTGTGTTTGGGGCTCATGGCAGACTTCCCCAGTAACCCATCCCTGTCCTCATCACTGTGGACTTTGAGGTCTCTAGGGGTCTTATCAAACCCCCCCTTTTTAAAAAATTCAGTTTGCTTTCCTTTGAAAAGTTAATACGTTCATGTGGTTTGCAAGTTAATACTTAAAAGGTTTACACGTTGTCTCACTCCCATCCCTGTCCTCTTCTACCTTCTTACTTCCCTCTTCCCCCCATGGATACGCACTTAGCTTCCTTCCATGTCATCTTTATGCAAACCCAAAGGGACGGATGTACTTACTGTCCTCTCCCTTTGTTACACAAAGGCAACATATGGAACACACTGCTCTGAACCCTAATCTGCAATACCAGTGCACTTAGGAGCTTTCTAAGCAGGAGAGGTAGAAGCCAACCCTGACCATGGACCCTAGCTTCTGAATGAAATTGGTTTTGGAGAGGATGGAGAGTTTTGTGTAGTAGCCTTTACCCCGGTCTCCTGTGCTCTCTGGGTGAAGTTCATTCACCCCCCTGCAGCCCAGCCGCTAACTCAGAGTGGGCTGCCATGGTCTCCCTTCTCATGTCTCCAACAGGCAGTTTCTGAACCGGGATGACATCGGCATCATCCTCATCAACCAGTACATCGCAGAGATGGTGCGGCATGCCCTTGATGCCCACCAGCGCTCCATCCCGGCTGTTCTCGAGATCCCGTCCAAGGAGCACCCCTATGACGCTGCCAAGGACTCCATCCTGCGGAGGGCCAGGGGCATGTTCACGGCCGAAGACCTGCGCTAAGATGACGCCCCACCACCCTGCCGCCTCTCCCAGGCTTGCCATTGGCCCCTTTCTAAGTTTCAAGCTTCTGATTCCCAATTTCCTGCCCCTTCCCACTCCATTGAGAGGCTAGACGTGGTGCTTCCATGTTGCTGGGGCTCCGCCATTAAAATCGAGACTGGTCAGGGAACCGGAAGCTGATTGTCCTCCCTGCCCACTATCTCTTTCCTGTGCTGTTACAGTGTCACTGTTGCTGTTAAATTAAACGTTCTTCTCTCCAAATTGAGCCTGGGTGCTAGAAAGCACACGTGTGCAGTGAGGCTATTGGAGGGATTAGATGGTCAGGTCTGGAAAAGGTTCTGCTGAAGATCCGAGCGCAGAGGAGCGGGAGGCCATAACTCGAGAACTGGTCCTCTGAATCAAAGGCGACCAGCTCTGGCAGGGAGGAACGGGGGGAGGCTTGTGCCCAGACCCCTGGCTTCCCTACTTCAGTCTTGGTTGGGGGTGTAGGGGGCCCTGACCCAAGGGACGGAAGCAGAAAGCACAGGAAACCTGGAAGCCTGTGATACTAGACTGGGCCTGGGACCTGCAGAAGGTGTGGGGGTGGGGGCCCTCAGCTGGTGGGCCTGGCTTGAGGCTGCCTCAGCTAGCAAGGCGGGTGAGGCCTGCTGAGGGCATGGCGGGTAGAACCCTGGCCCTGTGTGAGGTGAGGCATGGTTGCCTGGTGACCGCCCCTGGGCAGCCACCTCCTGGCAGCAGGGCTCTGCTTGCTGTGCTCACCTCTCAGCCTTAGTGGCCCTGGTGCCTCTCCTTGCCACCATGATGCGGCAACTCAACATGGATACGGTGCGGCAGAACTTCTGGAAGGAAGAATATCTGAGGGAGAAGATGTTGCGCTGTGAGTGGTATCGCAAGTACGGGTCGATGGTGAAGGCCAAGCAGAAGGCTAAAGCTGCAGCCCGCCTGCCCCTCCACCTGCCCACTCTGCGTCCCGAAGCCCCACTCCCACCCTCACCTGCCCCCAAGGCAGGCCCTTCCAGGGTCCCCAGCCCTGCCCTGGAGGCTCCTGTGCAGTCGGAAATGTACCCCGTACTGCCAGCCACCCGGGCCCTGCTGTATGAAGGCATCTCGCACAACTCCCAGGGGCGCTACCGCTACCTCAACGCCCGCAAACAGGACATCCCGGAGATGCGCTACCGCTTCCCCATCACCACCAGCTTCACCTACGGCTGGCAGCTGGGTGAGCCCCAACCTGGACATTCCCTCACAAACACAGGCGCCTGCCGTGAGCCAGGCAGTGTGCCAGGCGCTGGGCACACGAGACACTCCTTTATGGGGCATCCATAAGAGCAAGGGAATGTCTGAGACGCAGAAGTTTCATGATGAGATTAGGGAGTGGTGGGGTGGGAGCTGGGTGCGGGGGTGTGCTCAGATGGGATGGTCAGGGAAGGCCTGACTGGGGACCGAAAGGCTGAGAGCTAAATGACGAGGAGGAGGAGGAGTTTGGGGGGTTATTCCAAGTGTGAGGGGAAGCCAGTGGAAGGTTTTAAGCAGGCAAGTACACTGATCTGCTTTTTGAAAAATTGCCTTGACTGCTCTGTAGGTGCTGGCTTTTGCAGGGGACAGTGTGGCTGGTGGGCGAGTTAGGCAGCTACTTTGAGTTTTCCTAGCAAGAGGCGGTAGCTTGGGCCAGGGTGAGTAGCAGAGCTGGGATAGGTTCAGGATACGTTTTCCGAGAAGAATCAATGGACCTTTCTGATGGACTGAGTGAAAGAAAGGGTAAGGATGCTGATGACACGCAGGTGTCGGGCTGAAGCCGCTGCGATGGGAGGACTGGGAGAGGAGCATGGCTGCAGGGCCTGTGAAGACGGATCAGCGCTGCGCTGGCCGTGTCAGTGGGGCGGCTGCGTGTGGACGTCACCCTCGAGCTAGGTCAGAGCTGAAGATGCAAATCTGGGGTGGGGGCCTCAGAAAGTCGGTGCTCTTTAAAACTCGGATGGGGTGAGCTCACTAGGGGAGCTCTAGATTCTGACGTGTGGCAGGAGGAGAGGCAGGGGCGCAGAGGGGTAGGGAGTTGGTGTCCATCTGGACCGAGCATGCGAGGCGGAGTCATGGTCACCAGTGGGGAGGGAGCGGAGCAGAGGCATGGTGTAGTTTGAGAAGAGCTAAGGTGTGGGGAGAGGAGCTCGCCAAGGGGTGGTGTCGGGCTGCAGGTGATGCTGTGTCCTTTTGTTCTCTGTGGCCTTGAGTTCCAAGTGAACGACTCAGCCGTGTTTTTCCCCAGCTGCTGTAGTGCCTGGGCAGAACAGGTGGATGGCAGGGGCTACAGGCAGTTCAAAGTTTGCCTGAAAACTCCCGCCACTTTCCCCAGGGCCCTAAAAGGGAAGTAAAGGGAATGATTTCCAGCCAAAGCGGGAGGTGGAAAGAAGCCCCAGTTGTCTCAGAGATGACTAGCTTTGTCTGTCCCTGTGAAGCAGCACTGGGTGCCCAGCCACCCACCCTGCAGAGGACCCAGGGGCTGGGGGCGATGACGGGGCACAGCCCAGTGGCTTTCTGCCATCACGGCGCTGGGCACCCCGCCTGCTCCATCCATGTTCCCACAGCCCCCGCCCCTCGGAAGCACTTTGTATTCTTGCTCACAGAGGGGACATGACGCGGTCAGATGCCTGGGGCTGGCAGATGGGACGCCGGGCTATGTGCAATGCTTTCCCAGGAACCCATCCCTGGCCTCCGACGTCTCTCCCCAGGCCCGCCAGTGAAGCAGGATATGACCTTCTGCAAGATGTGTCACATCGACTCATTCTTCCGCAAGAACGGGGCCTTCTCGCCCCTTGACCCCCGGGACCTGGCCCTCTGACCGCGAGTGGGCCGGGCAGTGTGCTGCGGGGCGGGAAGAAGAACTCACCCGCCACCTGGTGGAACGAAGCTGCCGTGTGTCTGTGTGTCTGTGTGTCTGGCTCTCCCAGGCCCTGAGGTTGCACTCTGGGCCTTTTTTTTAATGACTTTTCAAAAAAATGTTTTATTTTATTTTTAGAAAGAGGGGGAAGGAAGGAGGAAGAGAGGGAAACGTTGATGTGAGAGAGAAACTTGGATGGAGAAACACGGAGTGATTGCCTTTCACGTGCCCACAACCAGGGACCTGGCCTGCAAGCCAGGAATCAAATGGGCCTCGACCGTTTGGTTACAGGCAGGCGGGCACTCAGTCCACTGAGCCACACCAGCCAGGGCATGAGCCTTTTTGAAACAACCTTCGATCCGCAGGTTGCCCTCTTCCCTTAACCCCCACTTCTTTAATCATCCTTTTGAAGATTCGGCAGCCTTTAGAGAGACTGGGAAGAATGAGCACTACTCTCCGGGTACATGCTCCTCGGCGCCAGTGGGGCACAGTAGCTGCTGGAAGTTCTGGGTGTTTCTGGAGAGAGAGCGGCCTGTTATCCCAGATGTCAGGGAAGGGGGGCCACCACTATCCTGTAAACCTCTCCCCTGCACCCCCTCACCTGGCTCCGAGGGCCTGCAGCCTCCCTGTCCTCTCCTGGTGCACCTCCAGTTGCTCCCGCAGAGCGCTTCGCTGCCCCTCTATGTCCTGGGCAGAGCGGAGCCCTGAGCGCCCTTGCATCCCGGCCCAGCGGCCCAGGCTCAACGGAGCCAGCAGGAGGCAGCACCCAGACTCCCCCTACCCCACCTCTCCATGGGTGACAGCGCAAGTGCAGGACGCGTGCACTTCAAAGGGACCCAGCTAGCGCCGGCCAGACCCCTGCTCCTCACTGCCTTCTCCCCGGGGTCTTGCCTGTGACTGGAGCTGAGCTGGGCTGGGTGGGGGCCCCAGGGGGTGCACCCGGCAGAGACGGTTCCTCGCAATGTGAAGGCGGTCCAGGATCTGGTGTTGAGAGCTGTCAGCGGGCGGCGGCCACCTTTCTGTGCCCAGCCCACCAGTGGTCCCACCCAGGGCGGGGACGCACCCGGAGCCGCTGCTGCTCACGGTCCAGCCACCGCCGGCGCCTGGCCGCGCCCTGCAACTCCAGCAGCCGCTGCAGGGTCGACTCTCTCTGCGCTGCACTCAGGCCCCCCGAGGCCTTCTCCTTGCCTGGGAGCCCGGGCCATGCAGCCTTCGAAGCCTTGGGGCCCTCAGCAGCGCCCCTCTGCCCTTCAAGGGGGCCCGGGAACCTCACGGAGCCGTCAGCCCCCAGCCCCCTCGTTTCATCCACCTGCTGCTCCCCGGGACCTGGGCCCGCTCCCGAGTCCTGCAGCCCAGAGGGATTGCGCAGCAGTCCTGAGTGCCCCGGGAGAGCAGTAGGGCGCTCCTGCTGCTCAGAGTCCCTGGTACTCAAGGCCAACTGCATCACAGCTCCTGGGCTTGGGAGCTGCGGCTGGGCCGGGGGCCTCTGTAGCTGAAGGGGAGCCAGCGCCTTCCCTCGGCCGGCCCACTGCTCTCCCATGGCCAGGGCCTTGTCTTGTCTATGGCCGTGGGTCTTGTCCGGTGTCAGCTGGACGCCCCTTCCCCCAGGGCCTGGGCCCTCCCTTTTCCCAGACTGCGATATCTGTTCTCCCAGAGACTCGCAGAAGTCCCCCGGGCTTCCCCAGGATTTGCCTTCCTCCCGGGGTTGGGCAGGTGCCTCTCCCTGAGCCACCTCCCAGGCTTGTGAGACCCAGCCCCTGCCTGCAGAGAAGGGAAGGTCCTTCATTTCCTGGCTCTGGGGGGTCTCCTTTCTCGCGCACTCAGGGCAATTTTCTTTCGGATCTTGAAGAGCATCTTTGTCCTCACCCTGAGGGGTCTCCCACCCCAGACCCCCAGAGACCTCTTGTCCCAGAGCCTGAGCAGACTCCCCACTCCGAGCCTGGTTGGCCCTCCCTGTCTGAGTCTGAGGAGCTTCTTCATTCTCCCCCTGGGGGGCCTCCTCTCCCTGACCCTGGGGGGCCTCCTCTCCCTGACCCTGGGGGGTCTCTTCTCTCTGACTCTGTGGGCTCTCAATCCCCAGAAGTTTCTGAAGTTCTGTTCTGTCCTGGCTCAAGCTCCAGCCCAGCCCCTCGGTGGAATCTTGGGGTTCGGGCAGGCCTGAGGGCCCCATGGCTTCCTGAGGGGTCTTTCTTCCCTGTGGGCTTCCGGATGCCAGTGCGAGGGGCCTGTGGGTTGTGGGCTTGGCTTGGCCCCTCTCTTCCTTCAGGACCCAGTTCTGGGGGAGGAAGAGTGCTTTGTTCCAGGCTGGCAAGGGAATCCCTGTGCCAGGACCACTTGAGTGGGGGGAGTCTGGAGACCCCAGTGGCTTCCCCCAGGGGGCCTCACTTCCATTACGGCCCTTGCCTGATCCCTGAGTTTGTTACACCCATGTTACGAAGTGATGGTCCCTTCTTCCACCTGGCTGTGGGGGGTGCCCTGCCTGGACGCAGCAGCCTCCCCCAAGGCAGACCCCATCCACCCCTGCTGTCCGCAATCTGAGAGGGCCCTGGCCCAGGACCCTTTGACCCCTTCACCTTGAACTCTGAGTTTCCTGGTTTCCCAAAGCTGCTGCAGGGGGCGGAGTCCAGCTCTTGTAAGCAGCCTGAGGGAGAAAGATCGATGTGAGGAGCCCTCTGTGCAGGTGCAGCCCCTGACACATTCCACCTGAACTGCAACCAAGAAGCCTGGGGCATCCCCTGCAGTGACGGGGAGGAGGTGCCCAGAGAGTCGGTGTTTGAACTTCAAGGCTGTCATAGTTCATTGTTCCACCTTTATTTACTCAGCCTGATACGTGCTTGCTTAGAAGGTTTGCCTGCTTACAGCTGACCCCATCTTCCTCATCCTCCTGGCCAAGGCAGACCATCTCTTGGACACCTGTGCACTCTCCTCCTACCCCCGTGGGATGCCTCGGAGCAGGAAGGGCCTCAGGACACCCTCACTTTGCCCCAATGGGCCCATCCAGGCCCATAAGAAACCCAGTGCCGGGACCTCACTTGACTATCACTGAGGAAAACCCTCTTAGCTCTTTCTTGGGTTTCTGACAGCAAAATCAAATGAAATTCAGGAAGTAAAATTTTAGGCCAGAGCTGGGCCTCAAAACGGCAACGTCTTCCTAATTAACAAAAGGGATCTGAAAAGGAAGATGAGCTGTGGCTGCCCCCCTGCAGCTGGGGAGGGAGGAAAGTCACTCCGCATCCAGAAAACTGCGGGAAAGACCTTGATTTCACGAGGTCCTAGATGGAGGCCTTTCTCAGGAACAGCCCATCTTTACGCAGCAACATGGATGTGAGGATATTCGTAACAGGGACCAAGAGGGAATGTTCTCTGAAAATGCCTGTTTTTTTAACGGTTTCTGAGCCAAGGGGTCCGATAAGATTCCCAGGCCTTTAGAAATTATTGTCGCGAACGGAGAAAGCCTCCAAGCCCCTTCCTCTGTCATTCTGGTCTGTAGCCTCACTAGATCCTCTCTTTCTCTGGTAACAGTGTAAGTGATGTCCCCATATTCCCAAGTAGTCCCATCCTTGTAAAAATGTCTGTCAGCAGGAAAATCATCATTGGCACTTTCTGTCTCTCACGCACGATGGAGTAATTAAAAGCTCATGGCTTTGCTGGGTTTATGATTTAACAAATCCTTTGAGAGTCTGTTTCTTTCGAATGAACAGGGCCAGGGTTACGGCATCTGTCCCACTGGATTCTCATCGCCTGTTTGTGGTCACGCTCTGTCACTAGGCTGTGGTCCCAGAGACAAGGACCGAGGGACAAGGCCAAGACTCTCGTGCTCGGGTGCCCCCAGTGCCTGGCCTAAGGGTGGCCGACAGGCTATTCTGAGCATCCATGGACAGACATGCCACATGTCCCTCCCCTGAGCCCCAGCTGAACTTCAGAACCCTCCCAGATTCAGCACAGGAGACAGCTGCTGCCAATCAGGGGGTACTGTACGTAAAATAAAACCTACTCGTCCTCCCCGGGTGCCCCGACACCCAACAACAAGGTATGAGACAAAGAATGAGTGAGGACTTCCCCTGCCTCCTCCCAGGCTCGTCTGGCCACCCGAGCCCAGGGGCTCCCGCCAACTGGCTGCCGACCCAGCTGCCGACCCCTCCTGTCAACGTACCAGGTGTGGGCTCCGCAGGCAAGCCAAGGCTCTCCCACCTCGGGGCTGCGTCACTCCCAGCTGCCCCCGGACCTGGGGCCGAGGACCCGCCTGCTGCGTTCTGCCCCCTGCTGGAGTGCAACGGGCTCCGGAAGGGGGAGCACCTGCCTGCCAGTCCGCCCCCGCCCTCACCCCAGCAGGCTGCTGAGCCTTCCCACCCCAACATCCAGACTCAACCCAGGGCAGCCTGCCCCAGCGCCTGCGCCCACCACGATGCCGGGAGCTGGCCCCCAGGGGCTGTGGGTGCAGCTGAGGGGGAGCCCCAGGAGGAGCCTGGGCTGTGGAGGAGACCAGGAATGCGGCCCGAACTTGGTCACTTCGTGTGGCAACACAGAGTACACAGGTTCCCTGGGAGAAACACTCACCCCTCCAGGAAGCGACAGTGCTGGCTCAGGTCGTTCCCAGCCTGGGGTGATGAGCACCCGGAACTCTGGAAGGGTTTGGGGTGGCCTAGTCCCCAGGGCACCAGTGTGGTAGGCAGCCTTGAAAATGGCCCCCAGAGACCCCTCCTCCTGGCACCTATGCCCTTGAGTGACCCCCTCCCCTCCCCCTCCAGGTGAAGAAACTTGGAAAGGGTCCCTCCTGCCCAGTCCAGCCTTCACATCAGCCCGCTGTCCCAGCCGACAACATGGGCTGGACACGTCCTCCTCCTCCTCGGCCCGGAGACGGCTGCCGCCCTGCCCACAGTGCCTCGGCAGCTGGTGGCTGAGCTGCACTGGAGGCACATCACCGTTCCCAGGCACCACAGCACCCCTCTTCCTAGAGGGGTCGGCCAGCCACCGGCCCTGCAGGAAGGGGCTCGTGCTGGGGCCGCCCAGCGCCCCGTGTCAGAGGCACCCTGGGCATCAGCACCTCTGCCCGGGGCTCGGCCAGCCCAGCTTTCCTCCCACGCTGTGGCCATGTCCAAAGGCTTCTAGGCATGACCATGCAGCTGATGGGACCGAGCCACCTGTGAACTGTGGATTGGTGGTAACAGCCTGCCCAGAACCAGCAGGCCTTGCGCTCCGGGCGCGGCACTAAACCCTTCACGTGGACGAGTCCAAAGGTCCTGCCAGCCGCCCTCTGAGAAAGGTCTCCCCAGTTCATATATGGAGGCTTGCAGTCCCCACAGAGCATCAGAGCAGAGATCTGAACCAGATCCCTCTGCCTCCGGAGCCCACCCTCCTTCCACTTCCCTTACCACCACGATTGCCCGCCCCCCATGTCCACTGACCCCCCTGCTCACTCCGCTCACCCGCCGCCTGGGGTCCGCACCCATCCCACCACAGGGCTCGCTGTGCTGGCTCCACTCCTGCTGGGCCCAGTCCCTCAGGCCACTGACCTGGACCCGGGGGGGCCAGAAGAGGCCCAGCCCTGCCCCAGTTAGCAGCTCCAAGTCCCACAGGAGCTGCAGAGAGACGGGATGCCAGGACTCAGGGGGGCCCAGGACTGGGGGGGGGCCCACCCTGCCCTCTGCCACACCCCCACCCTGCCCTCTGCTACACCCCCAGCCCCCCCCCCACCTGCTCCTGGGCCCGCCGGCTCCGTTCCATCTCCAGCAGCACGGCAGGCAGCTCCAGGCCTTGGGGGCAGGCCCAGCCCTCTCGCACCTGGGGAGCAACGTTGGGTCAGGCCCCACAGAGAGCCTGTCCCTTCGGAGACAGTGCCCGGCCTCCCTCACCTGCCGCAGTGCGGCCCGGAGCTGGCCCAGGCCCACCGGGCACCGGAAGAGGCGCTGGTACAGAGCCAGTGCCTGCTCGGGGCTACAAGGGAGCCCTGGGTCCCCGGGCGTGGCTGCCCGCGCCATGGGGCAGGGAGCCGGCACAGATGACCCTCCCTCCTCTTTCCCTGTGCCCTTGCAGCCTGGACAGAGGACAACCAGGAGCTGCACACGGGAGCAAGGAGACGAAGCCTCTGAGCTCAATAATGCAGGACCCTGACATCTGAGCCACGGCCTGGACCCCTGCCAAGTCCCAAGAAGACGCAGGCCTGACTCTGAAAGGGTTTCTCGGTCTTGGAGGTGGCGGTGTAGGGTCAGGAGTGTGGCCCTACTGGGAGAGGTGTGTGCACGGGCTTGTCTGCGGTCCCAAACGAGCATCTGTTTTTCGTCCACACATGCACATGCACAGACGAAGTGACACTGTCGTATAGGCAACTAATGTGCTCAGTGCTGGCAGCAGCTGCCAACAGCGGGCTGTCCGCCAGGGCACCAGCGCTCCGCACGGTGACTTCCTCGCAGCAACACCCTGAAATAGGCGCTATCGTGCTCATTCCCATTTTACAGCTCAGAAAACTGGGCCCCGGAGAGTGAGCTGCCCTCACCAACATGTGCACTGTCTCCCTCACCTGGAGACGGGTGGCCAGGATACACAGGCCCTGGGAAAACATGGTCCCTGAGTGTGAGCTGTCACAGGCAGGACAATGGCAAGCGCTTCCCTAGTGCTGGTTGCAAACTGTCCCCATGCAGATCACTTGCTGCTCATGGGTCATTCTGCTCATCCCTTGCAATGCATCAGAGGACACAGCCGGTGTGGAAGAACCAGGGCAGGGAGCGAACACGTGAGAGAGCCTTCGATCCTCGCAGCCTCTGCCGTCAGGAGCAGACTCGCCTGCCTGCTGCTTCGTAACCACCCCACGGGACAAGGCAGCCCCAGAGGGCGGCCTCGGCAGAGCAAGCAGGCAGGAGACCTCAGTTCAGCCCAACTCTCTCCTTCACTCCTGTGTAAATATTAGGGAACTAGCCACGAGAATAGGGTCCCCCTTGATCTTTTAGCCAAGGTCCTGAAACACCAAGGTCACATAGCCGGTAGGTGGCAAAGAGAACTCAAAATAGAGTTCACTTTAAAAAGACAGTTTTGCCCTGGCCAGGTAGTTCAGGGGATCAGGGCACCGTTCTGACCCACGGTCGGGGCACACACAGGAATCAACCAGGGAATGCGTAAGTAGGTGGGACAAGAAATTGATGTTACTGTCTCTCAAATCAATGAAAAATAACAAAAATAAATAAAAACACATTTTTTCTTTTAAAAAATAGTTTTTCTTTTTTGAAAAATATTTATTTTTAAAGAGAAGGGAAGGGAGGGAGGAAGAGGGGGAGACAAACATCGATGGGAGAGAGAAGCATCGATCGCTGCCTCCCGCGTGCCCCCCGACGGGTGACCAAACCCGCAACCCAGGCCTGTGCCCTGACCAGGGATCGAACTGGTGACCCTTCACTTTGCAGGATGACACCCAACCAACCGAGCCACACTGGTTAGGGCAGAAACCGAGTTTTTCTGTTTCAAAACCTATGTTCTTTCCCCTACGAGGATGTCTTCTAAAGTTGCGTGTGTGTGCCCTGCCCACACTCCCCCCGGGGGCGGGCGTGACAGTTAATGCACACCGGTGCACATGCGTGTGGGGTGTGTATATACCCACATGTGCCTGTACTTCATCACGGCCCTGGGCCCCACCCCAGGCACAGGGTCCCTGTATCACCAGCGCTCAGAGTGGCCCGGGGGCCCCCTGAGTCCTTGGCATCCCTAAACCGAGAGAAAGGGGAAACATGTGGGCATGAGCCCACTCTCTGAGCACTCCAGGCCCTGCGGGGTTCCTCGTGGACCTGCAGAGGGTCCCGAGTAGGGCAGCACCAGGGCGTGGCAGGGGGCAGCCCAGGGAGGCAGGTACAGGAGTGAGCAAGGTCCGGAGCTGAGTGGGGACGCTGACTTTGGGCTCCCCGCGCCGGGAGGAAGCACACACACACACACACACAAGGCAGCAGCCGTGGGACAGGCCCCGAGTTTACTGCTTCTCACTCAACACGGCCGGGGCTCGGGGAGGCGCCAGGCCCAGGCTCCCGCTGCCTGGCAGGGCACTCTCTCTCTCAGAAGCTCCGGCCAGCCTGGGAGCTGCCCTCTGCAGAGAGGCTTCTGTTCTGATGAGTCCTGCTCGGTGTCATCCTGGATCAGGGCACCCCCCGGGGCTCCTGGCTGGGGCCGAGCAGATTGCCGGGAGGCTGGTCCCCGGTGAGCAGGACTGGGGGACAGGCCTCAGGCGGGATACAGTGGGCCTCGTGCTCCACCAGGCCCGCGGGGCACTGGCAGCCGGGAACGCAGGGCCTCACGCAGCGGGCGGCCAGCTCGCCCAGGGGCACGTGCCGATTGAAGCAGGTGCGCGGGCAGGGCGGACCACACTCGTCGAACACGAAGCCACGATCCAGGGCACAGCCCACTGCTGCAGGCGAAATGGAAGGCGGTCACAGTGCTCCAGTCGCCCTGCTCGCCCCTTGCAGCCCTGCCTGTACCCACCCCACCCGGACGGGAGCCCTCTGAACCTCCCCCTTCCCCATCCCACACCGGCGCTGCTGGCTCACCACAGAGCGTGGGGCCCCGCCAGGCAGGTGTCACCCCTGCCTGGCGACAGCGGCTGGCATAGGCTTCCAGGACATCGCAGAGGCAGGCGTCGGCCGAGGAGCCGGGGCCACAGGCACACAGGTCGTAAACGCAGGCGGCAAAGAAGGGCTCCGGCGGCACCACGGCGTGGCAGCGACTGAACGGGGAGGACTTCAGCACCCCGCACCGGCCATTGGCCTCACGCCTGGCGCGGTAGCCTGCTGCTCGGCAAGGATCCACCTCATGGCCCTTGGAACAGGGCCGACCAGGTCCCGGCCCCTCGGGGACCTAGGTGGCAAAGGAGGCCCTGCTGGGATAGCATCCCAGGGCAGCTGACTGCGGCTTTCATAGCATTTTCCACCTAATATTTTGTTTTAGCCTCAAAAACCGCCCTATAAGAGTAGCAAAGGAAGTACTGGCTACTTTTCCTTAGTTCACATTTTGGGGACAAACTAAGGCCCAGAGCAGGCAAGGAACTTGGTGAACGTCACACAGCCCATAGCAGCAAAGCAAAGCTCAAGTTGGCATCTGGTGCGGCCTCTTCCAACAGGCCATCCCGCCTCCTCTAGCTCTATGACAGTCAGGAAGCCCCCAAACCACCCTAACGTGCAACAGCCCATCCAGTGTCCACCCTGCCCGCACTTCCGTACCAGAGGACTGCTCCGAGACTCAGGTTCCACTACGCCGTCTCCAGCCTGCCCCCGACCCCAGACCCCTTAGTGTCCGGGCTTCTGTACCACTCACCTGCCAGCTATTCCCAAACGCAGCCTCGGTGGGTAGGAGCAGCCCCTCAGGGCCCTGCAGATCATCCTGGGCAAAGCCATTGAAGTTCCCACAGAGCCCACAAATCCGGCCCCGGTAGGAGCCAGGCACGCTCACCTCCACCCGGGACTGCCCGTCCCACAGCACCTGTGTGGAGAGGCTGCGACTGGGGAGTAGGGAAACACAGGGACCTCAAGAAGCCCAGGGTCCCTCCTGGCAGCAGGCACTGGGTCAGCACGCCCCCTGCTGTAGGATGAAGGTTCTCCACGCAAGGAGGCTGCCCTGGCCAAGGCCAAGTTTGCGCAGGCTGTGGCATCTGTTGGTGGCTGAGCCAAGATTAGAAACCAGGCTCAGAACTCCTTTCATTGCACTTCAAGGTCTCTCACGCTGATTCCTCTTCTCCCCTCAGAATCTGGCAGAACTCTTTCACCTTCGCGGCCAAGTGCGGCCCGGAGAGTAGCCGGTAATCCCCACCCACTCCACAGATACCGAAACCTGAGCAGGCCCGAGGCTCCCCCGCCCCCACTCGCCCTGGTCGCACCTGGAGCCCTTGCTGCGCGTGCAACATCACGGTGCGTCCCCGCAGCTCCAAGTACAGCAGCGGCTCCCGCAGGTAGGGCAAGGCCACCAGGCGCCCGTCCACCTGGGGGAGAAGGTGGGCAGGAGGAGGGGAGACGTCAGGATTGAGGAGTGGACACAGCGCGGGACCAACCTTCCCCCGGGTCCTCAGTTTGCCTCACCATGACTGCCCCGCCTCGCAGCAGCCTCACGACCACCTCTCCCAGCAGCACCGCCACCTCCTGGGTCCAGGCCACACCGCTCCGACCCCGGTCACTGTTGGTCACGTGCACACTGCGGTGTGAGAGACCCGAGTGCAAAGGTCAGCAAGGAGGGTGTGGGAGGTTAGGGAGACAGAAGGCAGAGGGGGCTGCGCACCTGAAGTCCCCTCCACGGCAGTCCTTGGCCAGCACGTAGCTGCAGCTGCCCTGGAAGTGCAGCAGGCGGCCGTCGAAGGTGCGGTAATGGGGGTCTCCGAAGGCCATGCAGGAAGCCGGTCTCGGCAGGCAGCGGGGACAGCAGCTGCCGAGGTTCAGGGCGGGGGCCTCGTTCTGGCCTCCGCCCCAGACAGGGTCAGACACGCGCAGTCCCAGCGGAGCCCCACGCAGAGACGCACTGAGGACCACGGAGCGCTCGGGCTCCCAGACTCCCTGCAAGAGGGCTCAGGGCACCGCCTCGTGGCTGCTCCGGGAACTGCAGGCCCCTGGTCCCACCTCTCAGCTGCTGTGGCCGAAGCCCCGATTCCTCTTTTCCTCTGGGTGGCGGTGCCACATGCCCACTCACCCCATTGCCCTAGACCGCGACACTCACAGGCCCACAGGAGAGCGGTGAGCAGCGCTGCCTCTGGCAATGCACGGTGCCGGCCACGCAGGAGCAAATGGTACAGGTGTCTACGGTCCAGCGTTCCCCGGAGGCCACCTGTCGGCCCTGGTACGCGCACGACTGGGTGGGGGCTGAGGGGACTTGAGGGTAGGGGACAAGTGTCAGCTACTCGTCCCTCGAACTGAGTCTTAGTCCTTCTTCCCTCATCATCCTGGCCCACGCCCTGGCATCGTTCACAGCACCTGCCAGCATCCAGAACCTTCACCCAGCCATGGGGGCAGGAGAGGGCCCAGCATTCCTCAAGGTGGCACTCCACGTGGCCCCACTAAGGACAGAGGTCATTTCTCTAGGGACTTCGGCTATGACCTGGAGTCCCTGGCCTCACACTCCTGAGGACCATCTGGCTCACGGTCTGAGGCAGCAGCCCCTTCTCTCTCTGGCCCTGCTCCTCAAGAACACCTACTTCAAGTTCAAGGGGGGGGGATGAAGTTCAGGGCCCAGATCTGTGCCCCAGCACAGGGATGCCTCTGCCTCATCTCACCCAGAGGGGGGCGCTCTTCCCTAATTACCTCAAAGACCCCAGATTCACTGGCCCAGACTCCTGAGCCCCTCTCTTCTCTAAGGTCCCCCCACCCCACCCCACCCCCACCGCTCACATGGCAGGTGCAAGCAATGCAGGCATTGCTGGGGGCCTGCCAGCGCTCTCCATCTGCCTCTCTGTGGCCCTCAGCCTCCACCACACAGTCTGATGAAAAGAAATGGGGCTGGGGGAGCACTGTCCACCCAGCTGCATCCCTCCTCCCTGGAGCTCACCCTGAAGGCCCACGCTAGGGGGTACCTGCCCTATGCACTTAGCACCCTGGTGCTGTCGATATCTCCAGCCAGCATGCAGGGGACCGGCTAGATGGCAGGCTGGGCTGGCTGCCAGCTCAGCAGTGAGATACCCTACCAGTTGGCCTGGGGTCCCTGAGCCCACTGACAAGCCTAAGCCTCAGGCCAAATCCAGGCTTCATTCCCTGCCTCCCTCTGCCTTATGGGTTTCTCCTTCACCCAGTAAATAGCCCTCCATTTCTACAAAAGAACAAAGCAGCATTCTGAGCATAGAGCTGAGCTGCCCACTGACCCATGGACGCCACCCCTCCTGTCTTCTTCCCGGGCTCCTGCTCCAAGGGTGCAAGACGGGGCACTCACCCCGGCACGTGGGGCAGCAGCTCCCAGGGTGGGTGTGGCGCTCTGATGGGGGACAGCCGAGCGCAGGACAAGCTTGGTGAACACAGAGCCAAGTCAGGTCCTGTGGAAGGACACGTGAACACCATGGGCAGAGGATGGCCGGGACGGAGCAGGTCCTTTGCAGAACGTGACAAGTGGGTGAATGTCGGGGTGAGTGGGAAGCCAGGGGCTGCTGCGGGAGAGGATTCAACCACGGCCCACAGAGGAGGAAGGAGACCGGGCTTGGGGAGTCCCCAGGGCGGGAGGGCTCACCTGGCACTGGCAGGTGTAGCAGGGGTCCGGCGGGGCCAGCTCAGACCCCAGAAGACCCTCTGTGCAGTTACTCAAGGCCTCTGTGTGGACAAGAACGTGATGTGGAGGGCAGAAGGGGGTGCAGGGACGTGAGCCCATCTGCTCTCACTTTCCCAGGCTATCCCCAAACTTTTGGGACCCGGGGCACCCCCATGTCCTATCACCTTGGCTCGGGAAGAATAAATTCTCTTTCCCTCTGGTTCAGCAAAGAAAAGTTTGGACTTTCCAAAAGGAAATTTGCTAGGCTACTGGGGCTGGGGGCTGGAAACTGACCCAGTGTGGCTTCCTCAGCCTGAAGTCCCTAAGGCCCACAGGCTGCCCCCACTGCTCCCTGCTTTGTGTCCTTCACACTGCCTGGCTAAAACAGCGTAAGACAGCACAAAGAGCCGGGTACCCCCCAGTTCCAGTCCTCAGTGTCTGAGCCATTTCAGGCAGAACAATTAGCTTCTTAGAACCTCAGTTTCTTCACTTGTAAAAAGGGAATAATAATACCTAACTCACTGGGTAATTGAGAATTAAACGAGACACTGCTTATTAAAATAACCAAGTACAGTGCATGGCATGCAATAGGTGCTTAATAAATGTTAGTCTCTTTCTCTTTCCCTGAAGCACATCCCAGCAAGTGTTGATAAGAATAGCTCCCCCCACTTCTGTAGCTGGGTGGGTCACTGCCCCCATTGCCCTGACATCTCCCTCAAAAAGCCAGCCGCTGGCACACCTGCCATCCCACAGCGCCCTCTGCTGGGAAGGATGCGCCTGACTTCAGAGTCAAGTGGTCCCTGCCAGTTTCCCCAATTACACTTGGGTCAGTGCAGGCTTCACTGGCCAGGGCCTGAGATTTCAGAATAGTCCCCTGGACCCAGGAAAGGGCTGCGGCTGGGACTGTGGAGGAAAACTGCTGGCGCTTCCAGCATCAGTCCGACCGTGGCAGCCTTGCCCTTATCTACCCCTATATTGGGGACTCACGGGCACAGCTGGGGCAGCAGCGCTGGGGCCCAGGGGGCAGGAGCTGGCTGGCAGGGCAGCCCACCAGGCTGGGACACAGCTGACGGTGACAGCGCAGGCTGGGAGGTCCCTCAGGCTGCAGCTGCGACAGGGATGAGTAAGCAAGGGGTGGGTCCCAGGCCTGGGGAGCTGAGCCGCCCCTTGACCCTGGAGGCCAGACCCCTTCATCTTCCTGCTGCAGCTCCTCCGGCAGGGAGACTCCAGTCTTCAGAGAGACTCGACGTCTCCCCAGATTTGCTCCTCGCCCCACGCCCTAATCCCCAACCATGACTTCCCCTTCTCTTTCCAGTCACTTGGGCCTGAACCTTCATGTGACCTTTGACCCTCCTGTACCTCCCTCCCCAACCCCTCTGCCTAATCTTTGGACCTATGATGTCATTGCCTGCTCAAAACCCCCCATCCAGTCTCCCTTACCTTTCCAACGGAGATTCCCCAGTGGCGTCTCCCAGGGGTCTCCTCCACCTCCTGTTCGCACCCACCTTACACTCCCTCCAGGCCCCCCGGAGCCCCCCGCACTTAGCGCTGCTGCTCTGGCTAACTTCAAACTGGCCCTGCTGGCTCTTCACCCCAAGCCTCACCTCACTGCCTGGATGCAGGCCGCTCTCCTGCCTCTGGCCCCCACGGTGCCTGCTCCCCACAGTGCCCCGCCCCTCCCCTCAGCGGTGCCCTCACCCACCTCACAGATGCACACCTCACAGGGGTCTTCCCCAGGCTGGAAGCTGTCTCCGGGCTTGTACTTCCGGCCCCCGTGCTCACACTCTTGGGCAATGGGGTAAGGGCAGAATAGGACCAGCAAGCGTTCATGCTGGCCACAGTGCCAGGGGGTGGGGTTCTCTGTCTCCTAGGAACCCCCAGCCCCCAGGATTTGGGTGTGTACAAGCATGGGGGCCACTTCCAGAAAAGCCCATCTCTGCTGCCCCACCCGTGCCCAGGCAGGGAGATGCCGACCAGGCTTGGCCTCCCTGCCACCCCAGCCCACCCGGGCTCCCCGTACCAGAGCACCGAGGGCAGCAATCACCGGGCCCCTGGTGGGGATGGGCACAGGTGATGACACACTGGATGCGGGCACAGGTGACGACGCCCTCGTGACACAGGCAGGAGGAGCAGGGGCTGTCCGGAGGCGCCCAGCTGCTGCCTTCAGGGCGCTCCTCCCCGTGGGCCAGGCAGCCTGTGTCCCGGGTGGGCAGGGGTGAGCTCCGAGTCAGGGTTCGCTGTGCTGCCCCCATCAGCCACCTGGGTGGTCAGCGGGGCAGGCGGGTCTGGCATGGGAGGGGATCTGCAGGGCTGAGGCGGGAAGGAGGCCCTGGGCACAGCAGTTCCGCGTGGAGGGGAAGGACACTGGGTGGGGGGGCAGAGCTCCTGGGCCTAATCCCTTCCACGTCTGCTTGCTTGCTAAACCAGATGCCAGGCGGCAGGCACTCTCTGCTGTAGGCCAGCAGCCGCAGCACCAGTACCCGGCATGCAGTAGGCATCTAATAAATGCATGTAGAATGAATGAAAGTCTCCATCACTAACCATGCACCCCAGATAACTGAATGTCCTCAAGCCATAGTCTTCGCAGCTGTTAAATAGGGATTTCATCTGTCCACCCACCTCACGGGGCAAGTGAGATGCTGTTACGGTTCTGGACTCATAACATGCTGGGCAGAAGGCAAGTAACAAAGGCTCTTATTCTAGCTCTGGCTGGTGTGGCTCAGTGGACTGGGTGCCGGCCTTCGAACCAAAGGGGCGCTGGTTCGATTCCCAGTCAGGGCACATGCCTGGTTTGCAGGCCAGGTTCCTAAGAGGGGACGAGTGAGAGGCAACCACACATTGAAGCTTCTCTCCCTCTCTTTCTCCCTCCCTTCTCCTCTCTCTAAAAATAAATTAAAAATGAAAAAAAAACTGTAAAGAAAAAAAGGCTCTTATTTTAGAACTGGGCAGCCTAATTGCATATCTTATCTCTGCCACCTACCAGTGGTCTGACCACAGGTACGTTAAGTCACCTCTCTGTGCCTCAGTGCTCTCAGCTGTGAAATAACAATAATAATAGTACCTGGCTGATAAGATAAGATTGTTGTGTGGATTAAATGAGATACCTGTAAAGTGCTTAGCTCGGGGTGCGGCTCCTGCTGTGAGCTCCATGAGAGTGGTCATCACTATTACTATGAATGGGGTGTGCTTTGGGAGGGGGCAGCTTTGAGGGGGCTCTGAGAGCATCTGGAGGGGGAGATGGTCCCGGCAGGCCAGGCGCCGGGGCCGACAGGAAGACTGGAGGAGGGCAGGGGTGAAGGCTCAAGGACCAAAGCGGGGAGGTGGGAAGACTGGAGGGGAGCTGAGGGGAGGGGGCAGGGTGGGGGGGTGGAGCACTGGGTCCAGGGGCCATGGTGAGGGGCAGCCGCAGGGGCCCGGCCTACCTCTGCAGCGAGGGCAGCAGCCCCCCTGCTCTGTGACCTGGAGCATGCAGGGCAGGGGTGGGCACCGCAGCCGCTCACAGCTGACCTGGCCGGCCTGCAGGAGATGCTGGGTCAGTGACTTGCTCCCTGGGCCTGGTGCCTTAGAGGCACTGTGCCCGGCCCCCTCCGCCCCCTCCCTGCCGTACCTGACAGCGGCACCACTCACAGCTGCCTGAGGGCCCTTCAAATTCCTCCCCATCCTGATGCTCCCGGCCCTGAGAGAAGCAGCCTGTGGGCGACAGGCTTCCTGGGTGGAGTGCTGTGCCACCTTGTCCCATCCGACCTCAGGCCTACTTGGCAGACAGGGAAGGGAGAGGGCAGGGGAGGGCGTGGGAGTGCTGGTGTGTGGGAGGCAGCTCACTGCGGCACACGGGGCAGAAGCAGGGTCCTGGAGAGGGGCGGGGGCAGAGAGCTGCAGGGCACGGCTTCTTCTGGCAGTGCATGGAGCCGTCCTGGGGGAGAGAGACCCGCTGCCACTTCCCGATTCCCACATCGCCCCGCCCGCCGACCAGGCTGCACTGCCCCGCCATGGGGCGCCCCCTACTGGGCCTGCCAGGCCCAATCCCCTCGCTTGGCCCAGGAGACCTGAAGTCAATCCTGTCCCACTAGTTGTCACAGGCTGACCGTGCCCTGTGAGCCCTGGCTGGAGGAAACATCTCCTGGCCGGAAAGCAGGACCAGGGGCGAAATGAAAGCTTACCAAGTTCCCGAAGGGCCACCTCACCTGGCAGGTGCAGAGGGAGCAGGTGGGGTCAAGCGGGTCAGGAAGCGTCTCTCCATGGGCCACAGTGACCCCATGATAGAGACATCCTGGTAGAGTGGGGATGCAATGGAAGAACTGCCATCAGTGAAGCTGTCTACTGCCACCCGTCACACGCACATACACTCGTGCCCTTGCACACACACTCACACACACACACACACACACACACACACACACACACACACAGCCAGGCCCAGGGACCTCTGCAAAGCTTAGGGAGTCTGAGAAGGAGGGAGAAGTCAGCTAGGCTCTAAGCGGTGAGATCTGCTGGAGGCCTGGAGGTGGGATCACAGACTTCTGAGACCGTCCTGTCCCCGTGGGCCAGTGTGGGAAGAGGTGAGGGGACGGCACACCCGGGGAAGAAGGTGAGGGACCGGCTGGGCTAAGGAAGCCGCCCCTCCTGGTGCAAGGGCAGAGGGTGCCACTGAATGGTTTTTTTAAATCTTCACCCGAAGATATGTTTATCGAGTTTAGAGAGAGGGGAAGAGGGAGAGAGAGTGAGAAAGAGAGAGGGAGACATCCACCAGTTGCCTCCTGTATGCAACCCCAACCAGGAATTGAGCCCACAACCCTCTGGTGTACAGGACGACGCTCAACCGGCTGAGCGGCCCGGCCAGGGCTGGTGTTTCGGAGTCTCGGGACGTGGTATCTTAGGCAGACAGCAAGACCATTTACGGGCAGGAAGGTTTGGAAGCACAGGGGCCCGTTATGCAGTGGATCCGACAGTCAGTGAGAGGTGACTGCAGGGACAGAGGAGGGTGTGTGTCCAGTGGGAGGCGTCTAGTGAAAACACAGCATGTGGGTTTGCGGCCTGGCTGTCCCGGGAGAGGGTGACAGCGGCCAGACCAGGTGGCTCTGGGCTGCTGAGAGTCCAGGAGGGGCAGTGGAAGGGCAGGTGCCGCCCTACCCTGGCAGGCGGAGCAGCAGCTCCCAGAGGGGGTGAGCGGGTGGCTGCAGCTCAGAGGCTCACAGGGCCGGCGGCTGCAGGTCACGAAGCCTCCAAGGCAGGTGCACAGGTTGCAGGGCTCTCGGGGGTCTGGGAACTCCTGGCTGCTCAGGTAGGACTCCCCTAGGTACTCACAGCCTTGCGGAGGGGACAGAGAGGCAGGGTGGGGGGCAGAAAGGGGTGAGAGGACAGTGGTGGCCAGCTCTGAGCTTGCCCCTGGCCTGAGTCCAAGGCCTCAGAGACCTGGCCTGGGGGTAGGGAGCGGTCAATCCAGGCTGGTGGGCGAAGGAGTGGAGAGTTTCGGGGACAGCTGGACTGGCCAAAGGGTCAACGTTTCAGCCTTCAAAATAATCTCCCTGGCCCATCTCTAGGGAAAACCCACATGGAATCCGTGCCTGGGGTCAAATACTCAGCGTGCTACTGCCTGATCAGAAGGCAGGAATTTTTCCAAACTGAGGAGACCTGGGCGTTGCTCGAGGCGACGCGGGCAGCCTGGGCCCACGAGGTCCCCTTCCCAAGGCTCTTCGAGCCCTCAGATCAGTCAGGGAGGGGGCGGGGCCCCAGGGCGCTGGCAGCCTGCCCTTAGCACCCGACACTTTCTGACTTTTTTGACAAAGAGCGCACTCTGGGTGGTAAGGATGTGTCCGTGTGGGCTCATCAGTTGTGAGCCATGTCCACACTGGTGGGGCACAGTGGCAATGAGGGAGGCCGTGCCTGTGTTGGGGCAGGGGGTAGGTGGGGAAATTTTTCGCCTTTCTCTCAATTTTGCTGGGAACCTAAAACTTCTCTCTCTCCTTAAAGATTTTATTTATTTTATTTTTAGAGAGGGGAAGGGAGGGAGAAAGAGAAGAAGAGAAACATCAGTGTGTGGTTGCCTCTCCCACACCCCCTACTGGGAACCTGGCCCGAAACCCAGGCATGTGCCCTGACTGGGAATCCAACTGACAACCCTTTGGTTTGCATTCCAGCACTCCATCCACCGGGCCACACCAGCCAGGGTCCCCCTTTTCCCTTTCTTAACTTTTTTAAAGAGAAGTTTTCATCCCTGGCTGGTGTGACCCAGTGGATTGAGTGCCAGCCTGTGAACCAAAGGGCTTTGGGTTCAGTCCCCAGTCAGGCGCATGCCTGGGTGGCAGGCCAGGTCTCTGGCAGAGGGCGCTTAAGACGCGACCACACATTGAGGTTTCTCTCCCTCCACTTCTCCTTCCGTTCTCCTCTCTCTAACAATAAATAAAATATTTTTAAAAAGAAGGGAGGGGATAAGCCTCAGGCTCAAAGCCCTGGCAGGCAAAAGTATCTGACTTGAATTTAGTATTTAATTTCTAATTGTACTCATTTTTAGGGAGACATTTTGTTCCTTGCAAATCTAGTTTTCTATCTTAAGTATGACATAAAGGTTCCTTTCTAAATAAATTTAAATTTAGAAGTGAGTAAAATTGAAGAAAAACAGTAAGTAAATACAGTTACAGGTGTTAGAGGGCAATGTAGAAAGAACTGAGACCAAACCCGAGTGACCAACACCCGGGGCAGGGTCCCGTTCAAACGTCTTTTTCGCAGGCCTTAAAATTACGCCCAGAGTTGCACTTAAAAGTGGTTAAGATGGTACATTTTATGTCATGCGCATTTTACCGAAATTCCCATTTATACAATGTGTGTGTGTGTTTAAAGATCAGGCCGAGGGAGGCCGTGTGACCTGTCCGGGGCCACACAGCCAAAGAGCAGCGGAGGCGGGAGGAAGTCCAGCGCTGTGCTTCTCTTACTGTGGGAGCGTTTTGGACCCTCTGAGGGGCAGCGGGGAGGGGGCTGCCCCAGTCCTCCCGTCCCCAGCCCCCGCACTGTCCCCTCCGCCTCACCGTCACAGGCAGGACAGCAGCCACCCCTGGCAGGGAAGGGGCACCGCGCGGGGGCGCAGGGCCTGAGCTCGCAGCTGACGCTGCCCTCCCAGCAGAGGCAGTCGTGGCACCGCAGGGCGGGCGAAGGGAAGCGCTCCCCGCCGGCGAACTCCTTCCCCTGGTACAGGCAGCCTGGCGGGCGGGAGACCGGGCGGGCTCGGGCCGCGGCGGCGGCTACCGGGCCACGACCTCCCAGGCCCCGCGGAGCGGGCACCGCCGCCCCCAATTCTCCGTGAGAACTGACGCCGGAGACCGGCCCCGGGGGAGGGGAAGACCCGGACGGCGCCCGCCTGGGGCTGGAGGAAGGAGTGGGGAGGAACGGAGGCCCCGCGCTCGGAGAAAGTGGTGTCGGGCGCTACGGGGCCGCAGGGGGCGCCACCTACCGTCGCAGGAGGGGCAGCAGGGCCCCTGGCGCGGGTGGGCGCAGGGCGCGGGCGGGCAAGGCAACCGCTGGCAGGACACGGAGCCGTCCAGGCAGAGGCAGCGGCGGCAGGGGTCCCCGGGCGGGAAGAAGTGCTCCTGGTGGTGCGCCGCGCCTAAGCCCCCGGGCCGCGGACAGCCGGAGGGGGAGGCTGAGGCCGACGGCGCGCATCACGGGGTGCCCGGGGGGAGGCTGCAGAGGGGCCCCCCCGGGCAGCCGCGGCCGAGGGGGCGGCTCTTACCTGGGCACTGCCGGCAGCACTCGCCCGGCAGCAGGACGGGCTCTGCACAGGGCAGCGGAGGGCAGCGGCGGGCCAGGCACCGCACACTGCCGCTCTGCGTGGACAGAGGGACCGGGACAGCGGGCCTGGGTTAGTGGCGGGAGGCAGAGGTGATCCCCACCCTTCCCGCCCCCAGGGCGGTGGACTCCCCAGGTCCCACCCCTTTTCCTCTGGACTCCTCCTCCCACCCCCCACCCGGGGGAGGGGGGCAGACTCACCAGACAGTGACACAGGCGGCAGGGGTCGGAGGGGTGGGGGAAGTCGGCTCCGTTGGGGTACTCTTTCCCACCGAAGGCACAGCCTGGGGGAGGGGGCAGCTATAGGCCTGGGAGACGCCCTCCGTGACTCAGGTCGTACCCTCCGAGCCCTACATGCCCACAGACGGGGCCAGGCCATCCCAGGAGACCCCCCCCCCCAAATCTTGTCCACCTTACCATTGCAGTTACTCAGGCAGCAGGGCCCGGGCAGCGGGTGGGTGCAGGGGGCCCTGGGGCAGGCCCGGCGCTGGCAGCGGGCGTGGCCGTCCTGACAGCGGCACTCCTGACAGGGGTCTCGAGGGTGGGAGAAGCTCTGGCCGTCTACAAACACCTGCTCCTCCAGGGTGCAGTCTGCGCAGGATGGGGAGGGGGGCAGAGACTAGTGGTGCGGGCCCCAGACAGGGCCCCAGACAGCCCTCCACCTGGGCGGCCAGAGCCACTGGGAAGTGCCGCCTGAAAGCCGTCCCCGTGGAGGGGGGGAGGGGCCGTGATGCAGGTGTGGGCATCTCTCAGCACACGCGTGTGTGTTTGTGTGCACACACGTGTGCGTTCACTCCCTTCACCTGCAGGCATACGTGTGCCTCTGCGGGTCAGGGCACACGCAGCCTCCCTCCCTTGCCCGACAGTCTGCTGCATGAGCGTGTGTTATGCAGGTAGATCCACGAGCGTGTCTGAGTGGGGGGCGGTCACTGGGGGAGGACACGTGGGATGGGGCAGAAGGGCAACAGGGTGATGAAGGATGGTCCCTCCTCTCCCTCCCACCCATGGCCTGGGAGTTCCAGGCTTTGTCGGACTGAAAACAGTTCGGGACACTGCTGCTTTCTAAGGGGAGCGCTGTGCCTGCCAGGTAGGGAGGGGGCAAGGCCTGGGTTTCCGAGCCAGACAGGGTCAGTAAGCACGCACCTGGGCACCGGGGGCAGCACTGGCCGGGTCCACTCTGGGGCCTGGCACATGTTGTGGGCGGGCAGTCAACCAGGGAGCACCTCACGGTCCCGTCCTGGGAGCAGGGGAGAGGGTGGTGGGGGTGAGCGCAGGGAAGAGCTGGGCGGGGCGGTGGTGAGCCCGGGAGGTACCTCGCAGCGGCAGGCGTGGCAAGGGCTGTCTGCGTCCGTGAAGTTCTGCCCGTTGGCGTACACTTGGCCCCGGTAGGTGCAGCTCTCGCAGCTGGGGCAGCAGGCACCTGGGGGGGGGGCAGGTTGACCAGAGCCCAGATGATCAGCGTGAGCTGGGCAGAGCAGGGGATGGAAGCTAGAGAGGGTGGGGCACTCACCGGGTGTCTGGGTGGGGTGCTGGCAGGGGGCTGCGGAGCACAGCACGGCCCCGCACACGGGCACCCCGTCTCGACAGGAGCAGGCCGTGCAGGGCTGACCGTCGGGCTCCCACTGGACCCCCTCAGCAAACTCCTCTCCATCGAGCACACAAGCTACAGCAGGGGGGCTGTCACTATGGCAACCCGGAAGTCTGTACCCATCTCTCCCCTTCTCAGACTCCGGGGCCCTTCCCAGGACCCCAGCTTTGCCATCCCCACAGCAGCCTCTGAGTACACTCTGGAAGGGGTGGTGGATTTAGCAATGCCCCCCTCGCTGTGAAGGCACACCCCTCCATCTCCAGCCACTGGAAGCTCCTTCGCAGCTGTCTCCCCCCTCCCCCCACACACCTGGGCACAGCTGGGGGCCAGAGTCTGGCAGGGTGCAGGGGGCGATGGGGCACTCCTGCTCCTCACAAGAGACCTCGCCGGCCTAGGAGGGACACTGGGTGAGAGGCCCTGGAGGGTGAGGCAGACCCGGGCTCAAGCCGGGGAGTACCTACCTGGCAGGAGCAGCGGACGCAGCGGCCACCCTCTTGGAGTCTGAAGGTCTCCTGGCTCTCGTAGTAGTGTCCCTGGTACTCACAGCCTGGACAAGGGGACAAGGGGATGGGGGCACAAGGCTGGAGGATGGCAGGGAAGCCTCACTCCATCCTGACGTCCCACTTCCCACCCCGATGAGGACCGCCAGCTTCAGGGGTCTCTGCCAGCCCTGCCCCCGCCTCCCCGTAGCCAAGGCCCCACCTCAGTGCCTGGTTGGCCATGAGAAGGTGAGGTTAGAACTTGTGCCTCACTGGTGAGGGACAAGGATTTCTTCCATACTTTAGCTCAAGGGGGCTTCCTGTAGGTCCAAGTCAGCAACGCCCCCCCTCCACACACACACAGCAGAGACTCTCCCCCTCACCCGGCGATGCGCGCACCCCACTCACCGGCACAGACTGGGCAGCACTGCCCAGGGATCCTGCCCGGGTGTGGGCAGGGCGCGACCGGGCAGGGCAGAGGCTCACACTGGACACTCCCGTTCTGACAACAGGGCAGGGTCAGCTTTCGAGAGGCAGGCCCACGCCAGGCCCTCCCTGCCCGCAGCCTCACTCACGGCGCAGCGGCAGTCGGCGCAGGCGTCCCCAGAGCCCACGGGCTCCCCGCTGCGGTACTCCCGCCCGTTCAGGAAACAGCCTGTTGGGGACAGGGACAGGGTGCCTCAGGCCCTCCTCAGGAGCCCCCACTGCCCCACGGCCTGGCCTGTGTGGGGCAAGTCAGCTTTCGGGGCCCCTCCGAGCTCCACCTGAGAACTCACCATCGCACACAGGGCAGCAGGTGCCCGGGAGGGGCCGGGCAGGGTATGGGCACAGGCTGGAGCATTCTCGCTGGCGGCACTGGACTTGGCCTTCCTGGGAGCGGGCAGAGTGGGCAGGGGAGGGGGCCATCCGAACTCAGCCAGGTGGCAGAAACAGCATTTGGGTCCCAGCTAGCCACGTATTAGACATCATTCTGCATGGAACTGTGTCCCTTCCACACTCAAATTCATATGTCGAAGTACTAACCACCACCCCCCCGCCCCGTTACCTCAGAATGTGACCTAATTTGGAAATAACTTGTAGATCTAAGGAGTTAAGATGAGGTCATCCTGGAGTGAGGTAGCCCCTAATTCAATGACTGGCGTCCTTGTAAAGAGGGGAAATTTGGGCACCAACACACAGCAACATGTGGAGATGGAGGCAAAGCCGAGGAACACGAAAGCCTCCAGCCAACCAGCGGAAGCTGGGCAGGGGGCCGGGAGCAGGGTCCCCCTCGTGACCTCCAGAAGGACCCAGCCCTGCTGACACCTTGACCTCAGACTTCTGGCCTCCAGAACCACGTGACCACACATTTCTGTTGGTTAAGCCACTGCATCCGTGGTTCTGTTATGACAGCCCAAGGAAACACACACAGGTGTGTCACCTGGCTGGCTACTTAAGTTCCACGTCCTGCGTGGCCTCGACCTCTGGAAGCTGGCAGTGGACAAACCGGAGCTCCCGCTGCTCCCCAGGCCCTTTCCACACAGACCCCATCCCTGCAGTTCACGTCTACGCCTGGGCTCACTCTCTGTAGGCCCATCGGCGTCCTGGCAGCCAGAGACTCTCCTCCCAGGTATGTGAGGGGGGCCATTGAGAACAGGGCGGAGAAGCACATGGTCAGAAAAGGGTCCTCGGCCTTCACAACGGAGTCCTTAGTCCTTGTCAGGCTGTCGCTCTGGGGTGGGTCCAGCCCCCACGAAACAGCACGTAACCCGCCTGCACATCAGGCTCCGTGTGCCACCTTCCTCCCCAGGCTCTGTCCTGACTGCTCCCTGTGCATGGTGTCTTATTCCATTTGGGCTGCTGTGATACCATTCCATAGACTGGGTGGCTTAACCACAGACATTTACTTCCCATAGTTCTGGGGGTTGGGAAGTCCAAGATCGAGGTACCCGCAGTTGGTGAGAACAGCTTCCTGGTTCATAGGTGGCTGTCTTCCTGTTGTGTCCTCAGGACGCAGAAGGGGGCGACCACGCTCTAAGGGCACTGACCCCATTCAGGAGGGCTCCATCCTTATGACCTCATCACCTCCCCAAAGCCCCACCTCCTCACACCAACACCTCAGAGGCTGGGGTTTTGACACAGGAAGTGGGTGCAGTGGGGGCACAAACATTCAGCCTCTCTGACTCCTGGACTGTCTCTCCCCAGTTCTCCTGCTTCAGTCCTACTCACCCTTTAAGAACCGGGAACACACTACACCTGCACGAAGATTTTTCTACAGCTGCTGCCCAATAGGAATGTAACACAAGCCACATATGGCATTTTAAATTCTCTAGCCCTGGCTGGTGTAGCTCAGTGGATTAAGTCAAGCCTACAAACCAAAGGGTCCCCAGTTCGATTCCCAGTCAGGGCACATGCCTGGGTTGCAGGCCAGGTCCCCAGCAGGGGGCACATGAGAGGTAACTACACACTGATGTTTCTCTCCCTTTCTCGCTCCTTCCCTTCCTCTCTAAAAATAATTTTTTAATTGTAAATAAATAAATAAACTAGTAGTCAAATTTCAAAAACTTAAAAAAGATGAAACCGAATCTCATATGTTCCAGGGAGCCCGATATATCTCCAGTGAGATATCTTACATTCCTTTCTTTCATGCCAAATCTTTAAAACCTTTGAAGTTGCGTGTTTTACAACTAAAGCCCATCTCCAATGGGGCGGCCGCATTCCAAGGGCTCGGTGGTCGCGTGCAGCTGTGTCTACTGATCAGACCACGCAGTTCTAGGCACCTCGAGTCAGCCTGCGTCTCTCCCTCCCGGGAGTGTGTGCCATCTGTCATGCTCTTCCCTGCCTCGCTCCTGGGGCCTGGAAGCTTCTTGAGTTGGGTTCACAAACCACTTCACAAACGGCGAGACCCGCCCCTGCCCTCGCCATGCCCTGCATCGGGTCCTCTCCATCTCTGTCTCCTCGCAGCGTCTTTGGGGTGCACTCAGTGAGATGGAGGAACGAATATGGTGGGCGTGGGGGAGAGGTGGGGCAGGGGAGCCCAGGAGCAACATCGGGACTCACCAGGCACCGGCAGATCTGGCAGGGGTCCCTGGGTGCAGTCCACTCTTGGCCGTGCTCCCAGCGAGAGCCACCTTCCACACAGCCTGGGGTTCAGCGACAGAGGGGCAGAGAGGAGATCTGGTGGGAGCCAGTCTGGGCCACCGCTTCAGCCCTTCTCCTCCACACGCCCTCTGCAGGCTCTCCTCTCAGCCCAGACCAGGCCACTTCATGCCTCTGCCTGGATCCCCATGGAGCCTGCCAGCGCCCCGGCTGGGCAAAGCAAGCTCCTAGCCCACCCTTCCAAGCTTTCCAGGACCCAGCATGGCCACGCCCACCTCCCCCACCTCTCTCTGGGCCCTCCCATTGTAAGATTTGTCTGCTTGCACCTTCCCACCTAACAGCCACCAAACTCGCTCTTGAGTGTCAGTCCTAAGCCTCTGCTCTAGCCGCCCTCCCTTGCTGGGACACCCTCTGCCTGGTTCCACCCTCCACCTGGCTAATAGCGTGATCCTTAAGGTTCATTGGGGGGGGTACAGGGACTCCAGGACGCTTTCCCTCCTGTGCCCAGGCTGGATTAGGGCTCCTCCCTCCGGGTTTCCGTAGCACCTGGCGTCTGCTTCTATTTCTGCCTTTGGGACAGTACTGGCGAGTGACTCAGTGTCACCCTCTAGTGGCCCACTTCTAGGGCCCACCCCAGGTCATATGTGCACAAAGCAGAAAAGAACCAACATTATTAAGGTAGAATATCGTTATCCACACCATACAAATGGGAACTGAGGCTCAGAGGAACTCACTCAGAGGCCCCTGACCATAACGTGGCAAGGACGGAATCTGGGCTCCGGCGCCCAAGCTCCAGAGCTGGGTCAGGACCTACCTTGGCAGGTCGGGCAGCAGCGGCCAGGCCTCAGGACTGGCTCAGGGCAGGAGCTGGGCGGGCACTTCATGGGCATGCAGTGAACCAGGCTCCTCTGTAATGTACCAACGGCTGTAAGGCCTCCGGGTCTGGCTCCCGGAGAGAGTACGGCAGGCAGGTGTCAGCGCCGTTGGAGAGGTGGGGCACAGGGTTAGGACAGGGAGTGGAACCCACTGGCTCCAGGCCTCAGAAAACATGTGAGGGGCTGAAGGAGTGTCCCCAGAGTGGGGCAGGGGACATCCAAGGAGGAGCAGGGCCCGGGCGAAGGTGTGGAGGGACTCACCAGGCAGGAGCACTGGAGGCAAGGGTCGGAGTTAGACAGGAAGTTGGCCCCCTCCTCATAAAGCTGCCCCTCGTACTCACAGCCTGGGAGGGTTTCCAGGATGACAGGCAGGTCAGATGAGAGCAGGGTGGACAGCACCCGAGGGAAGGCGTGGCCCCCGAATAGGTGCCGGACGCCCTGGGGCTGAGGTGGGGCGGGGAGGTCACCTGGCCGGCAGACAGGGCAGCACTGCCCGGGCGGGGTGTAGCTCTCCAGGCAGCCGAGCACCGGGCATGAGGGCCCCTGGCACCGCACGGTCCCTGCCTGCGGGGCAGACACTGAGCCCTCCTGCCCTCTCCACTGTGGGTTACTGTGAGTCACCCTGCTGGCCCCGCAGGCTCCGGGCCTCCCTGCCTGGGCGGCCACAGCAGCCCTGTCTGGTTCCCAGATTGGGCTTGGCTCTGCCAGGCCTGGGGTACACCCGGCAGCAGGGACATGGGTGGTGGCTGGGGCCAGGCTCTGATTCCCTTACCTGGCAGGTGCAGGTGACACAGGGCTCAGGTCGCCACACTTCCCCGGCCCTGTGACCTTCAGGGCAGCCTGCAAAACCAAGGCCAGGCCCCCACGTTAGAGACCCATAGGACCGGGGCAAAAGCTCTGCGGAGGGCACCACTCAGAGGACAGACATCAGAGATTTTGGTGTTTACTACAACCTTCCAGCAGATGGCAGTAAAGTGTCTGACGCCTACAGAATCAGTAGATTTCCATTTCCCAGGTGTTGAGGAATGGGTGCCTTTTTAATTAATTTATTTTTTAATCGCACCAAAGACATCAAATGGGCTAGCAGTGGCCCTTAGGTGACACTCCTCCTACAGGCAGTGTGGGCGTGTGTCCCATTTTTTTTTTTGAGACCCATCAACTCCCCCCGCACCCCTACCCGCACCAGACTCCAGGGCTGCATTTCCAGGCCTCGCTGGTTCCTGAGCCCCTGTCTCAGCTTTCCCAGCACCAGCTGAGTCTCTTCCTGGAGTAGAATAGATAAAAAAACAGGAAGCGCTGTTAAATTTGAATTCCAGAATGTGGACCAAAACAAGGGCTTCTATGGAAAGTAGCCTCATGGGGTGCTCTGATCATAAATTCCTAACTGGGCAGGTCGTGGCGGGAGTCACGTCCCAGGCATATAACACTTTAGTGAAAGGTTTCTCTCTTCCCTGAGTAAGCCTTGCCCATTGTGCACCTAGGTGAACACACCTTTCAAATAAGCCCCAACCGCCCTCAGGAGAGCACAGAACCTCGCTAACTGTCCTGTACCGGGGTGTCCAGCCTTTTGGCATCTCTGCGCCACACTGGAAGAAGAAGAGTCATCTTAGCCACACATTAAATACATTGCAACATGTAATCACAAAAAAAAATCTCACAATGTATTAAGTAAATGTACGATTTTGTGCTGGGCCACATTCCCAGCCACCCAGGGCTGCAGGTTGGACACCCCTGCATTCAATCCCCACCCTGCTTTCTCCTTTGGTTCCCTCCTTACTTTCAAGTGTATTCAAGAAGCTGCAAAACTGTTAGTCTCTGCAACACTTGAGATCTTGCTCCCCGGCTTATGTCATTTGTTTGGCTCAAATAAACTCCTATAAAAATTCTCTCCTGGTTTGGATGTTTCTTACATCGACAAGCTAAACCACCCATACTGTTTTATGGTAAGTGTGTCCCCAAAACACTAAAACAGTATGGGCTGTTTATCTGAAATTCAAGTTTAACGGGGCATCCTGTGTTTTTATTTGCTAAGTCTGGCCACTGTGTCCCCGACCGAGACACCTTCCAGCAGAGCATTGCTTCCGCTTCCTCCTGGCTCTCTCGGGTCTCTGGCACCACCGCCCCCCTCGTTCCCCACCGTTCTGGGGATCCACCCAGTCACCACCTCCTGCTTGCTCTTTAGAGTCACCCCCCCCCCTTAGCCACTGCCATCCCTGACTCCACGACTGGACAGCTGCCCTGATGGCCCCTAACTTGTCATTCTGTGTCCAGCATCCTACCCGATGAATGTTGCTCAGTGTCTTTGAACATGCCACGCTCTGTGAGCCATTCAACTTTCAATGGCTCCCTATGGCCCCCAGAAGAAAGTTCAACTTGCAAGGCTCACAGCAGCCTCCCCCCACAGGCCTTTCCAAAGTGATTTCCTGCAACACACCTCTCAGCACCCTGCCCTTTGCCCCGAGGGCCCGTAAGCACTGTCTCTTTCTGGTGAAATCCCAGTCTGCCTTGAAGAGCCAGCTCAGACAAGCCATGAGTCGTAAAGCCCCCTGAGACCCAGGCCGGGTGGCCCTCCCCGGCCCTCCTGCCCTCTCCCCTGGCACCTAACCACTCACGGCCTTTCTACACCTCCTCTTAATCTGTTCATTGGATCTCATATTATACCCATTATAACTTTATCTTGGAAACGAGACCAGAAGCTCCCGAGGGCAGGAAAAAGGTCATACAGAGCCTCTGGTTCAGTCCCAGGCCAGAGCCAGCATTTCGCTGAATGTGCTTCAGTTTCGAACTCCTCTAGTCACTGCCAGAATGAGGGGGCAGGTCCCCCTGAGCTTGTAGTAGGTGGCAGGTGGCAGACCATGGCTCGGAGCCCAGAACAAGTCCAGGAGGTGGGGCCTGGGCTTGAGGGAGGCTGACCTGGCTCACAGTGTGGGCAGCACGCTCCCGGCTCCGGGCAGGGTCCCCCTGGGCATGGCCCCTGGGTACAGGTCACGGCTCCTTCCTGTGGAGAGGCAGGCTGGTGGCCGCACAGGCATCGGGGCCCTGGGGGGTGGGGTCTCCAGGACCGAAACCTCATCCCAGGCTGAGACAAGCCAGAGGAGCAAGAGGCGAAGTTGGCTCAGGGGACACGGGTGACTCTCGGTCCAAGGGCAGAAAAGAGACATCCTACACCACCGCCATCCTCTCCTGCCACTCCTGACCCTAGAAGTCATGTCTTCCAGGTGCCAGCAAATTCCCAGAGAGTAGAAGCATCCCAGGAAGGGGACCGAGGCTTCCTCAATGAAAGAGTGGGGAACCCAGGGCCGGAAGAAAGCGGGTGTGGAGCCAGATGAGAGAATGAGCAGGAGGCCACCAGCGGCAAGCTCAGGGCGGGGCAGGCAGATGTCATTACATAACCGTCGGCACACCAGGCTGCAGCAGCAGGTAGCTAACGGAGGCACGTGGACAAGGGGGACAGGTGCAGACACTCAGGTGGCTCATGGAACTCACCAGGCAGCGGCAGGTGGAGCAGGCGTCTGGGGAGAAGGTCTCCCCGTTGCCGTAGGTCTGCCCGCTGTGGCTGCAGCCTGAGAAGGAGACAGTACCCTCGCCCGAGCCCTTGTGCTGGTCTCTAGGCCCCGAGTCCCAGATGGGTGGGATGGCACTCACCTCGACACTGGGGCAGGCCAGGCTTGGGGGCACAGACTGCAGCCCCATCCTGGCAGACGCATGCAGTGCAAGGGTCAGGCTCCCAGCGAGCCCCCTCAGGCCAGGCCCGCCCCAGCCCCCAGCACTGGGGAGGTGCTGGGCGGCACTCGCAGGACTCCAGCCGCCTCACCCTCTCCTGCAGGTCCTTGTTCTGGAGCAAAGAGTCGGGGCGGGGGGCAGAGTGGAGGTGCTGGCTCAGCTTCCCCTCCCATGCCCCTCAGGGCAGGACGGCAAGGAGAGCTGAGGTCCCAGCAGCTGTGGGGCCCCTCCAGCCAGCGTCCAGCTCAAGCAGTCACGGTTCCCAGGGCCTGGGGTCTGGACAGGCTCCCAGGGGAACACGGGACCCTTGGCCACTCCTTTGGACAGAAGGAGACCCAATCCTTTTGTCCAACGGTTAAAGACCTTTATCCACCTGAAATCTTTCCTGGCGATGTCTTATGTACAGTAGGCACTCTATAATGTTTGCAAATACATAAAAGAGTATGAAAGCCTGGGCTGGCAGAACAGATAGATACCCTGGAGGTTCTTCGTTCTTATGAAGGAAGAGATATTAAAAACTGTTCAGCTAAGAACTCCATGGCCCTGGCTGCTGTGGCTTGGTGGATTGAGTGCTGGCCTGCAAACCAAAGAGTCACCAGTTTGATTCCCAGTCAGGGTATATGTCTGGGTTGCGTGGGCCAGGTCCCCAGTAGGGGGTGGGCTGGAGGCCACTACACATTGACATTTCCCTCTATTTCTCCCTCCTTTCCCCTCTCTCTAAATATATATATATATATTTTAAAAAGCACTGCTCCATGTACACCTAAAATGACCCTATTCTAGGGTCCTTCAGCCCCGCAAGCCCAGCGCTCCCCTCCTTTCCTCCCTTACTGCACACACACAAGCCTGGGCTCCAACGGTACCTGCTCCCTGAGCTGTGTCACTTCAGCCTCCAGCCTTTTCAGCACCTCCTTCAGGGGGCGCCCCTGGTCCTGGGGGGCACCAGCAGGGGCTGGGGCCTGCTGGTCATAGTCCTGGATGTCAGCAAGCCCCAGAGACTCCCTGGAGACCGCCCCACCTGAAGTCACGAGAATGCAGGGTGAGCCTGTGGGTGAGGGGCTAGCAAGCTTTGCTGCCTGTGTCTTCCCAATGATGTCACCCCATGTCCCACCCCTCTCGTCCTCCCACCCGTGGTCCATGGAAGGAGATAGGGCTGGCGAGGGTGCTAGAGTGAAAATAGGAAGGAGGAGGAGGAGGAGGAAGGAGCCCTGAGTGGACAAAAGTGTCCCAGACCAGCTTTCCAAGTAGCAGAAACTTTTAGTCGGATACCAGCCCCAGGGGCCTGGCCCTCTGGGTCACGGGGAGCATGCAGACCAAAGCCTCCCTGCAGCCCAGGGTCAGGGTCACTGGTCCTCACTTGGGCCAGGAACGCGGCCAGGGGTGGCCTGAGGATTTGACACGTCATGCCGGGAGTGCCCAGAAGACAGCATGTCAGCCTCAAAGTGCAGCAGAGGCAGACAGACGCTCAAAAGGTGGGGCAGCCTTCTGGTGCCCAGTGCCCCTCCTGTGTGCACAACGCCTGCCTGCCGCCTGCTGTCTCCCCCTCTCAGAAAGGCACGGCTTCTGGAGAATGCGGAGGTAATGGGCTGGGGGGGGGGGGGGTGCCTACCTGCTTTCTCTGTGGCTACCCAAAGCCTGGCTATTGTGTCCAGGCCTGTGGCTGAGGGGTCTGGGCACCCCGCATTGAGTAGGGCTCTGGGCGACACTAGGTTGAGGGAAAGGGGGGCCTCTGCGTTCAGAACTGGGGTTGGGGACAGCCACTCTCACTTTGATCCCCGCCCCCTGCAGTCAGAAAGGCAGAAGCAGGGAGGAGGCTAGTTAACTCCACAGACACCCCACAGTCCTCCAGGGGGGCGTGCAGGGCAGCGCGCTGGGGCGGGGGGAGGGTCTTTGCCACAGTTGCAGCTCGTTCCTGGCTTCTCTCAGGGTCACTGTGAGGCAGGGGACCAATGTCACCCACTGCGTGCACCACCCCACTGCCGTCACCAAGGAGGGACTGGAGATTCTAATCCAAAACCTAAGTCGTCTTCCCTCAAACCTGCTTGGCTGAGTTCTTGGCTTGGTTAACGCCATCCCCACCTACTCAGAAGTCTACGGCTCCGCTTCCCACTCGCGCACCTCTCCCGCACCCCGTCAGTCTCTGGCCTCGCCCCGTCGCCCCCCAGCCCGTCCCCCCCATCTCCCCTCCCTCTGCCCCTACTGAGAAGACGGAAGCTGAGCCCCCGCGGGCTCGCCCTCCCTCCGCACAGACGTTTTAAATGGCACATCTGAAGGTTCCCAGCGGCAGGTGCAAGTGCGACCTTCCGCGGGGGCCGCCCCGCCATGCCCGCGCGCAGGGCTCTAACGCCTCAACGAGCGCGGGCACCAAGCTGCTGCGCGCCTGGCCGCGCGCCTCCCTCGCGCGGGTCCCGGAACGGCGCCCTGTCCGGTTCGCAGCTTCCTTCCCAGCAGCCCCGCCGGGGGTGTCCAGGGATGGACGGGGTCTCGGCATCTGAGACCCTCCAACAGCTTGACTCCCATCCCCCACGATCCTGCTCCAGACCGGCTTCCAAAGCAGGAACAATTAGGGGTCAGGGAGAAGCTGGGGGTCCTCTGGGACCCTCGGGGAAGATAGGGCCGGCCCCGCCCCTGGAGCGACCCGCAGAAAGGGCTCCTGACGGTTGCCCAGAAGCCCGACCGCTCCCGCTGGAACTGTCCTCAGTTCCCCTCTCCATCCCTGGTTCCCGCCCGTCCCTCTGGGTGAGAGCCAGACGCGGAGACTCAGAGTCGGCTCCCGTAGCGGGCCTCCTTTCCCCCCTTTCAAAAGGCAAATAATTAACTTCAGACTCTCGGATTCCAGCGCAGCCTCTCCCCCACCGCTGCCTGCAGGAATTCCTCCCGAGGCCGCGGCAGGAAGCCCCCTCCCTCTCCTGGACCCCACGCCTCAGCCCCCGAGGTCCCCGGCCTCCCCCGCGAGGTCCTCCTCCACCCTCGGAAGGAAGATCGGAGGCGGGCCACGCACCCCCGGGCGGGGCGGGGAGAGGCAGCCGCGGCCCCAGCTCCTTCCCTCAGAGAGGTCTGAGCAAGGGTGGGGTGCTCCCCGCCTGGCCGCCACCCCGAGCCCTCGGCTTCCCCACTTACCTCTGCGCATCCCCAGGGCCAGCGCCAAGGTCAGGAGCTGCAGGACGAGGGGCGGCGGAGCGGCCCCCGACCCCGCCATGCTCGCTCCGTCCCGCCGCTGTCCGCCGTCTCCTCTCTGCAGGCTCCGGGGGAGGCGGGGTGGGGACACGCCAGGCCTCCTCCCACCCAGTCTTTGTTCAGGGAGGGCTTCTGGAGTCTGTCGTCCTGCCGGCTGCGCCTACCTCCCAGCCCGGCTCCCCGACCCCCGGGCCCAGCCGAAGCCTGACCCAGCCCAGGCTCGACGCTGCAGCAGCCCCAGGCCCGCAGGGAGCTGGGAGGGGGCGGGGCCGCATCTCCTGCACACGGAGCCAGAGGAGACCCTAAAAGAAACACAAATTCGTCTCTCTGGGCATCCAAGACGGCTGGTCTCCCTGCCCCCTTGGGTTGCTCCAACTCCGTGGGGTTCCCAGTTCAGCTTTTACCCTTTTCCCCGTGTACAGGAAACGCGGACTGAGCTGGTTCAAATCCCTGTTCAGCCGATTTCACACGCCCTCAGACAGACCCCCTAACTTCTCTCTCCCTCAGTTGTTTGTAAACTGAGGTTCGTAACATCTACTTTACAGACTGGCAGTACGGGTTCAGGGAGACTATACAGATAAAGAATTTAGGGTAGTGGCCGGCACACGCCAAGCGCTCAGTAAATAACAATAGACGCGACCCCCTCTCTGAAATCGGGGGTTCCCAGTCACCTCTTCCTTCCTCCACCCCCCACGATCTTTCCTGGACTTTGCTCACAACCCCTGTCCACCCCAGTGGTGCCAGGCTCTGCCCCAAATGCAGAGGCCTCTCTTTGCTGTCTGGTCCCAGATCATTTTCCAGCTCCTGAGCCCAGGCCCGGCCTGTGGGTGAGCAGGGGGCAAGGCAGGGGGCAGGACTGGGCCCCGGGCTCAGCGGGCGGATGGGGCTCCAGGGAGGAAGTGAGGAAGCCGGCCACGTGGGCCCACGAGTCTGGGAAACTCCTTAGCACAGCTGGGAAGCAGGGGGAAGTGGGGAGGGGCCCCAGGCTCACAGGCCCTGGAACCTTGAGGGTGGAGCCAGGAATCCCGCAGAAGCAATCCCCTTTCTGCCACAAAGGCCAGCAAATCAGAGGCCACCCCTCCCCCCAGCCCAGGCTGGGACAAAGGTCCCTCAGCCCACTCAACAGGCACCTTAATGAAGGGCCGCTTCTCTCCCAGGAGCGCGGCCCCTTGCAGGCCTGGGCAGTGGGCGGTGGGGGCAGGGAGGCTGCGAGGCAGTGCTGAGACCTGGCCTCGGCTGGTCGGGAGCTAGGCCAGTGGGAGCAGAGGAAAGCCAGGGACAGCTGGCGGGAAAGGATCAAGGAAACGAGGCTCTGGTCCCTCGGTGTTGAGGGAAATGATGCGGGTTGGAAGGCGGGTCCTGGGGAGACGGGGTGGAGGAGAGGTGAAGCGCAGACTCCACCGAGAGTGCCCGGCAGGTCCCGGGGGCCGGCGTTTTCTGCTGGCGACCTCAGGCAAGTCCTTTAACTCTCAGCGGTTCAACTGTCCCCGCGGGACGTGTGGCTCTAATCGCGCCCGCCTCGGGGAGTGCGGGCGAAGGTCAAACATTAACGGCTGCGAAGGGCGCTTAGCGTGGCACCGGGTGTGCGGTCCCGGGCTCTTACTGCTCCTCTTACGGGATCTCGAACCATCGCCCCCACCGTGCCGGGCGGGGGCTAAGGGGACGCGGAGCTGGCCACCCCAAAGATATGTCTTTCAGGATTTGCTTATTTAAGCTGGTTGTTTTTTAAAAAAGAAGAAACTCAGAAAGAACCTTCCAACCTCCCCCTTTACCTGCCTAAAGGAGTTCAGATGGAGACACCTGCTTTAAGGAGGGAAGTATATAACGGGATCCGAGTGCTGCAGACGGAGAGCAACCCAGATAATTGTGCGCGTCAGAGTCCCCCCTGTCCCTTGGCTGGTGGGTGGTCTTGCAAGAATTTGTTTGCCGAATGCCCTGCCTTCTCGTCTAACCTGCTAACTGCTGCTTCTCCTTTGAAGTCCCAGACCTCTGCCTCCCTCTCAGACCAGAGGAGTGTTCGTGGAAGCCTCACCTGCCCTGCCTGCTGCTCCATATCATTAGGGGACCCTTGTATGTGCACGTGTAACGCATTTGGTTATTTCTCCTGTGAATCTGTTTCACGGCAGTTTGGTGATTAGACCTGCCAGCAGAAGTCAGAGGGTAGAAGGAAGGTTACTTCCCAACCCCACGGCGCCTCCCTTCCCATTTGACAGGTGCAGGGACATAGCTCAGAGTCACGCTGGGAATAAACTGCAGAGTGCGGATTCCATGTCGGGTTATGGGGACCCCAGGACAGGGCCAGGCCTGTCCACACTGACCCATGGCTGTGCAGCCCGGCCTCACCCTCGGCAGGACTGAGCCAGCCTCTGAGAGAGGGGCTCCTGCTTCCAGCGTCTTTCCTGGAGTCAAAGATGGAACACCTGCCAGGACTTGCACCCTCATCCACTCCCTGTAAACATCATGGTCATTAAGAGCCCGAGCCCCCCTGTCACCCCAGTCACCCTGACTCCCAGCTGCTCACTGCTCTGTGCCCCCTGCTCTGCCTGCCCCCCCACCTTCCCACCGCGCCTGCCCTAGCCCCCTACCTGCCTTCTCCGGTCTCTGCCAGCACCGGAGTATTGCTGGAGAGCACCCCACCACTTGGCCGACTGGGTTCACTTCAAGTTCACGGCCACAAACCTCAGGGGACACACAACACTCCCAGGTCCCTGGTTAATCCAGTCTCCTGCTCCCTGCGGGGAGCATCTCACGTGCCCCCTCCCTTCCTGACCAGCTCAGTGGTTCCACCCTTACCTGCATGACCTGGGCAGGTTACCGACCTTCCCCAGCCCCAGGTTCCTCCCTGTGGAACAGGGGTGATAATAGTACCCATGCCATGAATGTTATGAGGTTGTCTCAGCCTGGGTTCCCTGGAGGTAGAGCCTTGCCCTGGCTGGGTAGCTCAGTAGGTTAGAGTGTCGTCCCAATATACCGTGGCTGTGGGTTTGATCCCCTGGTCAGAGCACATACAAGAATCAACCAATAAATACACAGAAAAGTAAAACAACAAACCGCTGTTTCTCTCTCCCTTCTTCTCTCTCCAAAATAAAATTTAAAGAAAAGCAGAGCCTGAGACAACGGCTTAATGCACATTTATTTTGGAAGATGATCCCAGCAAACAGGAGTGAGGGGTGGAGAGAGCAAAGCAGGGCAGGGTGGAGGGCCAGCCTTGGAAGAGGGGTTGGGAGGGGCTGGCCACGGCTCTGGGCATCTGAATGTCCAGTCCTGCAGGACCTTCCAAGCCATCTGAAAGCAGCTCAGGGTGGAAAATGGAAGCACTTCTTCACCAATGTCGGTGCTCCCTTGGTCAAGGGCGACCCTTTAGAGCATTAGCTGCTCCCAGTCATGCATGTGCCTAAGTGGGCTTCCCAGAGTCCAGTGCCAGGTACTGGAGGAATTCCAAAGCAAGTAGGGAGAGATCTGCAGCCAGGGCCCGAGGCAAGACGCTGCCAAGCCGCACCTGGACACAGCTGCCGCCACCTGGGCACAACGGAGGAAGGTGCGGCCGAGAGGGTTTGCATGAGAAGGGGCCCATGAATGGGACAACGCACATAAAACCCTTTTTACAGTGCCCAGCACCGTTTGGGCATCCAAATATATTATTATTTTTATTAATGTAATCATCATCTCCTGTTCTGGCCCAGCCCGAAAAGCCACACTGAATGCTGTTTATCTGCCACAGAAGGTGGAGAAGCTTCTGGAAAACTCACTCTGTGAAATAAGAACCCAGGCCCCTGAGGGGAGGGTGTTATTTAGAGAGGCATTTGAGTTCCACTGTGAGTGATCTCTGGGAGCCTCTTCTGTGCCCGGCGACAGATAACAGCGACGCAGCAGCGGTGAAGGAAATCCTGGCCAGATGCCCTGTGCCGGCCCAGGGAAGGGTATCCCGCGGTTCTGGGAGAGGGAGGAAGGGCATGAGCACAGGACAGTAAGAGCAGTAACCTCAGGCTCAGGGTGAAGGGCGTGCACTTCTCTGTGAGGCTAGTGGAACCAGAGGCAGCCATCCCGACAAAAACCCAGCCCTTCTTTAGAAGAGGAACATTTTGGCTAGAGAAAGAAGGCATGACTCGGGCCCTGCAGGAGTCCTTACTGGGCAGGGTGGCCCCGCCATGTGGAGTGACATGTAGGCTCCGGGCCTGAGGGCACAGTGGCTCATGGTGCCATGCAGGGCAGCAGAGAGGCTGCAGGGTTTAGAGTTGGTGAATTCCAAGGTCGGCTCCTGCTCCCCCGCTTACTGCCTGTGTTGGTGGTTCTCCACTTCTGCCCCCCGCCCAGTCATTCTCCTGCTGCTCGGCCCTACAGACCCCATTCCTCGGACTTCTGTGTCCTCCTGCTTCCTGGCTTCCTGTTGGATCAGCCACTGAGACGCGCAGGGCTGGAGGGCAGGGGGCGAGGGGGTGGGGGCACTTCTTCCCCAGCCTCTTCCTGCTGGGGGGGGGGCGCCTGTGGCCGCCATTCCTTCCCCTCACCCCCTCAGCCTGGGGCGGGGGGCAGGGGATGACAGTGGCTTCTTGCTACCGTCGCTCCCCGATCCTCAACACCCTTGCTGATTTCCTTAACTGTCTGCAGATCTGTAACGGTCCCTTCTTTCAGTTCTCTTTAGCTAAGCCCTTTAAAAAAAGGTTCTTTCTTTATCTTTTAGCAACAGGAGAAGGGAAGGAGAAAGAGAGGGATAGAGACATCAGTGTGTGAGATGAACAGCAATCTATTGCCTCTCGCCCTCAGCCCTCAACCCGCAACCTGGGCTTGTGCCTGACCTGGAACAGAACAGGTGACCTGGGACAGTGCCCGATCCTCTGAGATGCACCAGTCAGGGCTTCAGCTAAAACCTTTTGAGGGGAATTCTGTTTTCTCCTGGGTTCTCAGCCAATATGCTCCCTTCACCACGTATTCGATGAAGTTCCTCTACTTCCTAAGCCCGAATCTGCCCTCTGGCACTCAGAAGGCCCCATCAATCAGAGCCCCTACCTTTTCTCACCTCCTTCAGCTGTACTGTCAGCAGCAGCAAAATGGTTTTCTCTCCGGCTTTGGAGGCTGAAACAAAAGTTCACTGTGAAAGAGGAGAGAAAGGGTTAGTACCTTTCAAACCTCGCCAGCTGTAACAAACGAAACGAAGCCCTGCAAAGGTAGAAAGGCAAAGCCCACCATTGCACCTGCTCCAAACCCTTCTCTCGCTCGCCCACTCCCGCCCTGGTCGCAAGGGTGTGTTCTTCTACACCTGTCACCTGGCTCACACAACCACACACAAGCATGTGGACACCACGTGATTTCGTTTGCAGGTGGCATTTTGGAACAGGCTGCGCAGGATCCTGGCCCCCTTCCCCACCCGACCCCCCACACCCCCCCCACCTGCCCAGAGTCACCTTTCTCAGCGGCTCCATCTCAACACCCCAATGCCCCCACTCAGAACATCACACCTACCCCAGGCAAGGGCACCCAACCGAGCCCCTGGGCGGCCGAAGCAGGTGGAGGATGTGCAGTTTATCACAGAACTGAGGTTTTAACTCCACAGCCATAACCCACAGCCCCGCTACTGCTCCGCCAAAGTCAGAGGAAGTAGCCCACCAGTCTCATTCCAGGAAGGATCTTCTTGGTCTACCCTCAAAATGCCTGCAGGGCCCACCTCCCTGCGTCCAGGCACGCTCCAAACTGCAGCCAGTCCACCCAAGCACGCTGTGCGTCCACACACTTGACCATCACAGCTCACAGGTTGATGCTCACAGTTGGAACGAAACGCTTCCTTGTTGGACTAAGTGTGTGTGCATTTTTTTTTTTTGCACAAAGAGACCGATGCAATCATACTGTGTATCTAAACCCCACAGCAGAGCCCGGACTTGGGGGTAGGCT